CCTCCCTCCCTCCTCCTCCTCCTCCTCCTCCTCCTCCTCCTCCTCCTCCTCCTCCTCCTCCTCCCCTCCTAATGTCATCTGCAGCTTCTCCTCATCACCACCAACAACAAAATAACCAACAACAACAACAACAACAACAACAACAACAACAATCAGATCAGGAACAGCAACACCGTTACGCTCTTCAACAACAACACCAAGCACGTCCATTCAGGCAGCATCCCTTCCCCGCTCAACAAATGCAGCAAGGATTCATCCCACAACAACAACCAATGCCAATGGGCGTCTACCCAATACAGATCCAACAACAGAACACAATGTTCAACGGTCAACCACGAATACCCTCCCTCCCAGCAGGTCAGATCCCACCTGGCGTACAGATCGCAAACGGAGTCCCTCCAGGTCAACCCATTCTCATGCGACAAGGAGCGCAGCAATTCCAGCATAACATCCAGAACCTCGTCTTTCCCCAGCCTCAGATGCGTCCTCCCGTCGCTCAGCAGCAGTGGCCGGGTCAAGCCATGCTTCCCGCCGGATTCGACCCCTCCATGCTGGGTATGAACCCGGCCAGCATGGGCCAGCCGGCGATGGGGATGCCTATGCAAGCCGGGGGAGGCATGGGCCAGCCGGGCATGGTTCCCCCCGGTCGGGCACCAGGTAACGGGAATCCCCAGGTGAACGGAACGCCGAGGGTGCGCTTTTTTCGCGCATGTAGCTTCCTATCACGCTGATCCGGGGAGATAGAACGTTCCTAACCAAGGGGAGATCCCTCCGGGAGCGCTTATCGGCAATGCTCAGGCTCCGTCTACCATCGCGGACGGAAGGAGGGGCGCCATCTCCCTCCCTAATCAAGAGATGGCACCTCAACAGCAGAGGATGCCTCAGCAACAACCCCCTCCACAACAACCTCCTCAGCCAATCTCCCAGACCCCGCAGGCAAACGCTGTCCAACCTCCCCCTGTTTCCCAAACCCCTCGTCCGCAGATGCAAACCCAACAAACCCCGCGCGGCACGCCGCAGCAAAATCAGCCTCAACCCCAGCAGCAGCAGATGAACAGATCAGGCCAGCCGCACATCCAGTCCCGCCTTGCTAACCTGCCTACGCTCCCGCCTGGTCAGGTCGGTGGACCCCAGCCAGTCGGTTTCCAGCAATTTGATCCGAGGTTGTACATGACCCCACCCCAAAACGGCATGGGTGGCGTCCCTGTGCCGGGGATGCAGGGCATGCCGCAGGGCGGGATGATGCCTGCTCATGCTGTACCGGGAGGTATCAACCTGCCCCAGGAAGGGATGCCTACTGGCGGACCGGTACCGGTTGGCATGCAGCCCCAGCAGCAAATGGGCCAACCGCAAAACGGGATGCCCAACCCGCAGATACCCACACCCGGCCCTCACCAGGGAAGCGTCGCTCCTACTCCTGGACCGCAGACACAGCCCACCCCGCGCGCGACCAACCTCGCCCAGCCTCCGGGACAGCAGGGGCAACCGCAGATGGGATTCGCATACATGCTCCCTGCTAATGCTGCACCGCGTCCTCAGCAGGGAATGCCCCAGCAGAGGATGGTGAATGGCTTTATGCCTCACGGGATACCCGGGCAGCCTCCCCCACAGCAGCCGCTTGGCCAGGAGATGGCCCACATGAACGGGATGAATGGGGCAGCTGCGAGCCCCGGCTCGGGCTCAACGACGGTGCATACATCTCCCCTCATCGCTACCCCTCAGCAGCAGGCCGTTCAGCAACAGCAGCAACAACAACAACAGAATTCCAACGGAGGGAGGTTCATCCCCACTCCAACAGATCAGATGCTCCGCGGAGGCTTGTTTGACGGTACCCTCTCCCACGCCGGGCCAGGACCGGGCGCAGTCGTAGGCCCCGGTGTGGGGCATCCTATGCCTCCTCCTGGGCAAACAGGCCACCCCTCCACCGCACCGATGCAGCATCGGACCCCGCCTGCGCCAGTACCTCTCCCTCCCGGAGGCGGCCCGCACCGTCAGCCTTCCCTCCAATTCGAGCAAGCGCGACAACAAAGTCAGCAACCATTGTCCTCCATCCCCGGGCCATCACCAGTCGACAGGCAAGCGTTTGTTGTCCCTCCTCCCGGCCCGTCACCCCCGCAGCAGCAAGGGATCAAGCAGGAAAATCATGTCAACGGTATGTCTGCACCTCCTGGACAACCGTCGTTCCACCCCCAGCCTGTACGACCGCAGAATAGTCATGCTCCTAACATGCTGGGACACTGTGTCCTCCGGTTGATGCAGCTTAATACAGACCTGAACTTTGCGCATGCGGCTATGGTGCGTCTTTCCATTTTTGTCCCCCCCTGGCTGGGACGAGGCTGATGTAAGCAACAGAGACCGACAAGCGCACATTGGGAACGGTTTGTGGAAAACTTCTTTACGGAGGACGCGGTTATGAAGCTGGACTTGACTGCCCCTGCTACGCAGGCGAATGGGAGCACTCTTTCGCGTGAGCTCGGTATGTCTATTTCAGCATATCCGCATTTCACACGATCCTTATCCCGCACAGACGTTGCCCGCCCGCTTATCCCCCTCTTCTGGTCCAACTCGTTCTTGGAAGACCTCCGATCTATGTCATTCACCTTCACCACCGTGGAGGAGATCGAAGCTCGAAATCCGGACGAAGTCGCCGTCCAGTGTCTGGACGTGATGTGGAACTGGATGTACGGGAGCGGGCATACGGTCCACCTTGAGGCGGACTTGTTCGCCACTTTCCGTCTGATGGCTGACGATCCGCCGGGGGTGAAAGAGCAGAGGATGCGACTCTGCGAACTGCGGATGATCATCAAGGATCGAGAGTACTTTTTTGACCTGAACCTTATCGAAGGGGAATACGACCTTGTGGATAGGAACGATAGGGCGTTGAAGAGCTCTACCAAGGCTAGTAGTGCGACGCGCGTGAGGATCCCGTCTGGGGACGCGGAGAAGGGGACGATATTGTTCAACAATGGGAGGATACCAAAGTCCCCTTGGGATTATGAGATGAAGGTGCCCTCGCCTGTTATGCGCATGTTGGAGGTGAGCGGGTTGCTACTCTGTGAGAGGCTGATGGCTCATGCCTTCTGGCTGTAGATCGGGGAGACGACGAATACCTGTGCGCCGATTATCGATTATTGTCTTGCTGTAGGACATGAGCATTACGGGATCAAGAGTGAGTCCAGTGCAGAGGATGAGATCATCTACTGACAAGGGCACAGGCGCGTCCAACGATCTCGCCAAAGCCATTTGTGCAAAATACGAAGCCGAGTATCCGGCACATCATGCGGGCCAGCCACCGCCTATGGTAGACCTGAGCGTCTCATTTCCCCAGCAGCACCAGGAGAGGCATCCGGAGCCTCAGCCGGGGATGGAACAGATGCCTACGGCGGGGATGCAGGTGTATCGAGGGATGCCTATACCTGGAGGGCTGATGCAGGGGATGCAGTACGCGCTTCCCCAGGGTATGGGGATGGGTATGGGCGTTGGCATGGGTATGGGGATGGGTATGGGGATGGGGATGGGGATGGGGATGGGGATGGGGATGGGGATGGGGATGGGGATGGGGATGGGCGCAGGGGTGGGAGTGGGGATGATACCCCAGCAAATGCAGATGGTGTCCTCCCTCTCAAACTCGATCCCAAACCCCACAAACTCGGGAAGCGTGACCCCCGCCCCGCCCTCCGGCCGCGCCAGACACGCCCAGCCTCCATCCGCTTCCTCGGCACATGCGTCTCTGCCTGGTCAGACGCCGGCGTTGGCGCCTGCTCCGGCACCGACGAAGGGGGCGAAGAGGAAGGCGAAGGAGGGAGAGGGGGGGCCGGCGAAGATTGCGAAAAGTACTCAGAGGTCGCCGACTGCTGCTCGGAGGAAAGGGACAAAGTGACGAAGGGATTTCTTCTGTTCTTCTTCCCACTTCGTCTTCGTCTTACCGGAACGAGTTCCTCTTTGATATTCGTTCTTGCTTTGGGATCAATTTTGGCTCGGGCGTGCGGGCGTGCGGGCGTGCGGGCTTGCCTTACTTGGTCTTTTTGTGTGTTGGGTCTTGCTTGTTTGGTTTGTTTGGACGTCGACTGCCTCCCTCTCTCCCTCTTTGTGCCTTTGCATCTGTGCGCTTGTGCCTATGTCTGTGCATGTGTATTATCTATGCCTTTTTGTGTATCTGTAATGTAGTGTAATTCGGGAACGACTAATAGATGGAGCACAACGTGCAGTAACTCAAGGTGTCGGTGACTAGGACATTTCCTGATTGATGCCGGCTGGATACACTATTGTTGCACGCGTTCATACCGCGTCTTACGCTACGAGTCTACACTCTGCGCTCTACGCCACGCCCAAGATGTCAGACAGCAAGACCTTGCGTAACCAACTCCGTATCAAGACTGGCGTCGTCAACCGGTGAGCTGTCACACCTCACACCTGCCGGCTACTCGTACCCTGACTCATAGCACGTAGACTGGGGAAGGAACATGCGCTGTATATGAAAGAAGCGGAAGAGAACACGCGTAAGGTGGACACTCTTGTCAGTTCCGGCACTGCGGACGAGTGGGATGTCAAGGCTGCTGTGCGTGAGCTTTCGCTTCTGGGGGTGGGGTATGCTAACTGGGATGGGAAGAAACGACTGCAAGACGAGTCCGGGAGGATGATCGTTGATGTGAGGGAGCGGCTGGAGAAGGCAGCGGACGATCTGAGGGATCTTGTGGTGCGTGGTTTTGCTTGTGAGTTGGGTGGGGAGTACTTGGGTTCACAGACGGGTAGGCGTCGACTGTTGGTGAGCCGGGGGTGGGGGAGAGTGAGGAATGGGCGAATGCGGACAAGGCACTCGAGCTGCTGGCAGCGTAACAATAGTACAAGGACAATGTGACTCTGGGGCAGGGGGGTTATGGAGGCTGCTCCTCGAGTTCTACAACACCGTTTGACTCTGGTGCTCGGCGTCTTGCCAATCTCAGCTCTGCCATCGCTTTCACCACATGCTGCCACGCGTCTCTCGCCATCCGTTTCTCGTACAACCCTAGCTTGTCCTCGTCTTTCTCCTCTCCGGGTACTTCGTCCTCAGAGGGAATGCTAGCGCCGTACGTGGGCGGCTCTCGTCCGGTGCTGTCCATCAGCAACGCAGGAGAGACGCGTTGAGCTCGTAGTGTGGCCAAAGTGGTGCGTATGCTGATATGGACGTTCTGCGCCAGATGGTCAGCTACGTAGACGATGGAGAGCAGGAAGCATACGTCGATTAGCTGGAAATACTGTTCCAGCACTTCCTCTAGCCGTCTCTCTCTTTCCTCGGGATCCGCTTCGGGGTTCTCGTTCGGTAGCTGCTCCTCCCCCTCGGGGATGGGAATAGGAAGAGTGAGTAAGGACATTGCGGCTGATGCTAGCCGCAGGGATTGTGCGATGTCCTGGTCTTCTTTTAGTCATTTAGACCACAGAGGTTCGGGAAGAACACACCTCTTCTACGCCATTGAGTGCTTCCAGTTGCTGGCTTGCGACAGAGGTTGGCACAGGGGCGCTACCTTCCATCTATTGGATTTCTTTGATATGATACAAATACCGCTGCTAGTTTGAATTCAAACCCGTTATGCGAGTCAGCAGGGATAGAATCGAGGCTGCAGCCAGGTAACCACGACGCGAGTGGCGACTAACTGAGGATGGAGACCATAATACGCGACCCTCGACGCGCTTTACCGTTTCACCTTGCTTGCTTTACTCCGCGATTCCTGAGGGCAGCACCATGAGTGCCGACACGAATATCAAGGTCGTCGTACGATGTCGGCCTCTGAACTCTCGAGGTGCGTTATTTACGTTCTTCGCATGAGGTGGTACTCATGCACGCGACTAGAGCATGCTCGAGGAGCGAAGGAGCTCATCCGGATGATGGGGAACCAGACCTTTCTCGACCCGCCTGAACATGTCGGCAACGCAGCCAAGGCGATCGAGAAGAAGACAATGGCATTCAGCTTTGACAAGTCTTACTGGTCTGCGGGTCCGAGAGATGCCCCGGAGTATTGCAGTCAGCAGACGTTGTACGATGATTTGGGGAAGGAGTTGCTCGATCATGCTTTTGAGGGGTTCAATGCTTGTATTTTAGCTTGTGAGTGTCTATTCTGTGAATTTTTGGTATTCGTTCTCATCCGAGAGATAGATGGTCAAACCGGTGTGTCCTCTACTACTCAGTATGTTACAGTGATTGAGGGATCATGCGCTCGTCAGGTTCGGGCAAGTCGTACAGGTGCGTTATGATACATTGCCACAACGATCCGTGCTGACTTCCTTGTGACAGTATGATGGGATGTACGTAGCTCAGTCTGCTTCTACAAGCCCATTGCCAATTTTCTGAACAGACGGTCTGGATAAGGGTATTATACCCCTGACATGTGAAGAGTTATTCCGTCGGGTAGTGAGCAAGACATCTGGGAACCCAAACCTTTCGTTTACAGTCGAGGTTTCTTATATGGAAGTGAGTAAATGGTATTATGCTTGCTATAACACCCGTGTTAATTCCCTTTCAGATCTATAATGAGAAAGTCCGAGATCTGCTGAATCCCAAGAATAGTGGGAACCTGAAAGTGCGAGAGCATCCCGTGTTAGTCCATCTTCACCTGGCCACAGCAATCCACTGATTTGTTTTGCAGCATGGGTCCATATGTCGAAGATCTCGCGAAACTTGTGGTGGGCTCATATGACGAGATGATGACCCTCATGGACGAAGGCAACAAGGCTCGAACGGTCGCCGCAACAAACATGAACGAGACGTGAGTACAATGTCCTATGAATGGATGTCTTCCTAAACTCAGAGCAGTTCATCACGCTCCCACGCGGTGTTCACATTGATCCTTACGCAAAAAATCCACGATGAGGCGTTAAACTTGGACGCTGAGAAGGCGTCTCGAATCTCGCTTGTTGACCTTGCAGGGTCAGAGCGTGCAAACTCAACCGGAGCGACAGGGCAGCGACTGAAGGAGGGAGCCAACATCAACAAGAGTTTGACTACCTTGGGGAAGGTTATTGCATCACTCGCTGTGGCTAGCGAAGCAACTGGCAAAGGTGGGAAGAAGAAGAAGGTTGAGGAGCATATTCCTTATCGTGATTCGGTCAGTGAATTGTGACATGAGGATGGACACAAACCAACCGTCATTCTAGGTCCTCACTTGGTTGCTCAAAGACAGTATCGGCGGAAACAGTAAAACTGCTATGATCGCAGCGATATCGCCTGCCGATTACGATGAAACGCTCAGTACACTTCGTTATGCCGACCAAGCAAAGAAGATCAAGAACAAAGCCGTCGTGAACGAGGATCCAAATGCGAAGCTCGTTCGAGAGCTCAAGGAAGAACTAGATCTTCTACGAGGTGAGTGCCCCTTTTCCGTTTGGTCTGCTTTCTGACATGAATCAAGCCCGGGTCGCATCTTCTTCGGCTGAGTCTACCTATGACCCTACTGTTCCTGCGACCCAGCAAATGGTCACGTACCAAACAGCGACCGGTGAAGTTAAGACCATTAGCAAAGCCGATCTGCAGGAGCAATTGGAGGCAAGCGAAAAATTGATGAAAGAGGTCAACGAGACGTGGGAAGAGAAACTCGAGCGCACCAAGGCAATCCAACAAGAGCGTGAACAGGCACTGGAGGAACTTGGTATTACTGTCGAGCGGGACATGGTCGGTGTTCATACACCTAAGAGGGTAAGTCGTTCAGGTTCTGTCGTCTTCGCGCATGCCAATTCCAGAACCCCAGATGCCCCATCTAGTTAACCTCGTAAGTTTTACAGTGGTTTCTGTGTTGATTGTTAATATCTTAATCATGTGGTCGTGATTATCATTATAGAATGAAGGTGAGCACACTACCTGCATACTAGTCTCACGCTGACACCGAGCACCAGACCCTCTCATGAGTGAATGTCTAATCTACCAGCTCAAGCCAGGAAAGACGATGGTCAGCTTTTACCAATAGCAGCGCTGTTGATTCTGATTGGATTGTTTAGGTCGGTCGCTTGGACAGCGACAAGCCTGCTGTGATCCGGCTGAGTGGCTCAGGGATCTTGAATGAACACTGCTTATTTGAAAATAACGAGGGCAAGGTCACCCTGCTGGCGATGCCAGACAGCATGACGGTCAGTTGAAATATGATTGTGCTCTCGTACAGCACTGAAAAAAATGTAGATGTTGAATGGTAACAGAATTTCAAGTGACAAGGTAAGCATTTGTTTTGCTAGACAATATAGTCCTGACAGTCAAGTAGCCATATCGTCTGCGGTCCGGCTATCGCATTATCCTTGGTGAGACCATTACCCAAATATTCAAAATGATCCGCTAACATTTGCTCATAGGTGACAATCACTTCTTCCGCTTTAACAACCCGGAAGAAGTGCGCAAGCGGCGAGATCGCACAAAGATGCACCAGAGCATCTCAGCAGCCGACCTTGCAGCCGAAGGAATAAATGGCTCCCCCAGACCGGAAACTCCGGACTCCGCAGCTGGCGATGACGTGGCCGAGGTTGACTGGACGTACGCGAAGCGGGAAGCAGCACTTGTCCACCTTAATGGCCAGGGAGAAGGATTTGAGAGCCTCCCAGACGATGACCTCAACAAATTATACCACGAAATTTCCAAGGTGAAGAATCTCAGGGAATATGCCAAAAGCAGACCAGAAAGTAGTCTCAGCCATGTGGAGGAGATCTGGAGCGATGGCCGCCCACCACCCAGTGAAATCACGGACGATACCAGCGTGGAGCCCAATGGCGGCACTTCACACGGGAGCCCTTCTATGGAAGACCAACCTCGCGATGCTCAGGTACACCTAGAGCATCAACGCGCAGAATTTGAGGAGAGATTGAACGCTATGGCTGATACAACTCAGACGGAAGACCTCGAAATCGAGCGAGACCACATGCAACTGCAACTCAAGCTTGTTCAAAATCAGATGAAACGACTGATGGAGCTTCGAAAGACCGGTGCCAGCACCGTGGACTTTGTGCCTATGGAGCCGGTTTTATATTCAGCTCGACAGCTTCGTCTAATTCGCAAAGTTTTGGACAAATGGCGTTCGCACAAATCGTTTTCTATGGCCGAAAGCGTCCTATCGAATGCTGTCATCGTCAAAGAGGCGAATGTTTTGAGGTGAGTCGACTGTGCCCTGGTGGTACAACAGCTAACATCATTCCAGCAAAGAACTGGACAAAGCTGTATCATACAACTTTACAGTCCTGTCTGGGGGTTCACTTTCGGCACCCACGTCGGCTTTGGAGGATATTGGTGCCCTTGGCGAGTTTGGCGATGTCGCCGACCCAGTTCTTCTGTCCACGAAAGAGCCGACTGTTGGCATCAAGGTCCTGGACAAGCGTCATACGGCGGTGTACATATGGTCACTTGATCGACTTCAGCAGCAACTGCAGCGTATGCGAAATCTCACCAGTTTCATTGACCGGCCCTCTTATTCGCGCCACTTTTCTTCGGAAGAGCCGTTCTACGATCGCTCGCCGCCACATTATTCGTTTATTGGAAACGCATTGGTCTCACTGGCACCTTTATCACGGCGAATGTCTCCCGCAGCAACGATACCGATATTCTGTCGTTATACTGCTGAAGCAATAGGCTCTTGTCGCGTTGATGCACGGGTGCTTACTGTCAATACACCTGCCCGGGGTGCTGTCAACGGATCTGCTATGACAAGCCGCTCATCATCACCGCTACCGGAAGCATTGCCTCAAGGCAGCAAACTGAGCTTTACTCTAACGATCGATTCGGTTAAAGGGCTTTCCTCTCTCGACTTCGGTTCAGTTCACATGCAAGTGCGACTGTCGGCCTTCATGGGTCCGAGCGTGGCAGCTGAAGATGTCTTCCCATCTACTGTCATCGACATGGACAATGCACCTTTGTACAATCTCAAGTTGCGGAGAACATTTTCCTTTGTCTTGAATGCGAAAGTGACAGCATATATGCGGCAAGGGTACGCGCCTATTGAGTTCTTCGCCGAAGTCAAACCGAGCTACATTGAACGTTTGGAGCGATGGGACGAGATGCGGGAACAGCATATGCAAAAGGAATTGCGTTCAACTCGTCCTGCACAAATGCGACGTGCAGAAACCGATTTCGTCGTGGAAGAGCGGCATGACGTTGTTGCATGGGTGCAGGTCCGCGAGCTGACCTCCAGTGGTGAATATCAAGCGGTGCCAGTCCTTTCACAAGGACAACTTGACTCCGGTGTCTTCCTTTTGCGACAAGGTTTGCAGCGAAGACTGGCCCTGACTCTCACATGTCATTCTGGAAAGCAAATGCCTTGGAAGCAGATCACCCGTATTAATGCGGGAAAAATCCGTTTGTTGGACGCCAAGGGTCGATTGCATGATCCATCAACAGCTGACGACAGAGTCGATCTGAAGTTGCTCAAGCCACAAACAGTAGATTTAAAGCCTGATGGCAGTGCGACACTCCATGCAGAGGCATCTTGGGACTCATCCGCCCATGATTCACTTCTTCTTAATCGCGTTACTGGCATTCGACAGCGTGTTTTGCTGCAGCTCGATTGGATGGTAGAGATTGATACATGCGCTGAGCCTGCCCTTTTCACTACAGATATTGCGGTCGATATACAAGAACGGGACGCAAGACCGCCTTCTATGCTCACCGGTCTTTTCTCGTCCACGAAAGTCTTAACAAAATGCAGTGCAATTTTCTCTCTGCGCCTCACCCCACAACTCAGCCGCTCTGCCAAAGACATGTGGCGGCTCGACACTTCCGAGAAATATGTACGAGGCGAGGAGGTACTTGCTTCTTGGAAGCCACGTGGCGTTTCGGTCGTCGAAGACTACATCCGTCTAGATAATGTGGAGCGTCGCGCCGCAGACGTACAAGCCATCAAGATCCTTTTGGATGCATCCCCCACATGCGGTGCAATGGAAAGGACGCTAAGTGATGAAGAGGCCACTGATTTGTTACGCAAAACAATGGATCTCTGGACCAGACGATCCGTCCCACGCCCTGAGGTATGTATCTCAAAAGCCATCCTGTCGCATGTACTTACATATGCTTTTCATAGCTCCAATTCAAACTTGTGCAGGAACCATCGTCACCTATGGAAGAATCTGAGGACATCGATCAAGCTCCTAAACCGAAACTGGTCGCTCATACAAAGCTTATTGCACGAAGGTACGATCCTGCGTTGACTATGATATCGTTTACCTGACGTGTTTTAGTGATACCGCTACCAAGAAGGGTCACCTTTCGATGCTGATCGACCCTGCGGGAAACTCGTGGAAACGACGTTGGTTCGTCCTGCGCAGGTTTGTCTTCGCCACTTTGATTTTGGCTGTGATAACCAATATTTGTCCCAGGCCATACTTGTATATATACGCGCATTCAAATGAGCTGGAAGAACTATCTGTTATTGCCCTCAACGGTGTAAACGTGGAACATAGCTCCCAGCTTGCGGTGTTGTTTGATGTGAGACCTCGTAGCGCATGACGTCGATTCCACTCACATTATTGACAGAAACCGTTCACTTTTACCCTGTTCACTGCTTCAAATTCCCATGCTCTCGCTGCTCCAAATGCGAAAGAGCTGCAGTCATGGATGATCAAGCTCGATCCCACTCGTTTACCTTCCTAAGTCATTCCCGCCATTTATTCCCTTCAAGTAAGTAAACGCTTCGCATTCCCCATTGCTTCTGCCTATGTATCCTCCATGAGGCGGTCCACTTCACCCTCCTTACCCTTCAAGTGATACCTCAGTCATATCTAGTCCATGATACCCTTGGTATTCTACTCACGATACGTCACGACCAATGGAATCTGTAATAGAAAATAAAGAGATTTACACACGTGGTTGATTGTGGATTGTACTTTCTGTCCCATCAAGAACATTTTATCGGACACACGCTCAACGTGAGTTACTATCAGCATGTATTATCGCATTTTTCTGGGCGCAATCACATCAATCATCCAATGCGCTTCATCGGTCTATCTAGTCATAGCCATAGCCGCCACGACAGCCACTTGGCCGGCGAATAAGCGCACAAGAGCCGCCCATCCAACTCAACCCGAAGGGCTATAGCGAGTTCTGGGCGCGTTGAGCGCCATAGCATACACAAGAGCATCCCGTCAATACGGAGATGCATATGCTGTTGAAGCGTAGCAGAAAAGGAGATCAGGCGTAGGTCTGGCGCGCCCACTTGGCAGCCTCAACCATGTTGGCAAGCGCAGCCTCAGTCTCCTTCCAGCCACGAGTCTTGAGACCGCAGTCAGGGTTGATGTAAAGCAGGTTGTCGGGGATCAACTGGAGCATGCCGGTGATGCGCTCCTTGATCTCCTCGACACTGGGAACACGAGGCGAGTGGATGTCGTAGACACCGGGCCCGATCTCGTTGGAGTAGCTGAACTCCTTGAAGGCGTTGAGCAGCTTCATGTCGCTCTTCGACGCCTCGATGGAGATGACATCAGCATCGAGGGCGAGGATGGAGGGGAAGATATCGTTGAAGTCGGAGTAGCAAAAGTGGGAGTGAGCCTGGGTCTTGTCGGTAAGACCGGCCGTCGACAGGCGGAAGGAGTCCACAGCCCACTTGAGGTAGCCATCCCAGTCAACACGGCGAAGAGGAAGACCCTCACGAATAGCAGGCTCGTCGACCTGGATAGCAGAGATACCAGCCTTCTCGAGGTCAACGACTTCATCACGGAGAGCCAGGGCGAGCTGCTTGGACTGCATCTCGCGAGAGATATCAACACGAGGGAACGACCAGTTGAGGATAGTGACGGGGCCAGTCAACATGCCCTTCATGGGCTTGTCCGTCAGGCTCTGAGCGTAGCTGGACCATTCGACGGTCATGGGACCCTTGCGGGAGACATCGGCGCAAATGATGGGAGGGCGAACGTAACGGGAGCCGTAGGACTGAACCCAGGCGTTCTGGGTAAAGACGAAGCCCTGGAGCTGCTCGCCGAAGTACTGAACCATGTCGTTACGCTCGGGCTCACCATGGACAAGGATGTCGAGGCCGACCTTCTCCTGGAAGCGAACAACAGTCTCGATCTCCTTCTTGATGAACTCGTTGTACTCTGCCTCGGTGAGCTCCTTCTTGCCGAGCTTGGCACGAGCGGTACGGATCTCCTTGGTCTGGGGGAAGGAACCAATGGTGGTCGTGGGGAACTTGGGCAGCTTGAGGTGCTCATGCTGAGCCTTCACACGGATGGAGAAGGGGTTCTGGCGGTTGAGCATCTCGGGCGTAATAGCGGCAACACGCTTGCGGACAGCATCATCGGAGTTCTTCTCGAAAGCGCGACGCTTGGCGATGGACTCCTTGTTGGCGGCAAGGGCAGCAGCAACAGCAGGCGAAGTCGACTTGGACACCGAAGCGGCGATCGTGGCAACTTCAGCGGCCTTCTCAGTGGCGAAGGAGAACCAGTCGAGCTGCTCGAGGGGGAGCTTCTTCTCGTTCGTCAAGGTGACAGGGGTGTGAAGAAGGGACGAGGAAGTAGCGACGATCACACGCTGCTCGCCAAGGATGGCGATGGCCTCCTCAGCGAGGGTGCTGGCATAAGCGAAGTCGGTCTTCCAGATGTTACGGCCAGAGACGAGACCAAGGGAGAGAAGCAGGGTGGTGGGCTTGATGGCGTTAGCGACAGCAGCGAGCTGCTTAGGCTCACGGTCGAGGTCGATGTGGAGGGCAGCAATAGGGAGCTTGCTAACAAAGCTGAGGTTGTCGCCAAGGCGGCCGAAGTAGGTTGTCAGGACGATGGAAGGAGACACCTTGCTGAGCGCAGCGTAGGCGGTCTCGTACTGCTGAGCAAGGTCGGCAGCGGAGTCAAGCACAAGGACGGGCTCATCGATCTGGACGGACTCGACACCGGCAGCCTTGAGCTCAGACAGGAGCTGTTCATATACAGGGAGCAGCTTAGAAAGCGCCGAAATGGGGCTGTAGCCAGCGGAAGCCTCGCGGGACGCCTTGGCAAGGGCAAGGTAGGAGATGGGGCCGAGAACAACCGGGCGGGTCGTCACACCGACAGCCTTTGCCTCCTTGTACTCATCGAGGGCCTTGTTGTAGTTGAGCTTGAAGTCGATACCCTCGAAGATCTCGGGGACAACAAAGTGGTAGTTAGAATCGAACCTTGTGAGCTATTAGAGGTGGAAAGCGCATATATCTTAGGAAATCAGCTTACCACTTCTTCATCTCACACGCCGGAACATCAACGGAACCCTGCTGCCTGCCACGACCCATCGCGAAGAAGATATCGAGGAGGCTGAGGCCATGTCCTTGGTAGCGCTTGGGGATAGCATTGAACGCGACGGAATGGTCGAGGACATGATCATAGAGAGTGAATTCGCCGCTATGGCAAGCAAAGGCCGCATTAACGCCGGAAGCTAATCCCTGTGGGAATCAACATACCTGGGAATGAGATCGACGCCCTGCGCCTTGATCGTCGTCCAGTTGTACTTCTTCACCTCAGCGACGACCTTGAGCAGCTCGGCCTCCGGGAGCTTGCCACCCCAGTAGGCCTCAACAGCCTTCTTAATTTCACGGTTGGCGCCTAAAGGGTAAACAATTATCAGTTATGTTGGTCATGCGGGTTTTCCATTCATCCGGGCATACTGACCGATACGGGGGAAACCAAGGACGCTAGAAAGGACCATGATTGAATGAAAACCCTGAGATTGACGAATGTCAGATGAATGTTTAATGTTATTGTTAATTAATTTCCTTACTTTTGAACAATGAGGGAAGAGAGAGAGGAATGAAGGGAGAGACGATAGTGCTCTGCTGGGGTAAACGTCCCACTCTGCAGGTTTTATGCTCTGTCCCCATCCGCCGCACACGTGTTGCGTGCTCACTCAATAATGCTTCCGCCAAGCAAAGGGACATGATGGTGAGAAAACCGACAAACGCCGAATCTACCGTCGCTTGAATTCTTTACTAACTCTTTGCCTCATCTATCTTTTGTGCGCTTCTTGCCGCTAGACGACCGCATCTTGGGGTTAACTTCCTACAGGAATAGACATTGCTGGCACTATATCTCTCAAGCTAATCTTCACCCGACCGCTCTTTGCTCTCTTTCAACCCTAATCAATATCTCCTGCTTTGTAATCATGGTCACCTTCGAAGTCGATGCCGTTCTTTTCGACATGGATGGCGTATGCTGAACCCTACCATTGTTGCTATTCTATGATATCTCATATGGTGCCAGACCCTCGTGGAGTCAACCCCCGCCGTGGTTGGAGCCTGGTGAAATCACGCTCACCTCGTTGGTTCGCTGGCCCTCGCTAACATGTCTCCGCGGCTCTCAGGGAGGAATTTCACAAATCCTATCCTCACCTTGATCTCACCGAAGTCCTCCAACGTAATGCTTATCTTACTCAGTATCTGTGAGATATATCTGATTGCCATATTGTACTGAAGACTCGCACGGTATCCGAACCATCGAGAACCTCCGGAATTTCTGCAAGATCACACATGAGGAGCACCTTGCTGTAAGGGATCCGGCCGCGAAGTTATCGGTTGAACTCATTCATAAGTGTTGGGCGTCAGGTAGAAGTCGTTCGTTTCGAAGCGGAAATCGTACGTCAGGGCGAGCGCTTGAAGGCCGAAGGCAAGGGCGGTATCAAGAAGCTACCCGGCGTAGAAGCACTCGTTGGTCAGGTAGAGAATGGTGCGGAGAACCAGAAGTGGGCTATAGCTACCAGCGGTTTGTGTGTGCCTCCCGCCATTCATTTCAGCGGCTGATGTAGACATAGCCACTCGTATCTATGCCAGCGCTGCCTTGAGCATTGCAGACATTCAACCGCCGGAGGCGTTCGTCACGGCAGAAGACGTTGCGGTCGGTAAGCCATTTCCGGACCCGTATCTTCTCGCCGCTCGCCTCGTCGGAAAGGCACCCCATCGTTGTACGTTAATTTGGTCGTTGAACACCCAGGTAAACGCCGGCTGACGTCGTGGGGGGCATAACTTTTAGGCCTGGTGGTGGAAGATGCCCCTAACGGCATTCGCTCTGGGAAGTCCGCGGGTGCAAAGGTCATCGGCCTTCTCACTTCCCATTCGAGGAAGGAAGTCGAGGATGCTAAGCCAGATTGGATCGTGCCAGATTTGTCATGGTAACCTCCGCAGTATCCTCCTTCAGTTTCTTTGAACTAACTCCTCATAAGGGTGACCGCTCGGCACACCACGACTGGATTAGAGTTTACTATCAAGGAGTATTCACCGTGATGATTCAAGCCCCTTGATGTTTAGTCAATAATAAACAATAGAATAAAATAGTCATTTGATAAACTGTCAGGAAGCACATCGTCGGAAATTTCCGAGTCTTTGATTCCACGACTGATTTCCAAATTTACTCAGCAAGGCTTGCTCATAACCTAATGCACGCTTCCAATGCACACACCACGCAGGTTTTGGGATCAGGATCAGAGGACAAATATACCACATACACATATATGTTGAATGGAGCGCGAAAAGCCACGCTTCGGCGGGGTGGAAGGGGGGCGGGATACGATGATCTGTGGGTCGTCAGAATTTTTGGTAAGTCAATAGAAAGAAGCTATTGTCTAGCGTTGATAGGAATTCTTTTCTCCCCAGGACCCGATTGGATAACGGCATCAGGAAAAAGTGAAATGTTGAGATGAGTTGTTGATGATCCAGAGAGCTGGGACGCACATTTGTAGCGCCGTCTCCTCAGTGAGAGAAGTCTAAAGTATTTGCTCCCGCAGGAGGCACGTGCGACAGGGCAACGGCGGTCACCGCACCAAATGCATCCATTGGCCAAACAAGTTTCCCCCACTTGGGCCCTGGTATACAAGTACATATCGCCTTCACGACTTGGTTTACTTTACTTTTTGTTTTCCCTTTCTCCTGGCCTGATGCCCGACCCGACATTTACATGTCCATGTCTCAACGTCAGGCTCTACCAACAACGAATAGACCAACGATATGGCCAAGACGACCGGGTGGAGGACAACTGGCGGAGGGTCTTCGTCGGCGATGACGGCATCCAAATAGTGCGCTGACAGACCTCCCTCCGTCGCCGGTTACTGACATTGTACATTTGACAGATGCATGCAGATATGACCATGAAGACCCGATTACCAGTGCAACCGCCTTTGAGAGGCGAGAGTTATGCGAGGCTGACGACTGTCCTAACCTGCTTAGCTTGTCGGACGGCTGTGTATCGCACCTCCCAAAAACTTTCTTGGCCTCTTCAAGGTGTAGTTGCTGCGCAGATACCTAGAGAGAGTGAGGATGATGATGGGACACTGGGAAGCGAAGATGGGTGGATAGAAATGAACGTGGGCAATTCCGGGTGTATCGTAAGTCCATGACGCACGTTCAGGTTCCGAACCCTTACCTGATCAATTAAACAGACCGGAGTTTCTATCCAAGCAGCCCGAGCTTCTGAACGATTCTCACCAGTGTTTTCTTTGCTGCTTCCCGAGTCTGTGTCAGCTACTCCGGCAGAAGCACCGACTCCCCTTCAAATCTTCCATCCGGTCGTCTCCCCCTCACCAGCGCTCTTTTCACCCCCTCCACATTCCCCATCGCACCCCGTTTTTCAACGTTTAGCATCAATTGCCACTGCTGCATATCAAGAAGCACAGAAGCAGGAAGAGGAAGAAGTTTCAGCGCTCATCCGACAACGGGCGGAGGAGCTGCACCTCCTTCGCACTCGACTCCGACGAGAGGTGGAGATGCTGTGGATGTCCTATCATGATTCGCGGCAGAGCCAGTCCGCTTTGTCGAATCCCCAGAATGATGGTCTGCATCAACGGGAGAGCGAGACGCGCACCCCGTCGTCCATGTCTATCCACCACAGGCCCCGGGGCCAAACCTCGCCCGACAAACACCGTTCAATGTCCCGCAAAGGCTCTTCGAATTCGCTCCTCGCCAAATCCTTGCGGTCCAGCGGATTTATTAGCTATTCTGGCTCCCAGTGGGAATCTGATTCTCAATTCGATGAAGAGTCTGAATCCGCGGATCTATCGGTTCCGACCACTCCGGACGAGGACGGCTTTGGTGATCCGATCGAGTATTCAATGCACAATCATCACCGTTTGGACGACGTCTCATTACGGCTCTCCCGCCTCCACACCAGTTCAATACCAAGATCCCTTTCACGGATCAAACAGGATGCGGAAACCGAGTCGCCGGAAGATCGACCCTTGCGCCACAGGCGAGAAGAGACTCTTCATCCTGTTGAAACCAGTGAGGACATCCCTGAATTCCAGCCTCGTGGGCGGTCTGGTTCACGGCAGGGCCGTGCACACGAGTTGTATGCCATCGAGCGTGATCGGACACCGAATGGTCGGGCGAGCAGAGGGAGGAGAAGCTCCAGCGATCGTTCACCCCGCGGTGGCGCATGGTCCGACCACCTTCCTCAAGAGGAGTGGGAACATCCGCACATGGACGACAACGCTCTTCGCATCTCAACCTCTGGCGACAACGGCTTGGATCGACACGGGGGCGACGAACCTATCTTTGACCTGGACGGTCCTCACAGCGGGCGATGGCTTCGACCTGTGCGCCTGAGACCCTTCAGGAACAAGGTTGGCGGTCACAGCGCTATCTACAAGTTTACCAAGCGCGCTGTGTGTAAGGTGAGTTGCGCTTTGACCAAATTCGCCCTGCGGTCATTCTAACCAGTGGTCCCGATTACCTTAGCCTCTTGCGAGCCGGGAAAACATTTTCTATGAAGCGGTGGAACGCGAAGCGCCAGCTTTACTAGGGTTCATTCCCAGGTATCTAGGCGTCATGCTGGTCAATTACCGTCGTGTCCATCACCATCCACAGCATGTGGAGGGCGATGTTGCTGGTGCCGGTCAACAGGACCAGGACAAGTCTGCCTCGAGCCCAGATAGCCCAGAGAACCCAGCTCGGTCTGGTATGCAGCAGCCTTGGTCAAGCAGCGTTGTCCCCGAACCCGTTCTGCTTCCTTCATCTAGTGCTAAACAGCACCTGGGGATGTCTCAACCAGGGACGCCACCAATGGCGGAATCGCAAGACGAAGAGGAGCTACCGGAAGTCGTCTTGCAGCACAATATACACATGCTACCGCCATGGTTGCTGGCTCCAACTGCACAAGAACCGATATCCGTATCCGGAGACAATAGCCCGACCAACACACCTCGTCCGTCATACCGTCCGAACTCCTGGGGCTTATCACGATCCTTCGCACTTGGAGGCTTACCCCTCCAGGATCCAGGAATGTATGGCCTCCGAAAGCCGGTAGCAAGAAGCGCTAGTCCTGATGGTGTTCCATTTGAAGCAGAACGAAAACGTGACAAGGTTCGACGTCAGCTGCAAATGAGCAAACCTGGTACCCCACAGCCTCCTGCGACACAGAGCATGACTCCAGGGCAAGGTGTCGTTGGTGGACTTGGCACCACGGTTGTTAATTCGCGACTGCGAGACCATGTTTTCAGTACAGTCATGAGGAGGTATAGAAAGAAAGCGGCAGACGCGGAGCGAAAGAGGAAAGATGAGAAGCTCAGGAGCAACTCCGTCCTCAACAAGAATAACCTCGGCGACTCACAAGACTCAAGTCCGACCGATTTGTCCAAGGCTGGCCCTCTTGGTAGGCTTCTACAAGAAGAGCATCACCTTCGGCGGGTGCAAAGTGCTGGTCATCTACAGAATCACGTGCAGTGTAAAGAAGCAGATACGTCTGGTGTTTTCGGCGACATGGAAGATGTCGAAGGCATCGTGGCGGATTATCAGCGGAGGCCACCCCTTTCTGGAGACGGGTTTCGCAAGAGTCGGAAGACTATGAGCACTGCGGCCGCTGTAAATGGCATGCACACCCCTTTGGAATCACCGGTTGCTTTGTCACCGCCTTCACACGAACTGCAGGGTACCCGTCAGGAGCACTTCATCCTCCTCGAGGATCTCACTGGCCGACTTAGGAAGCCATGTGTTCTCGATCTCAAGATGGGAACACGGCAGTACGGCGTAGATGCTTTGCCTGCGAAGAAGAAGAGCCAACGCGCCAAGTGTGACCGGACCACCAGCCGCACTTTGGGTGCGCGAATCTGCGGAATGCAGGTGTGGGACAAAGTCGAGGGCTCCTTCTACCAGCAGGACAAATACATCGGACGGAAAATCAAGACAGAGGACTTCCCGAATTCGTTAGCTCGATTCTTGTTCGACGGCGATAAGTTCCTCGTATATCACATCCCTCCGATGATCCAGAAACTCTGCGCATTGGCTCGCATCATCGTCCAGTTGACTGGATACCGGTTCTACGGATGCAGCCTGCTTCTTCTATACGAAGGCGAGCCAGACATCCAATCCGCGTATGCTCGGCTGGGCCCGGCTGCACACCTGGTTTCCCGGTTTACGGAATGGGTTCCCCCAACAGTCGGTGGCACTGGTCACTCCGGGCAACGCCCCGAGTTGTGCATCGACTTGTCTGTCCCGACAAAGAAGGACGGTCGCGCATGCAGGAAACGAAAGGGAGAACTCGATATCCGAATTGTGGATTTCGCCCATTCGGCGACTGGCAAAGATTATCTACCACATCCTCCTCCCTCTCCAGGAGCACCTGAGATGCTCAACTCTAATGGATATGATTCGCGGGTCGATCCAGTGTCTGGGCTCATATATGCCCGCTTTTCTCCACATCGACCCGAGCTTCCCGATATTGGGTTCTTGTTCGGTCTCAAGAACCTCGTACATACGCTGGACAAAATGTGGAACGAGGAACGGTCGAAGCGGAGTCGGGCCATCCAAGAAGGAAGAATGGCAGAAGCAGAAAAGCTCTCACCTTTACCGCAGGACGGGAGAGAAGTATTTGATACCGTATTTGGGAAACCTGGCGCTCCGGGCTTGGTGACCGACGGCTACATATCCACGTAATGACTCTCAACGCATGCATATTCGTTCGTTTCCTTGCGCACAACACCCATGTATATATACACAAGTCATGATATAGTTTAGTTGAGATTCGTCTAGTGTTTTGTCGGGTACCAGTTTTGTAGCAATCTTTGCATGAGCTGGACTAGAGCGCCCGCTGAATTCATGTGTTTTATTCCTTTTGGTTGGTATTCAGTCCAGGAACCGGGGCATCTCCAAGTTGATTGGTCCGAAAAGGAAACTGCCAGGTCTTCTAAAAGGTTCCGTTCACATTTTCGGCTTCGCGCGTCACTTCTGTGCCCCTCACGGCCGCTCACGTCCACCACCGTCTCACCCCCTCACTCTTTTCCCCCTCATTTCCCCTTCAGCCGCCTTAAAATAACCTCGTTTATTGGGGGAATATCAACACTCCTGTTTCTCTTGCTCAGGATGGTCAACAAGACGATTCAATACACGACCGTTGCCTTCATCTCATGTGTCGCAATAAGCGGCCTCGCATATGTGGGATGGTGGGACTATAAACGCCGGAATGACCCGTCTTTCCGCAAGAAACTACGTGAGTGCAGCATAGCATGTTTGGGGGGCGATGCTGATAGTGTGTTTCAGGAAAGGAGCATAAAAAAGCAAACAAGCATGCTAAGGCAGCTGATGAGCAAGCCAAGAAGCAGCGCACTGCGGATTTGAAAGAGGCGCTCGAGAAAATCAAAGTTGAGACTGTGCCGACAACACCCGAGGAGAGAGAGCAGTACTTTATGCAGCATGTCGGTATCGGCGAGCAGCTATCTGTTCAAGGCATGTAGCATCATCACTTCACTCACTATCCATGCCTGACTTTGCTAGCAGGTCCTGCTTTCCATGTTGCAGCAGCCCTATCCTTCTATCGCGCTCTTAGGGTGTACCCGTCACCGGTGGAGCTCATCATGATCTACCAAAAGACGGTCCCAGAGCCCGTCTTCAAGATTGTCATGGACCTAACAAGCCTGGACGTGAGTAATACCGTCGCCCCTGCCGATTTAGGCGTAGACGACGATGCACCGACGTCGACCCCTCCGGCCACAGGATCTGGGTCTCCTTCTTCAGCTGGCACACGCCATGGCGGTCGCAGAGGCGCAAGCGCGAGCGGCGCCAGTGGTGACGAGCGTTCGGAGGCGTCGTCCCAAGACTGGGAGACAGTCACCGATCCCGAGTCCCATGGCCATGCGGCGGCTCCTTCGCAGGCTTGAGCAAGCGCTAGAGCTGGAGGGAAGGCCGGGAATTTGTGCACTGTGCGGTGACGAACTGCATCCTACGTGATCCTCATCACCCGCATATTTTTCTGTTTTGCCCTGTCTGATAACTGCAATGTTGATCTAATGCAATATTCCTATCCTCGCCCCGCTCTATCTCGATTGCCTTGTGTAGACTAAAGATCGGGCAGAAGGTGAGCACCGCGCCTCCTCTGTCCGACCGTGTGCAAGGCTCAAGGCATGTAAGCATACTACTACTACTTCCCTCCACCCCACATGAATGTCGTGGTGAGACAAATCATTGCTACGGAGCAAGCGAACAGTTCTCCCAGAAAGGTTGTCCTGATTGCAAGCAAAGATTTTCAGCACGGTGAAGAAATCTACAAGGTGACCCATAGACGGAATCTGCATACCCGAAGGCTGACTTTAAGACAGGAACACCCAGTAATTGCACAGCTGGATATCGACCTTGAAGTAATGTGCATGTTTCTCTGCTCACTTGGTTGAAAGCTAAGCCACGTGATCAGGGCACGGCACAATACTGTTCACACTGCTTCAGAGCTCTTCAATCAGGTAAATCCATCACTCCACCTGAGGACCTGCTTGGCTCGGCGTATTGCTCGACAGAATGTCAAATGATTTCCGACACACAATCTCAAAACTTATTATTCGGTCGAGGTCCGCTTGTGCCGAACGAAGCTGTTACGGGCCAGCTTGAACGAACTGAAGCGGCAGAAGCGGAGCGGCGCGCATACCAGCAGGCGTTTGTTGATTTTTTGAAAGCTTGCGGGTGGACTCAGGTCCTGCTTGTCGGTCGGTTTTGTGCAAGGCATGTTTCCGAGGAAGTGAAGAAGCTTGCCCCACTCCCGGCATCCCTCGTTGAACGCTCAGCTCTCCCAGAACCAATCACCCCCTCTCCTGAGTATACGTTCTATGACCACGTCGAAAGGCTGAAGTTCTTGGAAATTCAACCCACTGAGATGGTCATGTTGGAGCACAATCTTCTTCAAGATGTTTTGAAGAAAGCCGTTGCTGGGCTGGAAGAAGTTGTGGAGATCAACAAATATCTCGCCATGAAAGGAAGAATCGCATATAATTCCATCGGCGTAGCCTTCGACGGTGGGAGAGATGACAGAGTGAGTTTTGCGACATTTTCTGTGCGAGCGACGTTTTGAACGCTGGGCTCAGGCTGACCCGAAAGGGCGAGTTGAGACGTGGGAGTGGTCCCGCACACCCGTCGGTACCGAGAGACAGATTGGCTCAGCTCTGTATCGAGTTTCGTCATACGTGAGGACAATCTTTCGTGCTCCATTATAGTCTCTTGACATCAACGCGCAGTTGACACACTCCTGTTCCCCTTCTGTTCGCCTCTGTTTCAAAGGGACGAACGAACTGCACCTCATCGCGAACCGAGCTATTTCGAAGGGTGAACATCTCACCATGTCATACACGAGCATAGAGGCCAAAAATGGTGAGGCACCCGAAGTAGCGAGAAGACAGAGACGCATCAGGCTGGCTAGAGGATGGAGATTTGCCTGCGAGTGCGAGGCTTGCACGGGCAAGAAATCAGAAGTTGTCGGGACGATGACAGCCCCGGATGTCATCTTAGAGAAAGGGGTCTGAAAGAGACACTCAGAGCTCGTATATAGAGAACCACGGACCATTCATCGCATGTCATGTTCCTTCCGCGAGTACTTACCCAAACTGCTTCAACACCTGATAGAGCCGCACTATACAGATAGACCTGTCTTATAGACCCAGTGTTCCTCAGACTTTGTGATGGAAGAAGAGATTACCGCCAAAGACCGCCGAGGGGAGTCACCGAATAACGGAATTATTAAAGCGGGAGCGATCACAGAAGAAGATGACCCCTAATATATGACGCGCCTCTCGCGTTCCTATGAGACCGCCACTCCGTCTCTATTCTCTGGGCGCATACAACCCGCCATTCCGTCGCGCTCTCTCTCTATCCCACACCACCACATATTGACAGGATAATTTTTCAGTATGTTTATGCTGAGGAATTGTACGTGTTCTTTTAGATATTACCTGAACAGTATTGACATTTGACATCCAGTGTTTGGCAAAGTGTGGAGTGAGTTGCCGCAGCACCCTCCCATTGAGTCACCCAACTGACAACGAACATAGGCGACCCACAAGCGTCGGAGCTGGCAAAAATTCCGAATGGGGCGTTGTACCTGGTACGCCAGGACCATATTCGGAGTTCGCGCGAGTGCATGTGCGATTTTTGCTCTTTTTGAAGATTCGTTCGCCTAACGTAATGTGCAGATATCTTGCCGCGATGGCGTCAATCAGGCGGACGTCGACTGAATTCCACTACGAACTCGCTATCTCGAGAGTCTTTGACAGGGGTGAAGTCTTGGATGAAGACGAAGATGGTGCGCAGCTGAGGTGTTCTTGAACGTCCACGCGTATACTCATTCAGCCTTAGATGACTCCGAGCGGTCTTTCCTTATCGATGAACAACTTGAATTTCGTCAAGCCACATACGAGGGGCAGCCCTCTTTTGTGTGGAAAGATGTGGCAGGGGACATGTTTGAATTTGTGGCGAACGGCGCAACCAAAGCTACTGTAGACTTCTTTGAAGTCAACTACCTGAAAGCAGCCTTTGAGCGCAAGTATCAGCGGAGCTCGGAGAACGTGAGCGATGTCGAGCTCGAAGCTCTTCGGTATGTGTACGTGTTTTCGTACTTTGATTTGTCTTGTCATTGAATACGAAACATAGTCCAGGTCGCATTAACGGACCGATTCCCCAGAGCCGGGCTATCAGAGAGAAGTCTGCCAATGAAGAGATAGTGACTTCGTTCCAACGATTTAAATCACAGTCGGTTTCTTCACCTCCGAAGCTCAACCCATCCAAGAAAGTCACTGTTGCAGACAATGGGGAAATTCTGTCGGAAGAGCCTGCTGTGCTCTACCTGTGGAGTCTTCAGGAGGGCAAGTTTATACCTCAGGCAACGTCGACCGCTCAACTGGCTGAGACTGAAAATTTCGTTTGTGAGTAACGCGTGTGATATCTTAGCACCAGGCTAATGCCGATTCAGTCTGGATCCTTGCCAAGGAGTCTGACAGGAAGAGTGGGACCAGCATCATTCTGGCACACCCGGTAACAGCAGACATAAACGGAAGATGGTCGAAGGTTCATCTCTCATTCACCTGGAATGTCTATACCTTCCCGACGCCTGAACGTATGGTGACGGAAACATGGTGCTTCAAATTCGATGAGGCGGGTTCGTATCAACGCTTCCAAGATCGTATGAATATTTGCCTGTGGGAGACCTTGAATCAGATGAGGTGGGGAAAGATTAAGGTTCGAAGTCAAGCTCTATCGAATATATAGAGTGAGCTAAGTATTTTGACAGGCGGATGAACAGGCATATGCGGAGTCCAGCTGGCAGGATGAAGACGTCGAGATGACCGATGCTGAAGTGGAGGAAGAGCTAGAGCAGGAGCGCGCTCGGGAAGAGGACGAAGAAGATGAAGAAGACGTGCATGAAAGTGTGTATATGCGTACACAAACAATGCGTATCGCTCACGTGTTTCCAGTAATGACTGCTTATGACGAGGATGAGGATGAGGACGAAGAGCGCCAAGCACTGAAATCCGCCAAGGGTGTCACAAACTCGCATCTTGCTGTCGGTCACGTCGTCGACCGCTCCTTTGTGGTCCGAGGTAACAAGATCGGGGTCTTCAGGCATACGGATGACGACAAAATCAAGTATGCTTCAACGATTAACAAGATCGCAACGCCCAAAGGAGAAGTTTTCACTCCAAAGAAAGTCATGCTGCACGATCGTGATCACACCATGCTACTCATGAACGACAACAATCCGAATTCGTTATTCCAAATGGACCTGGAACGGGGCAAAGTTGTCGAAGAGTGGAAGGTGGATGACGATCGGAAATTGGTCGAGATTGCACCGGATTCTAAATTTGCTGGGCTTACCGGTCAACAAACCTTGGTTGGGACTTCTCATAATGCATTGTTCCGCATCGATCCACGGCAGTCCGGTAACAAGATCGTTGACAGCGAGACAAAGCAATATGTCACGAAGAACGAGTTCTCCACAGTCACCACCACGCAGGGAGGAAAGGTTGCGGTTGGCTCTAACAAGGGTGAACTGCGACTGTTCGACACCATTGGAAAGAACGCGAAGACTGCCCTTCCAGCCATCGGCGATCCCATCATTGGCCTTGATACGACCAAAGATGGACGATGGATTGTGGCTACCACGAGGACCTATCTTATGGTCGTCGATACTCTCATTGGCGCTGGGCGCTTTTCTGGCCAGCTCGGTTTTGACCGCAGTTTCCCCGCGGATGCGAAGCCGATCCCGCGTCGGCTTCAGCTGCGACCTGAGCACGTTGCGTACATGGGCTCGGAAGTATCGTTCACGCCCGCACGGTTCAACACCGGCCCGGATCAGGAGGAGAAAACGATTGTGACGAGCAGCGGGCCGTTCGTCATTGCATGGGACTTTAAGAAAGTCCAGCAAGGCAGACTGGATAAGTATGATATCAAGCAGTACGTTTCTCCGCCTTTGCTTTCCTGGAATTCCTCGCTGATTAGGATTACCCGACAGGTACGCGGACAAGGTCATCGAGGACCAGTTCAAGTTCGGCAACGACAAGAACATTGTCGTCGCTTTGTCGAACGACGTGCTGAGCATCGACAAAAAGTTGCTTCAGCGGCCGACGAGGGCGTCACTCTCTACACCCGCGAAGCTGCTACGGAGCAAGAGCGGTATTGTCAACAGTCCATACTAGGTGTGCCTGTCCGCCTTGCACCCTCCACTTGGGGGCGTGATTGTCCTTTTTTTCTATGTGTTTTCTGTTGTGATTATGATGATGGGAATGCACGGCTCTTTATTTACGCACATCGGTGGGTCAAGTTTTCCGCTTTTGACGAGTAGTTACATGCTAGTAGTTCACGAATTTTCCGGGATACGGTGCGACTCAGCACGGTAATAATATCATGTAGTTAGGAATAACGATAGGATCAGCTCTTGGTCGATACGGTGAGCCGAGGGAGAGGTAAAGCGTATCTGCCGTTCCTCCGCGGTTCCGCGGTCACAAGGCAACGCGGGTTCTGCTGGCAGAAGCGTGGGGAAAAGAGAGCAAGCATCGGGCAGGTGGGGGAGTAAATACCCAGGGATGGCTGAAGGTGCTGGCGTGGGACTCTATTTATGCTGCTGTTACAGCTGGTATGCATGGGGCTGGATAGCTGGACATGAGCTGGAGGTGTACGTATTGAGAAGGGATTAGAGCGAGATAAGGTTTGCTAGAAGACGGAGGGTTGGATTGACCGGGTGAGCATGTCTAAATGCTGATGATGTGAGAGATATAGCAAGGGATTGGGTGGATGATAGGGAGAGGGTTGAGAGTGAGCATATGTGGGCGGTCACGGGCAGTCGGTTGGGCGTTCCACGGAGATAATGACTAGGAGTGGAATAGACTCCGGATCATTGCGTAACCGGACGAACGCTGTAGATATTGAGAGGGGAATTCAGTCAGCGAGTGTGGGAATAAAAGATATTATAACAGAGTAACGCCGAACTGCCCCGTTGTACTCTTACAATCAGACGCGTAACTTTCCCTCACCGTATTGCCCGTGTTGCAATCATTAACTAAGTGGAGGCACACTCCAAGGCTATTACCGCTACCACCACCATCCTTGTCATCGTCATCTACCCGCCTCCCCTTCTCTTACCCATTCCCTCAGGTGAGACCCTCCAAACCCTCCGTGTATGCACGTCCAGCTCAACAGGCTTCTCATCTCTCTCTCACTCGCTGTCATCGCCCTCGCCCTCTCATACTACTACCTCCTCCCCACTGACAACATCCCCCCGACTACTAGCGCCCCTTCCCCTCTAGAAACCTCAGTCATGTCCGGTACAATCCCATCCATGGAGGGCTCCCACGTTGCCCTCAAAGACAACACGGTCATCATCGGTGCGTCCATGCCTAATATGCGCAATTACACCGATTCTGATGGGATCATCGACTAGTGCTCGGTGCTTCTGGTGATCTTGCTCAGAAGAAGGTACGCCCCAGCTTGACCCCTCCCCCCGAAGTGGATGCTGATAAGCCCCCTTCGTAATACAGACTTTCCCGGCCCTGTTCACCCTCTTCCGGCAGGGTTACTTGCCCAAGGGCGTGCACATCGTCGGTTATGCCCGGACAAAGATGGATTTGCCCGAGTTCCACCGGCGGCAGACGGTGTACATCAAGAACAAGGATGATCCGGAGATCAAGAAGAAGCTGGATGAGTTCAGCGCTCTCTCGACGTACGTTGCGGGAGCATACGATCAGGACGCTGCCTTCCAGCAGCTCACTAAGCACCTCGAGGAGATCGAGGGGACCTACGGTGCTGCAGAAGCGAACCGGGTGTTCTACATGGCACTCCCGCCATCGGTGTTCACCACCGTCGCTCAGCACCTCCGGTCCAATTGCTACTCCACCAAAGGCCACAATAGGATCATTATCGAGAAGCCCTTTGGGAAGGATCTCGATTCGTGCCGCGAGATGATGAGTGCGCTCAAGGCTGTCTGGACTGAGGACGAGACCTACCGTATTGATCACTATCTCGGCAAGGAGATGGTCAAGAACTTGCTTGTGCTCAGGTTCGGTAACACGGCGCTCACACCATCTTGGGATAAGAACTCGATCGCGAACGTTCAGATTACCTTCAAGGAGCCGTTTGGTACTGAAGGCCGGGGTGGCTACTTTGACGAGTTTGGCATTATCCGTGATATCCTGCAGAACCGTGGGTGCACTATCCTGGCAGCATGCATGCGGCGGCTGACAGTGCACTTCAGATCTGCTCCAGGTGCTGTCTATCCTGACCATGGAGCGCCCTGTTTCCTTCTCCGCAGAAGACATCCGTGACGAGAAGGTCAAGGTGCTGCGTGCGATCCCCCCAGTGGCGCGGGAAGACACCCTGCTTGGTCAGTACGTCGGTGCGAACGGGAAGCCGGGATACCTCGAGGACGATACCGTGCCGAAGGGCTCGACTTGCCCGACGTTCGCGGCGACCACGCTCTGGATCCACAACCCCCGTTGGGAGGGCGTGCCATTCATCCTCCGTGCTGGCAAGGGTAAGCATACTCCTTCGGCTAGCCGAAGAATGCTCTAACGAATCATGCAGCGGTGAATGAGGCCAAGGTGGAGATCCGCATCCAGTACAAGGAGGTCACACAAGGCATCTTCAAGGACATCTCACGGAACGAGCTCGTCATCCGTATCCAGCCAAACGAAGCCGTGTACATCAAGCTGAACCTCAAGACCCCCGGGATGGCCACGCGCGCCATGCCAACGGAAATGGACCTGACCTACAAACGGCGGTTCACAGACGCCGTCATCCCCGAAGCGTACGAAGCGCTCATCCTCGACGCGATCCACGGAGATCACTCCAACTTTGTCCGCGACGACGAACTCGACGTCGCTTGGAAGATCTGGACCCCGCTGCTCCACTGGATCGACGGGAGGGAGGGGAGTCCCCCGAAGCCCGAACCATACCCCTACGGATCACGCGGGCCGAAGCAGCTCGACGCCTATATCGCCAAGTACGGCTATAAGCGCACGGACAGGACATACTCCTGGCCCGTGACGAACGTCTCCTCTTTGTGATCCCGGTACGGCATAGAAACGTCAAGAATGAGATACGAGATGTATGCGAGTGCGCAGGATGTGTAGTGTATCATTCCCCTCCCCTCCTACCCCCCCTCTCCACAGTTGCCCCGGCTCGTCCAGACCCCGGCCATGATGATTTTCCCAGCAGTTGGTTCTAGTGCACGCGATCAGTGGGTTCCCATGGTGTATTGTTTGTGTAGTTCAGTCGCTCTCTCTTCCTTTCGAGTGTAGTCTGTCGCCCAAAAGCGCGGAACGTGCCTCGGGGACCAGCGGACGTGGTATGAAAGACAAAAAAAAGAAATGGAATTACGTATGAGACAGAGAATGAATGTTTCTTTAAAACTTGGAATTGTGGGAAATACAACAGTGTGCGCCAGTGGATGGAATGGATGGAAAGGATGGAAAGACAGTACTAGTTTTTTAGGTTGCGAGAATCTGGATACCGAGCCGCATGTATTACGAGTAACGTACGCCACCGGAAAAGCTCAAGTCATCAGCCGAGTCGTGTACGGCAGAGCGGCCCAAAGGCAGATATCGACAGCCATCATAGCGACCAGCATGGGCTGAAGGATCTTGATACCGTATTTCTGAGCCAGGGCGCCTGTGATGAAAGGGAAAAGGGCGGAACCGGCTTGTCCGAATGATCCGATCCAGCCGATCGCGCCCGTTAGCAGGCTGGAGGATGTGAGGATTTTGAAATGGGCTGAGAGTGGACGAGGACAGGACATACCCGCGTGGGAGGATCTGGCGGCTTACGCCGATCATGAGAGGATAAAAGGGGCCCTGAAAAGTTGTCAGTCTTCGGGAGGTAAGGGGTAGCTAGGCTTACGAGAAGCAGTCCGATCAACGCTGCTGCGACCGCGTCCCCGATCACGGATGGTACGAACCAGACGATCATCAGAAGTCCAAGGACGAGAAAGCTGTAGAGATAAATGACACGGTTTGTGCCGAGCTTCTTGTTCACCCAAAGGAGCAGCACCCTGCCTAATGCGAGGCCTATCATCCAATCAGACACAACGTGATAAGACAGACAGGATTGTTTACCTCCGAAGAAACCGCTAGATGCATAACCTGATGAAGGACCACCGCCACGCACTTGCACGAGGTAGGTGACGATCCATCCTCCGAGGGTGACTTCGAGGCCGACATACACCAGAACAAAGAAAGCCAGAACATGGACAGTGGAAAGCTGGAATATCTGCTTCATCTTGTTGCCTCGAACTGGCTCTATGGGTCCGTCTGAGTCTAACCAGGCACCCAGGATCTCTGCGCTATATTGTCAACTTGACTCGCCCGTTCCTTGATGCACTCACGAGCTTCTGTCCGAAAGCGGAAGGTTACGACATAGATGATCACACCTGTTAATGCGAACCCGGTCTGAACAATGTATCCAATGGACCAGCGCGGCATCTGGGCGAATTGAGTGGCAGCAAAGGGGCTTAGAAATGCTCCGAAACCCTATAGGGATTCGACATCAGCTTCTAGAAGGATGTAATAAGCACTCACGTAGCTCATGTGTAGGATTCCGAGCTTCGGTGCGGGATCTGGCATAGAAGCAATGAGAGTGTTGAGGTGCGCATTCTTCTATGCTGTTAGGTTTGGGATACTACGGACACATGAAAACATACAAGAAGAGCACCACCGAATCCGTTGAAGGCAAACGCAAGTGCAAAGACGGGGAAAGGAGGGCCGGTGGACTCCAACACAGCGGCGATCAACTGTCAACAGGTCAGGACGCCGGTATTTACTTCAACATCCCGCATACCTGGCAAGAGCTACCCACCACAACAATCTGACCAATGGTTATCCACAATGATCATGGAAACAGGATACAAACGCGTACCTTACCAAATCCAAGCTTATCTGACAGCCATACGTTGAGAAGACCGGCAACAATAAAGCCCTTGAAACTTTCAGAGGCAGAGAGAAGACACATTTCGACAAACCACATACCACAAAACTGCACACGTACAACAATGACACAACAGCAAAGCCAACGTTCCAGAATGCCTCCATACGAAGAATGAGCGGACCAGTTGAACCATCATTCCAGCCCACTGATCGCGTGATCAATCTCCAATAGGCAAGAATCAAGAAGGTGCCAACATACTAACGACTACAGACCAGCAACAAGCCAGTACATAGAGAAAAAGTCGTTTTTGACTTGGAGATATTGGCTCAGGTGCATGGATAGATTCCGCCGGAGTCTCAGATACAGCATCCTCAATTGGTGCCTTGGAGTTGACACTTGTGAGCTCAATGTCAGTCCCATTTCCCAACACAGGCAAATCATGCGCCGTTACACGAGCAGTCTGAGAGAACGCGGAGAAGCTAGGCCGCCTGTCCGTAGAGCGGGACCCTGTTCTGGCATGAGCCGGATAGGGAACGGCCAGGGCGGGTTCTAGGTAGTCTAGAGGCTCAACTGTTTCTGCCATGACGTGGCGGGGGAGCACAGTAGTTTGAAGCGAGTATCGGGTACCAGTTCAAATACAACAGCTAGATAGGTTCATGTCCTGTCGACGCACGTCCGGCCATTAGGAAGAACCTCGAGACACGAAGACGACAGAGAGCCGTCACAAGGCCGCCTTTGCCTTCGGTCGGATCTCCAGTCGATAACGCTTCCTGCTATTCATATCGCCGAATCTGGCCGAATCTCACTCCGAGAATGTGGAACGCTACGAAAAATGAGGGAGAACCTCGCGAGTCATGAGGGCGTGCGAGGAATGTCCCACGGGCGGACGGTCCGATAAAGCACATCGGCCAGGGTGTGGCGATCACGAAGCGTCCAGATAGTTCAAACGTGCAAGGACAATACGCACTGGGCAGTGGTCAAAGACATATTATCAAGCAGATGGAAAATCAGCAACCGGGCACGGGCAGAATCTCTGGGCAGCTTCGTAGGAACCGGAAGTGGGTCATCGATACGCCGTGAACGTGTTGAGCATGCTGCACGTCCCTACCAGACCGCCGACAAGGGATCAAGAGGGTTATTATGCCGCTGTTCGAGGCCCATGTTCCACGGAGTAGTGCTTTAATGAGAGGCAAAACGACAGAGAGCAGTGGACCCGGCCGGGGGTCGGAAGCGCGGGAGCTCTTTCCTCACGTAACACAGAAGGGCCAGATCTCTCGAGAAAATCGTGACACGCGGATACTTTGCTTAAATTGGTTAGATCAACCACGGTTGCTTCGGATCTTTGCAGATCTAAGAGATAAAATACCTGGCTGCGATAACACTGATTCAATCCGTCCTGCGAGGAATAGCAGGCACCAGCGCCCACAGTCCGATACAGGAAGCCATCATGGCGACTAATAACGGTTGAAGGACTTTGATGCCAAACTGGACAGTCATGAGGAGAAGGGCCACTGGTAATAGTAAAGAAGACGTACTTTCTGCGACAGAAGACCGGTCAAGAATGGGAAGAGGGCCGAGCCCACTGTATGGGATCAATATCTGCTCTCCGTGTCAACGGAGATTTCATACCTTGACCGACCTAGCGATGGCAGTGTTAGTAAGATTCACTTCAGAAAGAACTTGAGAACGAGCTAACCGAGGCGATCCAGCCGATACTGCCCGCCAGCAGCCAACGAGGCAAGAGTTGGCTTCCGGTTCCAACAACGAGCGGGAAGAAGGGTCCCTTTAGACCATTTTGAGCAACATGCCGACGGTCTTTTCGGCAGCGCGCGTACCAGAACCAGTCCAACTCCTGCGATCGCTATCGCATCGCCGATCACCCATGGGACGAAGCAAACAAGGGCTTCCATCCTGTGGACCTTATAAGGGAGAGGCGCATGACTAGAAGACGATGCTTACGCGATCGCCAACCCGAGATAGAAGAAGATAACTCGTCTCGGGTCGATCTTCTTGTTTACCCACATGAGGGCGAGTCGACCCACTGTCAAACCTGAGAATGGATGAACAGATATCCCGCTGTGCATAGACAATCAGACGAACCTCTCCAGAAACCGCTAGAGATGTAGCCTGCCGACGGTCCTGCCCCTCTGACCTGGGTGAGATAGGTGACGATCCATCCCCCGATGGTAGCCTCCAATCCCTCATAAAACAGAAGGAAGAATGCGAGCAGGTGGACCGCCTTGAAGGTCAGAAGCTGCTGGAACTTGTTTGCCCGGTTGGCTTGCTCTTCCGCATTCGCTCCCTCTGGAATGCCGAGTACGTCTTCCATCCTTCGCAGCCGGAAGACGAACGTGACCAGCACGAATACAAGCAGGGCGAAGCACGCCGTGATCAGATATTGGAAAGACCAGTGAACAGTTTGGGAGAAGAGAGTCGCTACTAATGGGCTGACTGTTGCACCAACGCCCTAAAATCTTGTTAGCTCAGGGGAAATAGACGAAGGATGCAACTTACATATGATGCATGGAGCAGCTGATGCTTATTCTCCGAGTTCGGAAGATTTGTGACCAGCACGTTCGCTTGTGCGCCCTGCAGAATATCGGATTTCCTCCCACCTCATCAGATCGAAAGGCTCACCAGAAGGCCGACGGCAAATCCATTGAGTACAAAGGCAGAAACCATGGCGGGGAAGGGCAAAGCGGACGCCATCAGCGCGTAGGCCGCGACTTGGCAGAGAGCGGTTAGAGAGCAGATCTTGCCGAAGCCGAAGGTGTCCATTAGAGGCACAGTAAGCGCGGCGGAGAAAACATATCCCTGTCATCCGACATGAGAGAGGCATCCGACAGCAGAGGAGAAACATACGATAAACGTTCCGACGAAGAGCAGAGAGACGATCGTGGAGGTCACGTTGTAGTTGTCCTGGATCCGGAGTAAGAGCGGCCCAGTAGAACCATCATTCCATCCATCTTCCCAATAATATCGTCAAGGATGCCCCTGATTCGTGACGCCTAACGTACAGACGAAGTATGCCCAATAGAGTACCGCCAAGTATGTCCATTCCTGCCTCCTGCTGAGGGTAGGAACAGCACTAACCGCCTCCGCTTGTGGCTCGGCAGGCACGTCTTCAAGAGCAGACGCACGGTTTGTTAGGCTTGTTCCGCTCCTCAGTGAGTCGAGGTGGATCCGGTCAGCCAGTTCTATGGAAGTCATAGCAGATGATAGTAAGCAAAGGAAATGTTCAGACTAAGGGCATCCCAGCATTTGCCGGTGTTAGATAAGATCGTGCCGCAGGGCGCTCGTGGCAGAGCGAATGTTTGACAATTGCACCAATATTGCGCCGATTTATTGAGTTACTACCTGGATAACGAAAGAGCTGTCGCCCTCTGTTCGATCCATGATGGGGTATAATGTTGGGAGAAACGGTGGTTATGATCAGACCCTGAAAGCCTCATCATCTCTCTCACAACCACCTCCTTCCATGTAAGCAGCAATACGGTAGCAATGGGTATTACAGGGCGCGTCTTTCCTACAAACTGAACGCCCTAAAACTGACGCGTGTTTAGGTTGGCACGCTGGTCCAACTCGAATCAGCAAGACCTGGATGTCGTCTGCCAACGGATTGTGCGCACGGGGGTACGCTCACGAACTGTCTTGTCAACACAAAGCTCACGCGTACCCAGGGTGTGCACAAAGGTCGTTGGCTCCTGCTTATGCGCACATATCGTTCAACAGCGCCTACTGCCTCTGGTATACGGGGCGAACGGATAATGCACACTGTGACTCCCATGGGCGTGTCTGATCCGTGCACCTACGTCTGGCTCGAAGACGGGAGTGTGCCCTCTCGCGGGGAGTACCGTCTCCAGCTCGCGGAAAAGGGCGCAGAAGAGGCAGCAAGGAGCAGAATGGCGATGCTAAAAGACGAGGAGCCCGCACATTTCCGCACGACATTTGTGACGCTCAAGCCGCCGAATTCGCTCGATATGCTCTTGACGAACTTGAGGGCGAGCTGGATCCCTGGACGGCAAGTGGGCGAGAGAGAAGGGTGGAATAGGGCTTGGCAGGCTGCGGGGAACGCTCCCCATCTCACGTTGGATGGGTTTGTATTCCAGATCGGGTTGGATTGGATTGTTAGAGTGGGGAATTTGTCCAGTCCTGCGGGAGGGGCGAAAGGGATGATACTCGAGGTGAATCCTTTGCACCAATATGCTATTGTTGGAATCTGATCGATAAACTAGGCTGAATATCTACCTCTAGTACATATGCCACCGCGCGAAGACGGCGATGTAACAAAACTAAACGACTTCCTCTCTTCTTTCCTCGCCGGACTCTTCCCTGCTTCACCAGGTGCACGCCGCACGGTAGCAGCGATGGAAGAAAATCTATGGGTTGAAGCGTCGGCGGAGGACATATTCGAGAACCTGTATGTGGTGGATGAGCAGAAGGAGCAGCTGGAGAAGCCATTCGTGAATGGTGTGAGCGAAAGTCAGAATGCGAAAGTTGAGATGGAGGTGGATAAAGTGCTCGAGACACCTGTGGACGGGGAGAAAGGAGAGGAGGACAATGGCGATATGGCGAAGACTGACGAAGTTGACGGGGATGATATTGTGCTAACCGAAGATGATTGGGTGTATGGAACGGACACGGTGCCGCCTCCGGATCGAAGGGACTGGGTGGGTGCAGAAAAGGACCGCCGATCTGCGTTTTCTATCATGTTTGTTCTTCGAAGAGAGAATATTCTGTAACTGTTCTTGTAATATTAGACCAACTAACTGAATGTTTCCTAATTATCCGTTGTGATGGATTTCGGATCTCGTAGCATGGGGATATATCCAGCAGTGATGGTTACGTAAGGGCACGTGAAGAAGCATGACTCGGCGTAAGGGCCCGGTAATTGCAAGTTGACGTCGGCCCCGGTCGCACGAGTCTCTGCAGGGGGGAACTCTCCACTTGCCTTGTCCCTCTGCTGCAATCAATTCACTCTGGCGCCTATTCCCACCCATCCAGCAGCAGCGGCTTACCCCTGTCCCCCTCCTTCCCTGCAGGCTCTCGAATCCACCCTGCCAGCTTCGACCTATTGGATCTACTAAAGCATAATGCGCCCCAGCAGGCGTCTGCATCTCCCCCTACAACCCATCCCAAGCACTTCTTCTACCTCTGCTCCTACCCACTTTTACCGAAATAGGCAGCTCGAGCTCTATGCGAGCAAGAGGAGCAAACCCCTGTCGCTCAGGCAGCTCATCTTCTTTGGGAGGAGCATGAACGAGGAGAGGCTCATCCAAGTGCGTACATTCGCTATCGATTCCTCGATCGGGACTTATCCAGGTGCGATAGAGTGCGAATTATGTGAGGACGGAATTGCCCGTTAGGCTAGCGCATAGGATACGGGACCTCCAGACTCTCCCGTTTGTCGTCGTGAGGCAGGAGCAGGTCGCAAAGGTGTATGAGGTGCGCTGCCCCTATAATGCGAGGGTCCTTCCTGATCATGACACAGTTGTACTGGACGGCTTTCGAGAGGTAACTCTTGCATACATAACGACGACTTAGACTGATTAGGATCAGGGTACGGTCATATCCTCCAATACACGACCTGCATGACAATGAGCGATTCTGCGAATTCCTACAACAAATCCTGGACGAACAGTCAGCCCCTTCCTTCCTTGTACCAACGTCGCTGATCACCCCCACAGTGCAGCAGTAATACCTATGCTCTCGCTCGGCTTCTCCCTCTCTTCCCAACATCTCGCGCCTGAGCTGCTCGACACCGTCCTCCGACGCATGCTCGTCTCCCGTATCTCCCGACGTGTCGTCGCACAGCACCATGTTGCACTCTCGCGCTCGCTCGCCCAGCCTCGGCCTGCAGGGTGGAGACGTGACCAGCAGGATCATGTAGGAATCATCAGCACTGCCCTAGACGCGGGGGAGTGTATACGTCACTGTGTGGAGCTGCTGCACCAGCGAAGAGGGCCGGAGGGACAGGAGCGGATAGGTCCGGAGGTCAAGATCGATGGGGATACAGAGACGAAGTTTGCATACATCCGAGAACACCTGGAATACCCGATATTTGAGCTGCTTAAGAATGTGCGTCTTCCTCCGCTTACCTGTTCTCCAGAGTCCTGAAGCTCACCTACGCACAACGCAGTCATTCCGTTTCACGCGCCTCGCCCACCCGCAACAACCCTCCGAGCCCTCCTCTCTCCCGCCAATCCAAGTCACCCTCGTAAACGCCCCCACCGACGTCCACATCCGCATCTCCGACCAAGGCGGCGGCCTCCAATCCGCCGACGTCGTCACACCCTCCGACCTCTACTCTTTCTCCCACCTGCGAAACAAAGCCCGGCTCGCTTCAGACCGTCTTGCCGCTCTGAAAAAAGCGAGCATGAGCAGCAGGGGCATGATGGCCACTGTACAAGAACAACTGCGGAGCGAGGAAGGAGAAGAAGAAGCACAGGCCGTCGAGGCTGCTAGCAGGACACATCTCGGCATCGGACTCCCCATGAGCAAGATATATGCGGAGTACTTCCGCGGAGGGCTGCATTTGGTCTCCCTGGACGGGTATGGAGTGGACGCGTACCTCCGGCTGCCGAAGTTGGGCACGATGCTGGAGGATATCGAAGTGTGAAATTGGGTGAGTGACGGATATTTGACTCTGGGTGCCCGGCGATGGGGAGGAGGGATTGTCCCGAAAGCAATTGTGTACATTATCATGCATATATATGAATCATCTTGAGTATCTCATACCTGCACTGCTCATTCGTTGCTCTATGGCTCAGGAAGCAAAAGTTCGAGAGTGGATAGCGCACATCTCCGTGAGTCGCATAAGCTATCGCTTTTACGAGGGCGCACAGTGCATCATTCCTGACATCTCTCTAAGCTGTACGCACACACATGTAAGAGGAATCTCTTGGGTATTAATAGTCCAACAAGGTGAAGGAGTGCTAGGTGTCTTATACTACAGTTGAATGCGTACAAAGCCAATACAACAAAGTCGCTCCCTTCCCCCGTGCTTTCACGCAACCTCAACCGTCATCATCCCCTCCACATGTGTGATCTCCAGCCTGTCCGTATCGTCTGGCGACGTCCGCCCGCCAGTAGTGCGAGACCACCAAACCCTGCCTTTCTCCTCCTTCCTCAGCTCTCTCTCGCGGGAAAACAGTACTTCGGCCATATCCCTCACACTCTGGGCAAGGCTCGTCCACTCCGTGCCAAACACCGCTTCTGTATTGATCACATCTACGCGAGAGTGTCTCCCCGGCTTGGTGGGCGGTGTCCTTGGTAGGCGGGGCTCGGAGGGATACTGCAGTCGGACCAGAGCCGTTATCTGGCTGTTGGAGAACTCGCCCCCTACAGCTAGGAACCGCCGGCCCATCGTTTCCGGTCTCCCAAGGGCAGCAACCTCCATACGCGCTAGATCGCGCACGTCCACAAACAGCGGGAACCGGGTCGGAGGGAGAGGATCATAAGCTCCCGAAAGGATCTGCCATGCCTGGCCTACGCTCTCTCCTAGCGACTGGGGGGAAAGGTCCGCCAGCGGCTGGGCAGGAGGGCCAAGGATCACAGGAGGGCAGAAGGTCGTCAGTGCGAAAGAAGGGTTGAAGGTGCTGAGGAAATCCCAGGCCGAGCGTTCAGTGAGCGTCTTTGAAGCCAGATGAAGCTCGACGCTGTCTGATGCTGCTAGGGCTGATTCCCATGTTGCTGGGTTCCAGGAGGAGGGGGTGTATGTGATCCCTGGTGCTAGACCACGCGAGGGATCAAGCACCGCTCCGAGGGAAGAGGTGAGAACGACGTGTTTCACTCGAGGTTGGCGTGCGGCCGCTGCGAGGAGTGCGTGGGTCCCTTCGACTGCGGGGAGGAGGACGTCCATCGGGTCCTCGTACTCCATCGCAAAGGGTGCACAGACATGGATGACATAGTCCACATCGCGAACCGCCTCTTCGACAGCGCGGGGGCTCGTAAGGGAAGGGAGGATGGTCCACTCGAGTGCGGGTGCGCAGGCGGGATGTTGTTTGAGGAACTGGCGTGCGAGTGCGACGGAGGGCACGCCGGCTTTGACGAGGTAACCACGACGAACGAGTTCGAGGACTGTGTGTGCGCCGAGGAATGATGTGGAGGAAGTGACGAGTACTGTTGGTGCTGATGATGTTGCTCCGTATGCCATTGTACCTATTAATGGTAAGGTATGATGTGTTGATGTCGTTATGTCGTCGTTGTTGCCGTGTCCTATTGTGGATGAAGGGGGGCAAAAAGATGTGGGGGAGTCTGAGTGGTGAGATCCGGGACTCGCCTATGCTTTATATTTGTGGCCCTGTGTGTGTTCCACTCTATAAACTCGCGTTGTCGGCGTGTCACTCCCCGGCGCAGTTCCCCTCTCAACCGAAGTGGAGAATGACTCATCCACATTCATTGCGCCCTCTCAACCTATCCACGCCCTCCCTACCGATTCCTTCTCAAAGTGATATCAGGTCTCGACTTTTCCCATTCTCACACGCTGACAAAGCCTCGGCCCTCTCCTTCCGCGGCACACCGGCACAGCACCGCCCCCTGCGCACCACCTGCGCATGCCGAGCCCGAACGGCCACCCGTTGGCTCCGATGGCCAGGCTTGGCTGGGCCCCGAGCTAGGGATACCTGAGTCAGCAGACCTTGCTCAGCCAAGGCGGGCATGCCGTAGCTCGGCGCGGCGGTGTTTGCCCCGCCTTGTCCATCCACACGGTCCACGCTCCCTGCTCTCCGCGAGGGATTGTTGATTAATATTGTTAGTCTCAGTGTGGGGTCGGATGCCGCAGTCGGGATTAAGGTGCTCTTGTCCTTCCTCGGAGGGTGGCTGAATCCTCGGATTTTTTCCGGTCAGACTCACGGAGATAACACTTTCCGAGTCAAGAGAACCTAAAGTGCCAGAAATTGGCAGGCGTCTGTTGGTGAGAAAACATGGTCCTCTCACAATTGCAACGTGCAGGGACAATCATTTCACGTTTCACGTATAGATGTTGAAATTCCACATGCAGATGATTTCACTATCAGAGCAGTGCACGTATTCTGGTTGCGAAAGGATCCACGCCTCTCTCTCGCATGGAGAATATCTCAGCATCTGCAGTCCAAGCATTCTCATCACGAAAGGATCCACGCGTCCTCTATCATGGAATCCAACAGGGTCGGCTCGTCATGCCTCCAACCCAACCTGGGCGTTCACCATTCTCTCATAGAGCGCGTTCTGTTCACCCAGGACGTAAGTCAGTGTCCGGTTCTGCATTATCCCAAGTGCGTCGTCCTTGTCAAGTTCGAGCTGCAGGGCGTCAGCGCGGTCCTCAATTGAGGAGGGGAAGACGAACTAGGGAGATGACGTCGTCCAGCAGGTGGGCGTGGCCCACGTACATCCCCCCTATTGACAGGGTGAGCCTTGTAATATGCACATGGAGATGGTCTGTCCAGAGTCAGCACGCCATATTAACCGAACAAGAAACGCACAATAGCTCGGTAAATAATGGAAATAAATCCTTAGTTCTCCAGGCTCTACATCCCATCTCTCCTTCACCACTCTCCTAGCGTCCGCCCGGATATCCTTAAGCATCCCCACATGCTTGTTCCACAGGTCGCGGATTGACCGCAGGCTGGGATCGCGGAATATACCCGTGAGGTAGAGGGATGATGGGTTCTGGTCCCATTTCATGTCGGGGAGGAGGACATGCGTCGGCGTGGAAGAGAGGATCGGCTCCTCGCTCTTTCCTTCTAGGATATTATACACCCTAGCTCTGAGATGAGCGAGTTCTACACCGATAGGGCAGGGAAAGTACCATTGGATCCGTTCTCGAGGAAGTGCGTCTATGTAGGGAAGGACGACCGAGCGGTACACCTCCGGCGTCTCGTGCACCATGCGCATCTCCTGCTTGCTGTACTATCCGCAGCTCCGTTCCGAGTTCTCAGGATTGGATATGTAGCACAAAGCTCACTTTCCGGATATGCGTCTCGGACGCGTCCCTGATCAGGGTGATCTTCACGTCCGCATCACGGGGCGCCTCGGTGCTGGACTTTGCCCATCCCAAGAGCCAGTTGTACTGCTTTCACGTTGAGTAAGGCTCGAGTATAGAATAGAAGACAAGACGGACGATATCGTTCACCCCCAGAACCTGGAGCTCGCCAATCCCATCCCTTACATACTCGCCAATCCTCTCCTTGTCAAAATGCGTCTTCTCAGCGAGCAGCACCGCGGGCGCCAGCTGGGTCGTCCCATTCGAGTCTGAAGGCTTGGACGAAGGGTAAGTACCGAGCAGGTTGATGGTCTTCCCTCGCGGGTCTGGGGGGTTTGAGGGGGGGAAAGAAGAGCAGGAAGGGGGACGGACCTTCGTTGAGCAGGCTGGTGAAGGTGAAGAGGGAGAGGTCTATAGGGGAACCAGAGGTCTCTGGGTCAGCCAAGGGTTGGTCGGGTTGGTCGGCCATTATAGCAATGAAGTTTAGTAGGAAGACGGTCTTGTCTTTCGCAACAACCACTTGTGATTTAGACGCGCGCCTCGGAGATCCCTCTCGGCTGCGGGGCTCAGCTTTCGCTTCCGTGTGGAAGTGCGAAATGCTTCCGTCCACAATTCGAGTTGGTCGCCCTCGTTGCCTAAAAATCTCTGGCTATCGACCTCGACACCTCCCACCGGCGACATCTGTGAGTATCTTGTTCGTTTCTCAGGGCGAGGAGTGTTGGAAGGTCGGGTGGTGGTGTGCTGTTGGGTTGGAGAACAGGGGACGGGCGGATGGACGAGTTGGGGGATGGATGGAAGTGGAGATGGATGGATGCACACCTGGCCGACCTCTATTACTTGCAGTCTTGTATGCGTGGGGAAAGTGACTGACTCTTTTGCCCTCGCAGAACACAATGGGTCGGGTTATTCGCGCTCAGAGGCGCTCGCACGCTATCTTCAAGTCCCACACCCACCACAACAAGAACCCGGCCAGGCTGCGTCCTCTGGACTTTGCGGAGCGCAACGGGTACATCCGGGGTATCGTAAAGGATATCATCCACGATCCTGGCCGGTACGCCTTATCCCTGGCATGATGATACTGCAGCGTGCTGATGTACTGAATAGTGGTGCTCCCCTCGCTCGGGTTGTCTTCCGCGACCCCTACCGCTACAAACTCCGCGAGGAGACCTTCATCGCCGTTGAGGGTCTGTCCACCGGCTCCTTCGTCTACTGCGGCAAGAAGGCCCTTCTTGCCGTCGGCAACGTCCTCCCCGTCTCCCACGTACCGGAAGGTACCATCATCTGCAACGTTGAGGAGCATGCTGGTGACCGTGGTGCGCTTGCCCGTACCTCTGGCACATCCGCAACCGTCATCGGCCAAGATCCGGATAGCGGCAAGACCCGTATCCGCCTCCCCTCTGGCGCGAAGAAGACGATCCCCAGCACTGCTCGTGCGACTGTCGGTCTCGTCGCTGGCGGTGGAAGGATGGACAAGCCCCTGCTCAAGGCTGGTCGTGCGTTCCACAAGTACAAGGCGAAGCGCTACAGCTGGCCAAGGACGCGTGGTGTGGCCATGAACCCCGTCGACCATCCTCACGGTGGTGGTAACCATCAGCATATCGGAAAGGCCTCGACCATTTCTCGCCAGGCCGTGCCCGGTCAGAAAGTCGGTCTCATTGCCGCTCGCAGGGTATGTAGTTCTTCCTTTCTCAATTCGACTGCTGTTGATATGCTCTCTAGACTGGTCTCATCCGTGGTACTCAAGTTGTTCGGGAGGTATGAGTTGTGGGGCGGTAGTAGTTTGCGTAGCGGTGTGCAAAATATATGCGTGCAGCATGTATGCATTACTTCCATGGCTCTTATGAGGATCTATGATCATAGCATCAACAATGTTGTTCCATGCCATTTTGAGTCCTGAGCATGGTGCGAATGAATGCTTCATGACTAGAGGTAGTGATAAGATGGTATTTCATTTCATTACTACACTGGCCCCCATCATCGATCCTATCATTTGGCAGCCTCCTCCATCAACTTTCGCCAGCTCCTTTGGATATCAATCGCCTGCCTGAAAATATGGTACTTGGCATCCAGCAGTTTCTTGTCTGCGGGTGAGCTGGACGGAGCCACTTGCTTGCCTGGTTGGGTCATATCGATCATGATCTGCCACAGATCCTCTTTCGTCTGCTCGCTGACCCTCTCTGCCTCTTCATGAGTCTTCAGATCCCCAGTCCGAGCCCCTACTTCCGCCGCGAACCGGCCGAGCATCGCTGCTCCAACGACGACAGCAGCAGACGGCGAATGAGGCAGGATGACAGGGACGTCGCACACGTCCGCCAGGAGCTGCATGAGCGCTGCGTTCTTGGCTTGGCTGCCGGACATGTAGATCGAGTCGATCTTGTGTCCGTGCACGTTCATCTCCTCGATGATATGCCGCGTTTGTAGAGCGATCGCTTCGAGTGTGACGTTGAACTTGAGCGCGAGGTCGCCTAAGCCACTGTCGAGTGCGAGTCCTACAATCGAGCCCCGCATCCTGGGGTCAGCTAGAGGGGAGCGATTACCTGCTCTCGGGTCAGCGGACAGTATTCAAACACCAAGTGGAACTCGTGCCATGTAGGTCAGGATAGAAATGCAGGTCCTTGGTCAGGTACGTTAGGCTCGTCGTGCCAGCTTCCTTCTTCAGATCGTCGAGCGTCGAAGCGAGAACGTCAAAGATGTTCGTCTTCCTCTCCTCTGCCAACTTTTTCAGCTCCTCGTACGCCGGATGAGTCTTGATCATGAAGTCGATAAGCTGTCCAAATAATCAGCTGGAATTGAAGTGAGAGAGCCTCTCATCTCACCTGGCCAGTTGAGCTTTGCCCGCCTTCGTTCATCCACCATCCCGGAAAGACAGCATTCTTATATGGTCCCCATACACCAGGGACAAATACCCCCTGCTCGCTCTGCACAATATGACACGTGCTCGTGCCGGCGATGGCTGCAAGTCTGCCCCTGGAGTCTCTCAATTTCGGCTGTGGGCTCAACTCCCCACCAGAGCCTTGGGTAAACCGACCAGCTACGGTGCCGATCCATCCTGCGTATGCATCGATGACAGCGCTTCCTACTGTTGTTCCCGCCATCAGCCCAAGCTCCTTCGCCGCTTGTGCGCTGAGCCCAGTTCCGACAGCCTGCCCAGCAGTAAGCACCATCCCGTTCTTGCCGGATGTTCCTCCGATCTGCTCATAACCCTGCTGGACGACATCGTCGAGCCCGATTTGGGAGAGGAATTGGGCATTCCATCCCTCTGACCCTTCTACGCCAACGGGGACGAACGAGCATTTGCAGACCAGGGAGCAGTTGGACCGGGCAAGTGAACCGGTAAGTCTGTATGTCACTGGAAGAAAGCGTGAGCGGAGCAGATGAATGCGAAACGAAGAGACGTACGGAAGTCCGGGAGGTCAAAGAACATGCATTTAGCGAATTCAGAGGCGGGCATGTGCTTCTTCAGCCACAGGATCTTCGGGATTTCCATCTCGAGCTGCCCACCTGTCAGAGTATGGAGGTGGGAACACGTTGGCGAATGCTTACGCTCATTGTTCCACCAACATAGTCCAGCACCTTGCTCCCAGTGCTGTTGATCAACAAAGCCTCCTCCTCCGCCCTATGGTCGGCCCAGAGAATGATATTCCTCTCCCCCTGCCCACCGCACTCCTTCCCACCCGTAACACACACCGGGCCTCCATGCTCGTCGGTAACCGCCAACGAGCACGTCGCGTCTACACCCACGCCTTTCACGTCTTCCGGGGGTACTCCACTCTCAGATAAGACATCCCGAACACATTGACAGATGGATGCCCAGATGTCCGTTGTGGACTGCTCGAAGATCCTGTGGTCGCGGGTATCCCTCCACGTACGCGTCTCATGCGTGCTGTCTGCAATGATCTTGCCTGAGATATCGAGCAAGGCAGCGCGGGCGGAGCCGGTTCCGCTGCACAGAGAATGGGTAGAGCTCGACAATGTCTGCAAACAGGCTCACACGTCAATTCCAATGTAGTGGGGGCCTTTGGACATCTTAATGGATTTCACGATGACCGATGTAAGAACAATCAGGAATAGAAGAGAGAACAGTTATTCCAGTCTACAAATCAAGCCAAATGCAGCCGTCGGTGGGGCTCAAGGTGGATCATTACACAAAAACTCGTGGCATCGAAGGGGTTCCGGCATTCGTGACGAAAAGGTGGAGAGGTCAAGACCCTTCGGCTTTCGGGGTGAAGCTCTTCCGAATATATTTCATTCATCGACCCTTGGACTGCGCCCTCTTTACGAACACATCAGCAGTCCTGGCAGTAACAAGCGACAAAAACCAAGCCTGTTCGGGTAATCTATCTAAACATCATATCTTCGATTTCAATGTCCTATGTCCGCAGTCACAGGTACAACATTGACAACAGCCTCTAACACACTTACTCCTGGTCCTCCCAACCGAGCGACCCCCACCCAGTCCAGTGGGGCCTGCATGCCCTGAAGTGCTTGGTCTTATCTATATCGTTAAGCTCTCTGATCTCCTCGTCGGTGAGGTCGATGATGTTCATGTTGGCCTTGATCCGCTCATTCGTCACGCTCTTCGGCAGCACGGTCACACCCTCCCGATTTGCCTGAAGCGAAATGAGCACATTGGCAGGGAAAACACCGTGTGCCGCGGCGATCGTCGTCACGACCGGATCTTTGAGCAGGGGAGAGTTGTCCGAACCGAGCGGCGAGTAGGCTGTCACGATGATCCCGTGCTCACGGCACTCTTTGACGAGCGCCTCTTGCGAGCAGGACTGAACCAATGTCAACGGGTGGTTCTGTGTGCTGGCAAATCGCCAATACTCACGGGATGCAGCTCAACCTGGTTGACGGCAGGGACGATCTTGGCCTCTTTCAGGAGTTGCCTCAGGTACTTGACGCCGATGTTGGAGACCCCTGTACCCATTTCACCGTGTCAGAATCTCTCTTGTCGTTCACAGCGAAATAGAGCGTACCAATTGCGCGGACCTTGTCCTTGTTATTCTCGTAGATCACCTCCATCCTCTTCCACGTGTCGATCCAGTTGGCCGACTTGTCCGCCTTGCCATTCTTCATCGGCGCAGGCTATTCTCAAATGTCAGCGCTGTCCTCTCCTCCCGTCAAGTATAAGGCACACGTACCCAGTGCATCAGCCAAAGGTCGATATATGTATCCAGGGCGGCTAAGCTCTCCTCGAGTGCCTTCTCCGGCGTGTGGTGATGCCCATTCGGCAGCTTGGTAGTCAAGAAGATTTCCGCCCGGGGCACACCGCTGGCCTTGATCCCCTGACCAACCTCCGCCTCGTTGCCGTAGTCGTACGCTGTGTCGATATGCTTGTACCCGCCCTCCTTAAGCGCGTACTCGACCGCATGCTCGACTTGCCCCGGGGCGGACTTCCACGTGCCCAGTCCGACGGTGGGCATGATCGCCCCCGTGTTGAGGGTAACTGTCTTGTGATACACCATTTTGTCTATCGATAACCTTTGGTGCTAGAAGGGGATCAAGCTGAGTGGTCTAGCTCTATGCGGGCAGAGAGTAGGGCGTGAGAAAAAGCAAAGCAAAGCCAGCATGCACCCCGGGGAATTTATATACGCCTCCCCAAAGCCGGAACGATATCGGTGTGCGGGTCGAGCTCCGAGCTCTTCCATTCCTCCACTTAGTCGTGAGATCTGTCCATTAGACTTGCCTACACAGTACGCGATAGCAACATCGCAGCGTGGCCTAGCATCTGACGAATTCCATGTGTCAGACTGTCGCAGCTGAAAGTGCCCTCTTTGGGATATCTCCGGAGAAGTTGTTTCTCCTGTCGCCTGGCAGTCTGGGTCTCTGGGAGCTCACCAAGGCAACTCGGCGTAGAAGCACAAAAGAGCCGCTGTCCGGCGAGATGTGCGTCATAACAAGCTTACTTCCTTACGCGGATATAGCCCTGACTGCCTATTGGACACAAAACCTTCTTCCGTGTTCTAGGGACATGTTCTACCGGGGAATCGCCGGCCTCAATCGCTAGGATATTTATACTGCGGGCTGTACGCAAACATCATCATGCATGAGGATTAAAACGAAATATGATGCGCGGTCATGATGCGAGGGGCATGAATATACCCACATTCTCCATATAGCAATGCTCCAGTGTCTCTTCCCAGTGCCAGCACATCACCCCACCCCGGAATTACGCATCTGATGAGGACAGATAATCAGCCAGATCCATCGCGAGCGTACTGTTGGGAATAGTCGGCGGCATTGTGAACGCCATCGTTGCGTGGTCCAGCGACATGGTGGAGGGCAATATGGGAGGCGTGGTTTTGTGAGCTTCTGGTCCTTGCTCGGGTGGATTATCCGAGGCTAGAGCGGCGAGAGAAAGATCGTCAGGGAGCAGTTCCTCCGTTTCATGCGGCTGGATATCAAGGCCCTTGAGCAATATTTTTGCGATGGAGCTGTCCAGGACGGGAGATGAGCTCTCTGACGGAAGATCCGAAGAGACCATCGACGTGTCCGGCAACGACGGTGGCATCGTGAACGCGACCTCTTCACCGAAGACTGAAGAAGATGAACTGTGATGCCGTCGATTAACGTCAGATGCTGTTCGAGATCGCATGCCCGGACGTGGGTTGATTGGGCGAGCAGGGAACAGGGGATTGATCACATTAGGCTCTAGAAGGGTGGATACTGTCGATTGACTTGCGGGCATTGGAGCGAAATTCTCAAATGTCTGCGATGATGGAATTAACATTCTTGAGATGCTTCTTGGTGATGCTTGGATGACGTCGTTTTGCGGGTCAGAGAAAGAAGAAAGAGGCGGGAGAACTTGAGTTTGCGAAGACGGTATCAAAAAGCTGTTTGACCTTGAGGATGATGGGGATAAGACGGATGCTTGAGGAGTTTGCGAAGACAATATAATGCTGGACCGGGATATGGGTGATAAAGGCGGATATTCCTGGGTTTGAGATGATGGTAGACATACGGAGGATGGAGCGGGTTTCGAGAGACGTGCAATCGGTAAGGACATGAGAGGCCTTCTATGAGGCAGCTTTGTCTTAATTGGCGATAGTAGATCGGGCGAAGGCGAGCGAGAAGAACTCGTTATGAACTTGAATGGACTCTCCAGAGGAACCTCGGCTGGTGTCTGAGAAGAGAGGACAGGGGCCATTGCATCAAAATCAAAATCTTCTTCCTCTTCGAATGCGAGGGAAAATACATGAGGACGATGAGGGGCGCTTGCTTGGATGGGTGTTGAGCTATGTTCGATTGTGAATCCAAATGCGTTCAGCGAACTCTGGGTTGTCGGTTGGCTATGCTGTGCCAGAGAAGCAGCAGATACCGGACGTTGGCCCTCCCATGCTTTCTTCACGTCGATCCAAGCTGCGTGTGCGGATTTTCCCTTAGAAGTGGCGGGAGTGTTAACAGATCTCTGATGGGATGATTAGGAAGACCTGGTCAACGGCATATACACGCTCACCTTAGCCATACCGCTGCCTGGTGTGCCAACGAGCGTCGTATCTCCAGCTGGAGAGTTCTCCAATTCGCTTCCTGTAGAATAACGAGACGTCTTCTGGCGCTTGGCAGAAGGAAGCGGGGTAGTGAATGGTTTCTTCGTCGAGGACCGGACAGAGGTTGTCTACACCTTTCTCAGCAATCTATCTCGCACCCCATAACAGGCACACAGACGCACCAATAAATTAGGATTAACCACCGTACAATCCGGGTCCTCCTCATCTCCAGTCACAGACTTCCTCTTCCTCGACTTCTGAGCACCATCCTTCGAAACCTGGGTAGCAGAGCGCAAAGCCCCATTTTTGCTCGCCGCGGTCGTCCGTCCTGGGCCGAACAGGGAGGTGATCATAGGCTGAACAAAGGCAGTTTTGGAGGATATATCCGTCTTGGAGGCTGCTCGAGAGGCCATGCTTATATGGGAGGGAGGTTCATGAAGGCAGGAGAAGGGAATGAGGGGCGTCGTCATGACGCGACTGTCATTGATCCGCGCACGCGCTCAATATTGAAGCACGTGACTCCGGCTCCGCAAACGTCCTTTCTGGTGCGAGACGCACATATCCGATGTTGGTGATTTTCTTAAAGTTGCAATCCAATTGTGGCGAGCACCTCTGAGAGCACATACCAACCTTATCAAGTTGGAGCCCTTCAGCTCCTTTACGATAGCCGTATGTGCTGGCTCATATATGCATGTGATTGTGGAATTTGTACAATACAAGAGTATGCCGACCTTCTACTGTATCTCCATGCCGTCACACGGATCACGCCTCATATTCCTTCTGCAGCAGCTTGGCGATCGTCTGCAGCTGGATGTTGCTCGTCCCCTCATAAATGGCGCCAATCTTGCTATCCCTCCAGTATTTTTCTATCCCCGTCTCACGCGTGAAACCAACACCGCCGCACCATTCGATCGCCGAGCCTGCGGCTCTCTGCGCTACGACGGATGAAAAGTACTTTGCCATGGCGGCTTCTTTGACGAAAGACTTCCCTTCCTCCTTCCTGGATATCGCAACCGCATCAGCCGGTTGCCTCCAGTTGAGCAAAGGGACACGAACCGGCGGGCAGCGTTGTACGTCAGCAACCGTGCAGCCTCGATCTCAGTAGCAACATCTGCTATCTGGAACTGCATACCCTGGAACTCGCCGATGGGTTTTCCGAATTGCTTGCGCTCGTAGGTGTACGGGACAGCCTTATCGAACACACCCTGAGCGAGGCCAATCATCTGCCCTGCGATGCCGATCCGGCCTTCGTTCAGGATCTCGATAGCGATCTGTTTACAACATGCATGAGATATAGGAATTTGAAATAGAGGACAAATTGTCGAACCTTGTATCCCTGCCCAATAGCTGCCTCGCCGCCCATAATGTTCTCTTCAGGAACCTCCACGTCATCGAAGGCGAGGGTGCAGGTAGAGCTGGCGCGAATCCCAAGCTTCTGCTCCTTTTTCGCGATCTTCACACCCATGTCCTTCTCGACGATGAAGCAGGTGATACCCTTGTACCCCTTAGAGAAGTCGACGTTGGCTAGAACCTTGTCATGGTAATTGGTCAATTCATTGGTGTGTCACCCGAAGGATGATTTCGTACTAGGAATATCTCTGCTTCATAACTGTTTGTGATCCACATCTTGGAACCATTGATGACCCACTTGTTGCCATTCTTGACAGCCTTTGTCTGGAGGGCAAAAGCGTCGGATCCAGATGCAGGCTCGCTCAAGCAGAAACTGCCAAGCTGTAGATGTTTTCAGGAACAACATCCAGAAATATCGTGGACTACACACCTTTCCCTCTGAAAGCAATGGCAGATACTTCTCCTGCTGGGCTTTGGTACCTCGAGTGCGGAAGATAGTGTTGACAAGCGTGTTATGTACGTCGCAGAGAACTGACACGCTAGGATCTACCTTTGCCAGCTCTACACTGATATTCAGCAACCCTCAGTCACCAAAAAATCAAAAGTCACACACCCTCGATAGCGATAACAGCACTTGTGAAGCCCATGCCTGCGCCGCCGAATTCTGGGCTAGTCTCGATTCCCATAAGCCCCTGTTCGAACAGTCCCTTGATGATAGTCGGGTCCATGCTTTCGTTCTCGTCCATCTCCCTAACCTTGGGACCAACAACATCCTGAGCGAAGCGGCGTACTGCGACCGGGCGGTTAGTTCGCATACATGATGTGCGGGAGAAGTATGAACGTACCGGAATCGCGCAGCATTTGCTCCTCATCTGTGAAGGTGGAGAGAGAGTTCAGCTGAGCCTCATGGCGCACTGTGCTCTTCGAGAGGAACCTGCATCGCGTAGCCGCGTGAGAGTGTGTTTCGTACGATCAGGGGGTCGCAGCGCACCGTGAGACGGAGCGGAGGGCCTGCCTGCTTGCGGATGTGCGAGCTGCGCGAACGGCGATGGGAGCGAGAGTGGTAAGCATCTTCCTTCGGCAAGATAGGAGAGAGAGGAGCAGAAAGGGGGGGTTAAGAGAACAAGAGGGAAAGAGTAATTTGGTGCGACAGGGCTTATAAGGGGAAGTGTTCAAAGCCCGCGAAGGCTCATCGGGTCAGACCGCGCGATGGGACCAGTCGATCGTCGATGCGGGGAAGGCGGAGGACACAACGGTGACATAACCCGACCACGTGAAAAGGAATAACCGGAGCACGTGAGCAGGCAGTGACGATGAAACGATGGTTCTTGGAGGCCCTGACTACACCGTTACTGCAGACTAATCGCGGGCACTTACGGATCGTTCATTGTCAAAAAATGCCACCTAGATCGAAGAGACCCCAATTTACACAACAGGATATCGATCAGCAATTACAGCAGGTGCGCACTTTCCTCTTATGGTAATCCGTACAATGCTACAAATGCGGTAGATCAACCTCCTTGATTCCTCGTCCCCGTCGGAGAATCTCGAGCAGCTCGCACCAATCATCAAATCCGTCCACGAGTCTGGGAGACAGGAGGCCTTCCTGCGCACTCTCAGTGGTCTGATCGAGAGTAAGGAAGCTGAAATTGAGCGTATATGCGGGGACAACTACCAAGACTTCGTCAGTTCCGTGTCGACCCTGCTAACAGTGAGGAGTTACACTGCAAACCTCAGAGGCAGGATTAGCGAGCTGGACTTGAGTGTGAGCGAAGTCGGGAATGGACTTGTCAAGAAGAAGAAAGCGCTGCAGCTGGCTAAGAGGACGGCGAACAACCTTGATGAGGCGATCGATACACTGCAAGCTTGCTTGCGCGTACTTGACCTCGTGAATCGCGTAGGAGACATGGTGAAGAATGGGCGGTATTATACTGCTTTACGGGTATGAAATCTCTGTACACGATATGGGTCGCTGGTCTGACGTGATGTACAGTCATTAGACGACATCGAGACTCTTCCTCCATCTCAACTCTCACAGACTCCGTTCTTCAACCACCTCCTGAGCTCGCTCCCCTCCCTCCGAGCGCAAATCAAGACTGCCGTCACCGAGTCCACTAAGTCTTGGTTGCTGGAGATCCGCGAATCCAGCGGGCTCGTGGGCAACTTAGCGCTGGAAGCGATCGAGCAACGTTCGCGGAGATGGAGGGGAAGGAGGGAAAAGGAAGGTGTTGGGAGGAGCAAAATCGTCGGTAGCGCAGCGGAAGCAGCTGTGAATGAGAGGATTGATTGTGAGTTCTCTGTGTTATGAGACTTTCGTCGCTAAAACAGTGTAGTTGATCCGCTGAACAACGACCAAATCACCGTGGACTTTAAGCCGCTCTACCAGTGCATCCTTATCCACACCGCCATGGGCCAGCTGGAAGAGATGCAAACAACCTACCAAGAAGACCGTAAGACCCAAGCGGCGCTCATCCTTGCACAACGCTTGTCTTCCTTCTCACAGCTTACCAAAACCCTCCCGGAACTGCTCAACGAGCTCCTAGGGTTCTTTATCGTCGAGGCACACGTAGTGCGCACAACGGCAAGCTCGAGCTTCAGGAGCCAGAAGGACGTGGAAGAGCTGTTTGAGAGCGTGATCCCGAGAGTGTGCGAGGCGGTGGAGAGAGGTATTCGGGATGAGAAGGATCAGGATATCCTCCAGGGGTGCAGGGCTCTTGTGGGGAACTGGGCTCAGGCACTTGAAGTACGACTCTCGTAATATTGGTGTGCGACTGATGGCTGATCAAGATTGAAGGGCTACGGCTACGATACGAGCCAGATTCACACGCTCCTCTTCAAGCTCTTCGAGCGATACGTGATCATCATCCAGGACAAGTACAAGCAAGCCTTTGAAGATGTATGCTCGATGTTCTCCTCGAACAGTGCCTTCCGTTCACCTGCACGCAGATTGTGATGCAAGACGACCTTCAGCCGATGATGATTGAGAATGAAGAAGAGATAGCCCGGGTGCTCGGAATTTGCTGGCTGAATGCGGACGAGTTGACCCATCTTTCAAGGTAATGTTCCTGCTCACGGTTGGATGGTTCTGACTGTGTGTAAAGACAAAATCTGCCGTTCTCGATGCCTTTCTCACGGTTCTTTCCACTGTGCTGTGTGGATGTGAGCTCTCTCGTCGCTTATTTGGCGGCTGCTCATGTACATCTGTAGTTCCAAACATTTATCGACAAGTTCTATGCTTTCCTCGAAGGCGGACTAGATAATCGTCGGGATGTGGATGAGCTGTTGCGAAAGGTACATCACTTTCCTCGTATTTAGTGTATATGCTCATCCCCTTCAGACCCTAGAAGTGTTCATCGAGCAAGCGATCTGCAGGAAGTCCGGCGAACGTCTCAATCGGCTCAACCAACCCTCCCAAGTCGCGCAAGTGATCGTCAACGTGGAACAGCTGTTCAATGGCACCCGCGAGCTAGAAAAACAGCTCGCGGGCATGCGTGTCCGTTCCGGCGGTTCCTCGCTGCGCCTCGACCCCGCTGCCCTCCAGGGACTGCTGAATCAAGCATTTGACCGTCTGAGGAAGATCATCCGCTCAAAGCTGGACGATTTCTTCGATCTGGCAGAGTACAACTGGTTGCCTCCACAGCCGGAGAAGAACCCAAGCATGTTCCTTTATGAACTTGTCAACTGGCTCTTTACGGTTGTGGACTCCCTTGGTGCCAGTGAGGACCTCAAGGAGCGCATATATAATGACGCGATGGACTATCTGAGCAACTATTTCATGGTCGGTGTTGAACAAGGGCTAATTGTGGAGGACGATACTGATGTGATATAGGGCTTCTTGGTCGGACCGAATGTCAAAGCGATTAACGATCTTGCAATTGCGAACCTTCTGGTTGACGTTGATTTCCTGGAAGGCGAATTTGGAAAACGCGGCAGACCAGGCATGGAGTTGCGCTTCACGATATTCCGCACTGTACGTAATCTCATTCACAGTCCCTGCATTTGCTCATCAATTGCGCAGCTGTCGTCCATCATATTGCAGAACGTGGTGCAGACGTACATCCAGCCACAGTCTAGACGACCTCCCGGTCCTTACACGAACGTACAGCCTAAGATGGTGTATGAACTGCTCAACAAGCTCGCTCGTGGCGGCTCACAGAGTCGCGTTGCTGCGGATCGGGAGAGGGCAGAGAGACGACGTAGGGAGGCCGTACAGGTGTCTCAGTTGTTTTCGTAGTCATATACCTGCAAGTATTGATATCCTTCCAACGATTTCTGTTCACGGAAGTCGTCACTACTTGATCGCGTCACGTCACCCTCAATAAGTCTGCGCGCGAAACGTTTCTCTATTATCATTCACAGGGCGTAATATACGCGCAGGTAACGAGAGGCCAGCTCTTGAATTGATTGCGGAAAGAACCAAGCCAAGAGTAACGTGAGACGACACTCGCGGGGGCGAAAGGCAAGAGGTTGAGACGACGTCCAAAGACGGCAGGGCTGGGGAAGAAATAGGAACACAAGAGGGGAGGAGTTTTCTCGTACACGCGATTCGTTCGCGTTATGAGTGGTGGGGAAAGGCATGATAAGTGATAACACTGGAAGAGTGGGAAGACAGGCTGTATACGACCATGAACCAGATAACAAAGGCAGCTGGCAGCATATCCCTCAAGTACGCCTCTTGATGTTGTTCGAGAGCCACTCGAGGCCCTCGTACAGACCATCGCCGGACGTTGCACAGGCAGCCTGCAGGCTTCCTGTTAGTGCCCCGAAGCACAGCCTCCTTAAAACAGTTGCGACCTACCTGAATGTACCAGGTCCTCTGCCTGAGCCCATGGAGACCAAGCTTGTCCGTGATCTCAGCTGGGTTCATTGCGTTGGGAAGATCCTGCTTGTTGGCGAAGACAAGGAGAAGAGCATCGCGGAGCTCATCTTCGTTCAACATCCGTTGCAATTCCTCGCGAGCCTCGGTAACACGATCACGATCGTTGGAGTCGACGACGAAGATGATACCTTGGGTGTTCTGGAAGTCTATGGGACAGTGAAACAATGTCAATTAGCGCCGTCGTTGTGGATGAGCATGAAAATGCTGCAGGTGTCTTCCGTTGCCAAATGCGGCGAACGTTTAGACACAAGACAGCGAAGAGAGAGGACTCACAATGCCTCCACAGCGGTCGGATCTTATCCTGTCCGCCAACATCCCAGACAGTGAAGGAGATGTTCTTGTATTCGACAGTCTCTACATTGAAACCTGATCCACGATTTTAGCATGCTGTGCATATAGATGAGTTGCACACGACACGAACCAATGGTTGGGATGGTGGTGACGATCTCACCAAGCTTCAGCTTGTACAGAATAGTGGTCTTGCCAGCGGCATCAAGACCGACCATGAGAATACCTATCAAGGGCGATCGCGTGAGCCTTCCACGTTAACCGGACCCGCGCGCTTTGGCCGCGCGTCGGGGTTGACAATATGAGCGACATACGCATTTCCTTTTTGCCGAAGAGACCGGCGAGCAGCTTGGAGACAGAGAGACCCATTTCGAACGGTCAAGTAACGTTGAAGAAAGTCGTAAAAGACGTTTAAGGGAAGAGAACGATGTGGTTTGATGGATGGATGGACGCAAAAGTTGAGCTCGAGGGGGGTGGAAGGGAATGCGGCAGTGAGGCAGTGAGGCAGTGAACAGGTTGGGTCTCGTCACCCCGTGGCTCGCCCTAAAGTACCCGCTTCCGGCAGTCACCGGCAAGACCTCGCTCAACCCTCATCGTCGTCGCGCAGCGCTCAACGTCGACATCCGACGTGGATTTACTGGGGAACAGATCCGCACGACGTTCACAATATCTTTTTCTGTAGATCCCACACATTTATGATTGTCTTCACGCCACTGTGCGGATCTGCGCAGTCTACGTCGGTACCAAATGCGTTCTGCTACCTCCTCCAGATCGATGACATTCGTGTCCTCCTCGACTGCGGTGCCCCTGACTGGCGACTGGGCGCAGGCGAAGACGTGGAAGGGGAGGATGAGGCAGCAAGCAGACGGGAAACGAAGAAGTGGTGGTCGGAGTATCTGAGTCTTCTAACACGGTATGTTCTACCACCTTGTACACAGACCACAATGCAAATATATGCGTGTTTTGCTCCGATTCTTGATAGGACTGCCCCTGAAATAGACCTCGTCTTATTCACTCATGGATCACTGCAACACATCGGCTTATATTCGTATGCTCGAGCTAAGCTTGGGCTGTCAGCGCCTGCTTTCGCAACCTTACCTGTCCAAGCGCTGGGTCGTATCGCGGTGTTGGAGGATGTTGAAGGATGGCGAGCAGAGGTCGACGTCGACAATGAGGTGCCAGAAGAATACTCTGGCGATGGCGATGTGAAAATGGAATCTGGGATACAGTTACTTCACAAAGCCATTGCGACGGCGGACGTCGTAAAGGAAGCATTCGACTCCATAACGACTTTGAAGTACTCCCAGGCAACCCAACTCACCGGGAAACTACAAGCACTGACGCTGACGGCTTATTCTGCATCACACACCCTCGGCGGCACTCTATGGAAGCTGCGCTCAGCATCGTCCGGGACGCTCCTCTACGCAGTTGGGTTGAATCACATGAAGGAACAACATTTGGATGGTACAGCTCTGGTCCGACCCGGCGGAGGCGGAGTTGGAGAGGGGCTGGGACGGCCGGATCTTCTAATCACTGATGCAGGACGGGTTGGGATTATCAGCGTTCGAAGGCGAGAGCGAGAGGAAGCTTTCCTTGGTAAGTGGCTGCGCATATTCTTGTGTATTATCGAGACTGATCCCCAGAGCAGAATCAATAACCAATACTCTGCGCTCTTCTGGATCAGTGCTGATCCCTGTCGATGCCTCAACGCGATTGGTTGAGCTGCTCATTATATTGGACCAACATTGGACTCAGGCGAAGACGCGTGCCCCACTCTGTCTCGTCTCAAGAACCGGGAAGGAATGCGTCACCTTTGTACGATCATTGATGGAGTGGATGGGTGGATGGATTACGAGAGAGGGAGAGGTTCCTACAATCGGTAAGGACAGCAAGAAGAGGAAAAGGCGAAACCGCAAGGATGAAGAAGATATTGAAGAAGAGGATGCGTTGTTGGCCAACATGATTCTTCGATTCAAGTGCGTCACGTGGACCTCAGAGAATTGAACTCATTCTGAGGATTTCAAAAGGCATCTGCAGATTTTTCCCTCTCCGGAAGCTCTGATGGACGCAATTCACCCATCCGCGCCTAAAGTCATCCTGGCTACTCCCCTCACGATGTCGCATGGGGCATCAAGAGCCATGTTCGAGTCGTTCTCGAGCATGCGCAATAATCTATTGCTTTTAGTCAATATCGCGGAGAAGGGTACATTGGCCCGCAGCTTGTGGGATATTTGGCAACGTGAACAGGCCGAAACTGCGAAATGGGGTAAAGGACGACTCGGTGCTATTGTGAAGGCAGAAACCGATATCAGTGTAAGGATGAACGCGAAGGTGCCATTAGCAGGGGTAGAGCTGGAAGAGTATTTGAATGCGGAGAAGGCTGCAAAGGAGAAGGCTGCTGCTGAAGCTGCTGCTCGACCACAGCTTCTGCTAGAAGCAGACGACGACGACGAAGGCGATTCTGAAGACGAGGCCAGTGATGCGTCTAGCGAGTTGGCAGTTGAGGAAGAACTTGGTGGAGGTACGGATGAAGGGGTAGCAACACGACACTTTGCGGAAGGCAGTGGCGCCAAAGGAGCCGGAGCAGAGGAAGAAGAGGCCGATTCGGCGAGGCAACAACTTTCTTTCGACATCTATCTTAAGGGCAAGGTTGCACGAGCTACATTCTTCAAGTCTTCGTCGGGAGCCCAGGCGACCCGCTATCGCATGTTCCCCTACGTCGAGAAGCGGAGAAGGATTGACGAGTGGGGTGAAACCATTGATGTGGGAACCTGGATGCGACGCGGCAAAAAGTGGGAGGAGGAAGAAGAAACGGAGGAGAATCAAGCAGCCAAGGAAGCAAGGCGCAAGAGACAGGAGGAAGAGCAGGCTCAGGTAATAATGAGTTTCATTAGGAAATGCCACAGGGCTCATTTAGTGTGCAGCACGCTCCTCCTGAACCACCATCGAAGTATATCACAGAGCAACATTCGATTGACGTGCGATGCAAGGTGTACTTCGTAGACTTCGAAGGCCTGAATGATGGAAGGGCAACGAAGATGATCGTGCCCCAGGTCAACCCGCGCAAAATGGTAAGTGCTGTAGCTCATCCGCACGATTATCCCTCATATTGGCGTAGATTCTGGTTGCGTCCCAGCCAGAAGCGACCGCCGAATTAATGCAAGCATGTGGAGAAATTCGATCTATGACGCGAGAAATATCCACGCCAGGCGTAGGAGAAGAGGTCAAGATTGGCGAGCACTCCCATAGCTATTCTATCTCAGTGGGAGAAACGTTGTTCTCGACCTTGAAAATGTCAAAGGTTCGAAGCTTGGTTTCTGCTTGTGTCCGCAACTGACAATGCGCAGTTCGAGGACAACGAAGTTGCTTTTGTATCTGGACGAATAGCCTTCAACCCCAATTCTGCTATCCCTGTACTCGAGCCGGCCGCTTCGGCCAAGTCTCAAGATTCGGCCGTTGTACCCACAGGAACGGACCAAGCTCGAGAGGAGCAAACAATGATCGCCACGGTCCCGGCACAAATTTTACCACAGACAACTCTTATCGGAGACCTCCGCCTGACCGCTTTGAAGGCCCGCCTGAGCACCCTGGGTATTACTGCGGACTTTGCGGGAGAGGGTGTTTTGATCTGTGGCCTGAGTCAAACAGGAAACGGAGGATCAGACACGGACATTGTATCGGTGCGCAAGATGGGACGCGGCAGAGTCGAGGTAGCGGGGAATGTCAGCGATGTGTATTATACTGTTAGGAGGGAGCTATACGGGTTGTATGCCCAAGTTGCTGGGTGATTACGGTACACGTCATAACACTATCAATGTGATCTATGCGACCTGCACTTTTTTTTGTCCGAGGATGATCAGCATTTGGCGCTAACCGGGCGCTCAAATATTAGCCTCCGTCGGCGGGGCAGGCATTCAGTTTATGAACTTGCTCTCCCCAAGTGCTCCCTGCAAGACTAACCCGCTCACCTGCTCACCTGAATGTTCCGATGGCCGACCCAACCTTTACTTGTCCATGCTTGAATGTAAGGCTATATCGGTATCCCAACGGCGAGCAGAATGGGGTGGAACAGATAGAAGAGGATGGGTGGACGAGGGTTTTTGTGGGGGAAGCAGGTATCCAGATTGTGAGTCTGTGGGCAGGTTACCACATGCTTGGTTTAGACATGCTCACAATTGCACCTCAGACCCACGTTGATATGACCATGAGGACTCGTTCCACGATCTCACAGCCTTCAAATGAGAAAAACTACGCACTATGTTCCACGGTCCTTACTTGTCTTGCATGCCGTACCCCAGCGTATCGTACACTGCAGAAGCTCTCTTGGCCATTAGATACCGGAGTTACAGAGGGTCCCGTTGTGCCCAGTGACGATTGGATTGAAACAGAAGTGCTCAAAAGTGGCGATGGCTGGATAGAGGTGAACACACAAGCCGGTGGTTGCTCGGTGAGTGTTTGGCTCCTCTCTCGTCCCCCCTAGTTCTAATCCAGCATTCTAGCCTGGTGTCTCAATGACTGAAGCTCAGAAATCCTCGCGATATTCGTCTACATTCTCCCTTCTTATCCCTGAATCGATGCCTACAACTCCGTCCGATCTATATGTCCCCAGCCTGGCTCTTGAACCAGTCCTCCCCAACATACCGGCGTTATTCCTACCGCCGCCTCAGACACCCTCTCACCCTATGTTTCAACACCTAGCTATGCTTGCTAGCAGCGCCTCCAACGAAGCCCGGAGGAAAGCAGAAGATGAGCTAGCTGTGCTCGTCAAGCAACGAGTTGCGCAGCTGCAGCTGCTTGATACACGACTACGTCACGAGGTCGAGCTCCTTTGGTCCTCCTGGCGGGAGTCTCGACAAAATTACTCCGCTTCTTCGCGTACTGATGCAGAACTACGTCGGCAGCGGGAAACAGAAGCGCAAGCTGTATCATCACCACCTGTGTCGCGGGTTACTGACTTCGTCCCATCTGCGGCGACCCGTAATAGTTCACGCGAACGTGCTCGAGTTATGTCGCGGGAAACGTCATCAGTGTCTTTGCTCTCTATGTCGCTGCGCTCTGGGGGTGTTATGCATCATCCTCGTGCTCAAGCAGAGGAAGAAAACCAAATGGACGAAGACTCCGTCGATCTATCCATACCCACTACTCCAGATGATGATCTGGAGGATGTCGAGCACTCAATTCCTATGCCGCATCTCCGTGTTCTGACAGGAAGCTCTCATCTACAAGATGTGGCAATGTCGTTACGCCTTACTACTCAATTGAGCGGACCGCGTGGAAGGGCATTGTCCCGAAGCAACCTGGAGCCAATTGAGGAAAAGTCGTCACTTCACACAGACACAGCCCGCGATGGCAGCCGTCCTTCCCTTCGCGGTCGCGTAGGGGTCGAAGAGATTGCTGCGCAACGGGAGCGTGATAGAGCTGGATCGAGGGAAGGTGTATCACGCGAGCGCACCCCACGTGAGCGAGACTCGACGCTCAACGGTCTTGCAAAACCAGAAGCAGTCCAGCCAATAACCCCGAGCAGTCGTTCACGCGTAGAAGACACGCGACCAAAACATGTTACTTTCGAGGAAGACAAGGCAACCACTCCGCCGAAAGCAGCCAAAGAATCGGGATCGCGCAAAGCGTCAGGTAAGCCGAACTTTTACTGCATTTACCAGGTCTTGACTCTTATTTCCAGATGATGAACCAATATTTGACTTTGACGTGGATCTTCCCAGTCAGCCTGAACGCCGAAAGCTCAAAAAACCATATGAAATCATCGTTCCTGGCCGGAAAGGAGATGCTGCCGAAGTGCCACAAGCCTCACAAAAATTGGCTACTGTTGAGGAAGAGTCGAACAATTTGCCTACGTACTTCACGCTACCTCGCAACCCTCTCAAACCATCCAGATCGAACACGGATGCCTCTGAAACGTCATCCAAGATGATCTCAACAGAGGAGAAATTGAAAGAACTTGTGGGAGGTTATCTTCCTAGTCACCGTTCTGCTTGGAAGGACGGACGAGGCTGGGATCTGTACTCAAAAGTGTTTCAAGAGAAATCTGCTTTTGATTTGGAGGAGGAACTTTACGAAGACACTACACCTTCCGCAACTTGTGAGTCGATGACGAACGTTTTGTCCTGCAATATCACTAAGATGCTTCCAGCTTCCCAGGGTCAGGCTGTTCCAGGTGCAACGACGAGCTCCCAACCACCCATTGCAGCTTCAGCACCCATTGATATCAGTCCGATTGCACGTCGTGCCCGGTATCACAATTTGGATATCGAATTTGAGCCCAAAACAAGCCTTGTTGATCGTGCTGGCGTCATGGTTCCTCCCCTTCGTGTTGCGATGCGGACCGATGTTGCGCACAATGTCACAATACCACCTCGCAAGAAGCGGTCCTCTTCAGCCACTCGACGCAATGAGGCGTATGCACGGAGAGATTTGCACACCCACATTGACCCGGGCCCCATCTTTGAGTTTAATACTTCCATTGAAGAGGAACATGCTGAGCTGGAAGGATTGTCTCCTTCGGAAAAGGCTCGCAGGATGGCAACGGAAATGCAGGATACAAGTGATGGACTTCCTGACGCAGGGATGTGGCGCAGCATGGCAGACTCATAGCTTCTGGATATCAGAACGGCCTAAAGTTGCATGTTTTATATGTCACAATTCTTGTAATTTAGCTCATTTCATTTACAACTTCCGATCAATTCTTGGCTGATGCGAAACGGTTCCGCTGGCACCTGTGACACATTTGACCTCTGACCACTGCGCCGCCCAGTCGTTTAGTATCATAATAATCCCAATGTGAACAAGAAGTACAGATATTCATGGTTGTTCCTATCGCCTGTCGTCTCGATAACTTCTACCCCGTTGGGTGGGTGACCGTCGTGGTGATCTGTCGCTTCTCCGTTCTCGGTCATCATAAGTGTCCCTATCTCGAGGTCGATCATTTCTGTCCTCGCGATAAGTTGCGCCACGGCCACTATCTTCCCATTTTCGGTCTTCACCGTAATGTCTTCGTTTGCGGTCGTGGTCATCAGGTTCGCGAGCGGTCAAACGGTCAGTCATGCTGATCGACTTCACATTCTGGTCGGCCTTGATTCCCAGCTTTTTCAGGCGTTTTCTCTCTTTCCGTGCCACTCTCTCTTCGGGGAGTTCATGCTCACGCTTGCGCTTTTTCTTTTTCTCCGTCTTTGTTGCGGCTTTCTCCTCTTTCCGCCGCTGGAGGAGCCAATCACGCATCGGGTCTTCAGGGTCAATGCTCGGTGCATCCGACACGCTTTCTTCACTTTCATCTCCTCCGTCTTTGGAAGTCCACTTAAAGATAAAGTCGGAACGCTGGGTGGGTAGTGACATACCTTCAATCATCTGAGGCATCGCATTGAACTGCTCCTCTTCCGCCTCCTTCATCTTGCCATCTTCTCCTCTCTCTAGGTTCTTGTACTTCGAGACATGATCGACCCGTATTGTACGCCCAACGATGTTGGCGCCGTTCAGATTATCCACGGCTAATACCGTTGATTGCTGATCCTCATACATGAGAAAGGCGAACCCTTTCGGCTTGCCGGTTACTTTGTCACGCGGCATGTTAACATTGACTGGCTCCCCGTACCTGTGTGAACATCAGCCCATACTCGGTTATGATTAACACGATTACGCACTGAGAAAAAATTGAGATGACATCTCCTTCAGTGAGCTCATATGGTAGTCCACCGATAAAGATGTAAGCAGAGTCTGCATTTGGTAAGTCAGTTGCATCACCGTGCCAAACGGTGGGTGCACAGACGCACCTTTGTATTGATCATGCCATGAACCCCGAGTTCCGAGCTGAAGCTCGTGCTCGTTGATCTTCTGAATCTCCTTGACAACACTGCAGCTTTATTAGGGTTTCCCATAAACAAACACAGCAAATCAGTCAGACGCACTTCATGTTGAGTAAGTCTGCAGACCAAGGACGTTCGAACCCCTGAACCCTGGAAATGCTGACGCGGTGAAGCTGACGCGCCTGAAATCACCTTACCTAACACCCACCAGTGCCAGCATTGCGTCAATTCACTCAGCGGCACTATATATTTCCTTGTGCGGTTTCGTTTGGTTACTGCATGTTGAACACCCAGAGGGTCGCAAACAGCAGTATTCTTCTCCCTTTGACTGTCGCGGTTGTGGCGCTTTGTCTCGCTCTGCTTGGCTCTGTTCCTCTCTGGAGATCCGCCGCTTCCAAAATTCGAACGGGCTACTTTTCCACAATGTCTACGTTACCAAAGACGAGAGAAGAATGGCAAGGCGCTCTCAACTCATTACCTGATACGGCTAAGAACGGGGGGGAAATACCCGCCTTCTTCTTCGCCCATGGCAGTACGACGATCTCGTCCGATACGCAGGTCACGGGACTTACCCTTGTCTCACTTGCTAGGCCCGGTCCTCGCCTGGGAACGGAAATGGGGAATATCGCCCCAAATGATGGACATGTGGAAGGTCTCCGGCCATGAGTCACCCCACGCACTGTTTTTACAAGACTTTGGCCGTGTTCTTCTACAACAATATAAGCCGAGAGCCATTTTAGTTTTCAGGTTAGTTCCCCGGAGCCTAAGAGACACTTTATTCATGGGGTTTCTATAGTGCCCACTGGGAAACAAGCGGGACTCGTCTCGGTATGTGTTAATATGAATTCATACAGCCCAAATGGATTGACCTAGATCTCAGTAACAGACTATGGTAACCAGAATCCACTCTTGTTTGATTACTTCGGATTCCCAAGCGAGGTACATCCATAATCAAGATCCGGCTCAAGTCATTCTAATTCTCGTCAGCTCTACCAATTGAAATTCAAATCACATGGTGACTCCCAAGTGACGGATCAAATTGTGAGTGCTCTCAAGAAAGCCGGCTACAACGCTCGTGCAAGCCCTGTAACCGAATCGCGAGGGGATGATGGTCGAGGATTCGAAGGCCCCGGACTTGATCACGGAGTGTTCCTACCTTTCAGGCACATGTTTGGCGAAGAGACGGATGTGCCGATTGTGCAAGCGAGCATCGACTCCAACCTGTCTTCTGAGAGTGAGTGGAGGCTTGGTGAGGCTGTTGAAGCACTTCGGCAAGTAGTGAGATAGCCGGACGGCCCGAACAACAAGATCTGATACCGCGCAGCTCGGATGGGATCCTCATCCTTTCGGGCGGCCTGACCATCCACAACCTCCGCGATTTCTCTAGCTTCGTTGAATCGTCGGCTGCTCCTCCATATCATGCGTGGGACAAGGCAGTGGACGACGCCATCGCCTTCCAGTCGGTACGTCGTACATTTCTCCATGTCAGGTGTCATCTAAAGACATTCTGGGATTACTAGCCGAGAGAGCGGAAGAAAGCATTGATAGATCTTGCGGCTCATCCAGTTTATCGATTGGCTCATCCACGCGCTGAGCATTTTGTGCCTCTGTATATCGCGGCAGGCGCCGGGGAAAACGGCAAGTCAAAAGTTCTGCTGGCTTTGTTTGGCCTCAAGGCCGTAGCATTTGGATTAGAATGATGGAAAGTTTCATTCTATTGCTTCTTTTAAAGCGACATGTGTGGTAGACGAGCCTAACAGCCGTTCTCGAATATACCTCGCTTGATACGCCTGTTCTTTACAGAGGTTTACTCTGATGGTGCACCCGCTTGTTCCTTTCATTCTTACACTGCATTACACGCTGGGTTGTACTGCTCTGGGGGTGGAATTGGCACGAACTCATTCGGAACTCCTGGATTTTTTTCCAGGAAAAATCTCTTCAGAAGATAACCATTGAAAGAAGGATCACTGGTTCTGTTGACGCGAAGTGCGAGCTCAGTACGTTGTCATGTGAACGGGCGGAAGGTCCGCTGATGTTATGTCTCCGTAAGAGGCGATGCTCCGGGAATACTGCTCTGTGGAGAAGGCTCTTTTTCTTGGTTTCGTGGCTAGCAGACTTGGGCCACAATATCCTCTCACATGCCAAGTCTTTGTTTTTTTCAGTGTTCCCCGGGGAGTCTTTCTCGCCTAAAGGTTTCTGCAGGGTCTTGTACAAGACAGCTTGCACAACCCCGTGGCATGTGGGTATTGGCCACCCCTGAAGCAGGGTGGCGTTAGTCAGTTACATTTAGTCACTTACTGATCTGGTTCTCAGGCCACCGGCACCGATCCGGGAGACCCGGACCTGCTTTACGTTACAGAAGTGGTGACTGCACAGACTTCCGGAAGACCTCGGTCCGTTTGTCAAATTTCCCTCATGGGTCTACCGAAAGAGACCCATTGTTAAATCTGCTCACCTGCCACCTATTTTAAGACATCGAAACTTCCCATCTCGTCCGTCAGGAACAGCTTTCCCTTCCCTCCGCATTGGTCCATACACAGTCTGGTCTGCCCGCAGCACTACCCCTGGGTCACAGGATCGCAGCCGGTTTCGCATACTAAATGTGCCCCAAATCTGTCCTCACATTTGTTGTTCTGCCGAAGAGCATGGGTATTAAGCGCTGGAACAGTGTGGGCTCACACCAGCCCTTTGCTACTACATTTTTTGTCGCTTACCCTGGCAAATCTCGGGTATTAGGGGACTTTAGGGGATATGCCGCGGCCTCCAATGTTGGGGATCGGCTGTGGTGGAGCGCAATGTTGATGGGTCAGTTGAATCGCACCCATATCGGTAACTGATCACTTTTTCAATGCCATCATTCACATGCATTGTGCTGGTGCTCCGCTAGCCACGCACTGTGCAGTCCGGGCCCCATCTCGAGTCCCGAGCCGGCGGTGTCTACGGGAAAAGTAAATGACCACCGAAAACAAGAAGCACATGATAGGTTTCCTCCGTTTGAGTCCCAGCAACAGTTCTGGGGCCGTGGGAGCCTCCATCATGTCTTGGCCTTCCCATTTGCCGATTTTCAAGACTGGTCCCTGCTTTCTGGACGCTTCTGCAAGTTCCGGTTTATGATGACGGTCCGCTAGGGGCCCGAGGTATTCTTCGTCATCATGCGGGGCAGCTGATGGCCCATCTCTTCATCTTGACGCAGCTCGGTGGTATGCGGATACCGGCCAGCGGATCACTTTGCTTTCCAGTCCAGATAAACAGTTTATTCATGCTGCATGTCATGGAATGCGACTGCGTCGGCTGTGGTTCCGAAAACGCCCTAAGTCATCAGGGAGCCGAGGTTCTCCTTCCGTGTGCCCCGGGAAGCGGTACCTCAACTCAAGGGATACCCCTCCCACAAATATTTTGTCTACCGGTGACTATCCAAGAGCAACAATACCTTGACAGGGCGGCAGCAATCCCTGAAGTTCCCGAGTGCCGAATTGCTCGGCGCACGTCAGGGGAGGAATGTTGGTCTGCTTATTCATTCAAATATAGCAACGTACCCCACATGGACGGACCGATTAGGTCAGAATCTAGAGTTCCGGATCCGGCTTAGGGATATGACAGATATTCACTTAGGCAGACTTCCGCTTGACGCCACCGCTTCTGCCGCCAGCCAGTCTGATGGTAGAGGCGGAAGGGCTGTACTGCGGTCAGGTACCTCAGCCGCAAGCGGCACAGATAGATAGCATGAAATACCTTATAGATGCCGTATCTCAAGTCTAGATCTAGGACACGAGTTGTCTCGCCCTTCCCCCCCGCCCGACGATCGATTTCGCCGCCCGCCCCTCGATGTCGTCGTTCCTCGTGCGATCCGCATCTGGCGGCGTTGTCTCCCTCCTGAACCCTTCAGAAGGTGACGATGATCAAGGCTCAACATCACCAACAACTAGTCCAACACAAGAAGCACGAAGTCCTTCTGGATCTCCACCAGATTCAAGTTCAAATCGGAGGGCATATCCATGTCCTTCTTGCCCCAAGATCTTCAACTCGGCAGGCCATCTCAATCGACACCTCAAGATCCACACGGGAGAGCGTGAGCACGTATGCCCTTGGCGTGGATGTGACAAACGGTGTGGTAGATTCGATAACCTTGTACAACAGTATGGATCATTTGGATAGGTCGAGTTTCTTCCTAGCATGCTGATGGTGATGTAACAGTTTCCGTGTCCACTTACGAAACCGGTCAACCACCACGACGAACACGGAGGTGCGCAATATGATGGCGCAATTACGCAATGAGAATAGGAGAGGGCTGCTGGACGACGACAGCTCGTCGTTAACGAGTTTGCAACAAGCCAACGCGGACTATCAGGACCATACCAGGGTCGAGGGGACGCCTAGCGCGTCCCATCCCGTCCCTCCACCCACGTCTGCGTCTCGCCGCCCAGGCTGAAGGATGAACACGACGAATGATACCACTAATGAACACAAGACCTCGGACTCACGAGTTTACAAACGTGTGACAGGGCGTATTGTCGGCAAGTGGAGGCGAGGAGAATAAGCGGCAGCAGGACATGGACCGCGCGGACGAGTTGGAGTAGACGGGCATGGTAATGCGCACACGAAGGACCATTGACGCTATGAGCTGTCAGCTCTTGATGAATTTGGATTGTAACCATTACAATGTTTTTATTACACATGCCCTGTACACAGTGGTTGTAATTTCAATGTAGGCTAATGTTGTCAACCCAGAAACTCGGTGATACCAGACAAATCAAGTCAACCGGACCGAACTGCCTTTCCAAGCACTTTTATTCCCCTCCACGTGTCCCCTCAACTGACCCTTCTCCACCTTGTTCTCCTCACCTCCAAACACAACGACACATATGGTGCAATCGATATATAAAGCTATTCAGATGGCCAATTCACACCTTCTCGACCACCAGCTCAACTTGACGCCAACCACCACAAGCTAGAACTAGGAAAATGGCTCTTCTTCCAGCTCTTAAGCCCTTCTGCCTCGGACAGTACGCCTCTCCGAACACGCTTGAGCTGTTCATCGACTACAACTGCCCCTACTCTGGCAAGCTCCTGAGGAATGGTGTCGAGAAAACCATCAAACCCCTCATCACCAACAATGGCAAGTACGACGGCGTCATCAAGTTGATTTTCAGGCTCAACCCCCAGCCGTGGCATGGTGAGTACCTATCCCGCGTTCTCAGCGCGCTCTCTTACCCTCCTGTCAGCATCAACGACCTTCATGCATGAGGGATCCGTTGCTGTCGCGCTTGCTGCCCCGGAGCACTGGTACGAGTTCACCCTCGCTGTACGTCCTTGATCTTCGAGACTTCGCACAAACTGACGTGACTGTAGTTGTACGAGAACCAAGAGCGGTGGTTCGAGTCCAAAGCAGCCCATCTTACCCCAACCCAGATCCGTGGTCAGATCGGAGAGTGCGTTCTTTTAACATCGACTCTACTAAGCATTTGCTGATCGAAGCTGTGCAGCCTCGCCGAGCAGGTCGTGGGGAAGGAGAAGGGTGCAGTGGTTAAGGATCTCCTGACTATTCCTGGAGATGGCAACCGCACCAACAAGGTGACCGAGGAGCTCAAGTATAACAGTGCGTGGCTACACTGAAAGTCCCTCCACGTCTTGCTGACGCCATTCGCACGTCTTGGTAGTCAAGATCTCGCGCCAAAACGGCATCCACGTCACGCCCTCCGCATGCTGGAACGGTCTGCACGTGCCGACTGTGTCGAGCTCCTGGGGGGAGAAGGAGTGGACCGAGTTCTTTGAGCAGAACGTGAAGCTGTAGACTGATAGAAATTGTGCGAACCAGGGTCAGCACGTCCCTCAAGTCGTTACAGATCAGCAGAGCTGTGTATCCGTAATCAACAGAATAAAGAATGGTGTTCGGTAACCGTCTTCCCCCGAACTCCGTGGTCTACTCCGATTATTCGTAAGCGCCCAGCGAATACATATTCCTTTTCCCACCATGGCTGCTGAATGTTGGGAGGCTTACCAAACGCTGACAGATCATCACTGCAGACCCTAGAACACCGGACCCCTTCTGGCGGTCATCTCCTCCTCGCCGCCCAAACTGTTAGACTCTGAAATATAAAGAAACTTGTCGAGGTCTGCTCTTCTCATCTAGCATAACATCTGTCCCCTCCAGCACATCAAGTCAATCGACAAACCTAACGAATAATCTCTCTCCGCTCCTGCTCGGCGCACGCAACGCCCTGCACACGCTCGAGTTCTATATCGACTATGTCTGTCCCTACACCGCCAAGATCGTGAACAACGCCATAGTACGTATCATTCTTCGCCTTGTCACTAACAGTGGGAAGTATGACGGGAAGATCAAGATTATTCTGAGGTTGCAGCCCCAGCCCTGGCACGGTGCGTCGGGTTTGTTCGGAGTGGGAGCATTGACTAAAACCTGGGGATCTAGCAAGTAACACTCTCGTGCACGAGGCTGCCCTAGCAGCGGCACGCGCTGCACCCGACAAGTTCCTTGACGTGTCTGTCAAGGTACGTTCCTTCAGCTGCTTCTCTTGCTGGCAACGTGACTGATCATCAGGACAGTTCCTCAACCATCAGACCGAGTTCTTTGACATCCCCACCGCCCATCTCTCCCCTGTGCAGATCCGTGCCCAGCTCGTCTCGTGCGTTTCTTTCCTTCTCTTCTAATGTGCATCTTTGCTGACCACTGTTCACCTTGCTGATCTGTATAGACTTGTCGCGGAGGTCATTGGTCAAGAGAAGGCGGCCGTGATGGCAGATTTGTTGGTATACAAGACAACTGCCAACGGAGGGACAGCAGTTACAGATGATTTGAAGTACAACAGTACGTTTTCCCCTTTCCTTCCCTCTTCTGTCATTCTACCTGCGTAGCGATGATGTCTGATATATGCATATTTAGTCAAGATGGGCCGCCAGAACGGCATTCACGTCACTCCATCCACGGTTTGGGACGGCCTGTACCAGAGTGCGATCGAGAGCAGCTGGGACGAGAAGAAATGGACCGAGTTCTTTGACAAGATGGTCACGGCCTGACTGCCCACCAGCAGCGGAGAGGCAATCGCTCGCGGTCAAAAGGCATATATGTAACGAGTTATCATTCTGATCCGATTGCCGTTCCAAGCCGTGGGTACATGATAGTTAGCGTTATAAGACGGAAGAAATGAATGCCGGTGTATACATTCAACAGTTTTCGTGTGACGAGACTACAAAGAAAAGGATACATGACGTCCCGCATTGCGGGCCGTTCTGACATTAGTCCATAGATGCCACTGTGACAGTCTGTTCTTGGCTTTACCTGTGCAGGCAGTGCTTCTTCCGCCCATGCCATGACAACATGTCTTGGTCCCTTCCTCCTTTTCCAACTGGAAGGGAGATCTGGGCCTCTTCATTTGACCTCTTGCTCCCACACATACCTATCCTGATAGCAATATCTCACAAGACAACTGACGATCATGGCATTCCAGCAGAAGAGTAGGCAATACCTTAGGAAGACAGATGCACTCGTGAGCCAAATACATGGTCCAGACATGTCTGAGTAGCTGATGTTTTATCCAGTTGCTTAGGCAGGCACTTGTTCATCTCCTGCAGACTGATGACTTCATCAGGTATGCAGAGGCTGCAACAGCCATTCACAAATGGTTGTTACCAGCCATTGAGAAGATGCGGTGCACACCCTGCCCCAGGACTAATGGGTGCTTGACTGACTAATCAACAGCTCACAAGAAGCCCTCTACTATCAAACGGTCCTTGTGAGCGACTGTCCAGAGGACGTACTTGTAAAAGGCCAGCCCCTAGTGCGAATATTTGCCCTGAAGCTCAACATCGGAGGGGTCGAGTTTAAAATAACCGATGCATGCAATGCGTAAGGTATGTCTATCACCTGAACTCTTATCCAGTAGCTTGATCAACAGAATGCCAGTATTTATCCTCCACATTGCTCTCCTGGGTAACACCACAAGACAGTGTCACGCCTGTATTGTTGTCGCAGGTCACTGGGCCTCCCTCATCTTTAAGCGCAAGACGATATCTCTGGTATGGACTTACGACTGTCACTGGCAAGAACGGTCCATCTGCCACCGACGCCGAACTCACTCGATTGTTATTTGGTGCGATGTCGCCTGGCAAATGGGAAAAGGTCGGAATGTTTAAACATGCTATTCAGCAAGAACAACTTCGCGTGCTGAGGACAATGATCTCGCCTAGGGCATATGAAGAGCTCAAAACCGTGGGGGCCAAAACCCGAGCAAGAATGCGGATGGGGATCACCAAAGATCAGGATCACACGGGGACCGGCAACGCGCAGGCGGACTTCAGCAACTGCGCCGAAACACTTATTTTGACTTTGTTTTGTTTCTGCTCAGGACTCAAGTCAGGTATAGTATATGCTGCAGAACAGATACTCGCCTGGCGGTTCGAAGGCATAGTTCACGCCCACATTCCTTCCAACGGCTCCGCCGTAAACTTCTCCACATCCATCATGAGCTCCTTCATAACCATCTGTTCGCTCAGCTCCTTCCCTTCCTCCTCCGCACTCTCCTCGACCTGCTCTGCCGCCGCCTCCCCCACCACTTCGGCGATATCCTTCTTGTCCGCAATGAGCAGTATCTCAGCGCCCTTGAAGTCCAGCAACTTGACCGGATTCGCCGGAATGAACCGCAGTCCCTTTCCATCTCCTTCGCCGCCAAACTCGGCTTCGATGACCTCTTCAGGATATTGCGCCCGTTCACGCGGGTTCAACCCGGCCTGGGGAGGTGCACTCACAGTGGGATTCTTGACTTGGAGGACAAAGCTCGAGCTCGGGAAGATGTCCAACGCCTTCTGGACTTCCCCTTGTTCTTGTGGATGGCTGAGTTGGTATGCCAAGTATGTCGCATGCTTGCTCGGAGGGCCGGTCGTACGCGCGTAGATGATGTAGTTCCCCCTGCCGGCAAGGCGCGCTTCGGCAATGTGTCTCTCCCCGCGGGTCTTGGTCTCGTACTCCTTGGGGCCAAGGTCATCTGTCAGCTCTCTCAGATTGTCTCCATAACCAACAACAGCGGCCCAGAAGACTTCGTGCTTCTTGCTTGGGTCGGGGAGGCGTTTCTTCCCTACGGTGATGAACCGGTACCGCTTGCGCGAGGGGTTTTTCTTCTCCTCAGGAGTGCCGGCTGAGGTATCAGAGTCTGGCTCGCGAGGGAGAAGCAGAATTGAGAATTTGGACACGTCTTCTAGAGAGGCTGCCTCCTCAATCTCGACCTTGGGCCGGTAGAAAAAGTATACACTTCCGGAGCTGTATTAACATATGCGCGCTAGAAGAGGAGAAGGGACGCACTGTCCGCGTTCAAGGACGCCCGAACCCTTCTCGAAGCCTTCGGGCTCTGATTCCATCTGCGCCCCTTTGGCTTTGCTAACGCTGTCTTTCGCAGGTTGCTCTTCGGTCTCCGTCCCATCCTCCTCGGCTTTCTCCGCACCATTCTGTTTGGCGTTCCCATTGTACTTCTCCTTGTCATTCTCCTCGACTTCTTTCTCTCCATTCTCTGCAGTGAGTTTCACCCCCTCGTCAGTATCAACCTTCTTCTCAGTCTCCTGCTTCTCCTCTTTCTCATCCCCCACGGGCTCTTTCTCCACCTTCGCGCTACTCACGTCCTCCCCCTCTCCTATCTTTGCCCTCTTTCCCCCTTTATGCTTCGCACTGCTACGTCTCTTGACGCCCTCTTTATGCCCCTCCATATGGGCGCCATTCGTCTTTCCTGCAGCTTGGCTCCTGGTCGTAGGCATGAGAGCAGTGACCTGGTGGCTGACCCATGCATTTGGTTCTCATTACAGATTCGGAAATCCGAGCCATCACGTGGTAAAATACATCGACCGCCGGTGCCGCTTCTCATCTTCGACGTGTGACGTCACGCGCCACTCTTTGGGGTAGGTCCGCTCGCTTCCGAGCTGCTTACTTAAGCAGATTGAGATGTGCATTAATGTTTTGGACCTACATGGTATGTATCGAACATCAACCCTCGAAAAACACACAAACAAGACACGACACGACGAGGAATAAAACAAGAACGATAAAGCCTTGGACCCCTTCAAAATAGACGAAAAGGGAGGAAAGGCACACACGGATAAGGCGAAACGATAGAGATGATGAAAAAATCTACTGGCATGAGGGTAAGTGATATAGAAGGGGAATCCGTGGATGGCAGTTTCAGGCAACCTCCTCCACTTGGCTGCGCGTCCCGGCCTGCTCCTGTATTTCCACTTTGCGTCTCCTGCAAGACGTCCACGCGTGCCACAACGTCGTCTCCAGCGAGAGAACATCCTGCTTCCAGACCCTTTTTGTGTTCTCATGTCGGTATTCCTCTCGGAGGCGACCACATCGAGGAACGCTCTCGGGTGAGACGAAATCTGTGGCTACTTTTATAGCATCTGCCAGGTTGCACACCTATTCCACTGTGTCAGCATCCGAAAGGGCAAAATCAAGAGGAGAGTGTACCTGGTGAGCGCACCCGGCTGGAATGAAGACGGCCTGCCCAGGCCTCTGATAGATTCGCCATGACCGGACACCATGCTTTTCGAAAAGCTGCCTGCGCAGATCCGAATCTAGATAGAACAGCTGGGAGTGTATCGGGTCGCCGCCCTTGAATCCTGGGAATGCTTCCTGCAGGAATGTCCTGATCACCTCGGAATCTTGTGTTCGGAAGATATCCCACGCGGCACAACCGGTCTGGCCATCCTTCTCAGCAGCCCAGGTCATGACATTAACTGCATCAGCCATGTCGAGATGCAGTCGGGTAGTGCCACGTCCTCCGGACGTCTCCTTGGATTCCTGGGTCAAAGTTAGCTTGTACAATGAGGAATCAGAAGGAACGCACCAGCGCGTTGTACATCTTGGGACCGAGATCTGGTCTGATGGCGGTGGAAGGGAAATGTGACGCGAGGTTTAGCACACCATCTCTTCTGCCATAGTTGGGGAAAGGGACCATGCGATTGAAATCGTGAAAGAGCTCTGGGAATGTCTCAGAGAACTCTGCAGTAGGCGGCCAATCCTGGGTGACATGGTCAAGGAGTTACACTCGGAGGACTGTGTTGTACCCACTTTCAGCTTTAGAACAGGAACCTCGGTGGCACCGGTACCCATGCGCTGGAAGAACTCCTTGACTGTCGACTCGGTGGGAATACCTCTATCATCGTTGCAATCTACAACGAGACATTTCGTTTCCCCATACTTGTCCATGAAGTAAGTTGGAGACCAGGGAATTTTGGCACGGTCCAGAACGTCGGCGATGACAACGGGTTCGCCATGACGCCATATTTCATGGAATTGAGCTTCGGTGATGTCTTGATGGTGGAACTGATGGAGAGGGAGACTCCCGACACCAGATGGATCGATGGGGCCTTGCCAATTCACGTCATTGCCCTCAATACTGTTCGCCACCGCGGGCTTCAAATCCTCGGTGTCGACAATGGTGGAAATCGGCACCCTCATACTGGCAATGCTGATGCTAGGCGTTTCAAGCGCGTCGGCCTTACAGGTGTAGGCGGAAGTAATGCTTCCCGTAGGCTCGCCTGTAGGGGATACCAAGGCGCGCATCTGTTGTATGTGCAGTTGTAGTTCAGGTGGTGTCCACGGTGTGATCGGAATAAAATCGGATACGTAATGAGGAGTTGTCGAGGCCCGAGAGGCCTTGCAGCGCATCAAGCGTTTCTCTCGGTCCGTTATCTCGAATGTTTTCAACTGAGGTCGTCCTTCGTCTCCAATGCCATCGTGGGAGTGATCCAGGCTGGCCAGCTCCTGAAAACACTGGAAGCAGAGCTCGCTGCCACACTCTTTACAGTACCATGCGCCAGCAGCGAGGGACGTGCCACAAGTATCTAATGGCAATCAGTCAGTTTGGTATGCCATCACCGCTTTGGTACTTACCACAACTGTGTCTGTGTACAGCTTCTCTGGGCCGACGAACTGCATTCGGCTGCGACGCGTGATCCAGCTCCTCCTCTGCGATGGGCAGCAAGTAACTTGCGATGGCACCCTACCTCAGCATGAGAATGAATATCAAGTGTTTTGAGTAAGACATACCATTGACTGCGACAGGTGCTCTCCGGTGAGTTCCGTATTCCAATTGGCAGGATACTCGGCAGCCTCGTTGGGTAGACTACCAGGAAGGAAGAAAGGACCGTTGATGGCTTGGAGCCACACCTTTCCGTGAACATCCTGAATCTCCGCGTACTCAAACCAGCGACAGCCTTTGAAACGACACTCATCGCTCGTGAAATCTTTGGTGATGCATGCTCTGCAAGCAGCGTGATGGTAGTTGCAAAGTGGAACAACCTTGCATGTAGTATCCTGAACTCGGAGGCCAGTTGAAACATGATGGCGTGGAGCACTCTTGGCTCCTATGAGAAGCAGCACTCTGTCAGCTGACCTCAGCTGCTGTGTGACCAAGACTTACGCTTCTCCTCCTTACTGTGTTTCCTGCTGGTATCCGTCTTCTGCCTCTGTGCCTGCGGCTCGTCGCCAGCATGTGGCTCGATCTCCGTCTTCTGTCGCTTGGCGCGTGGCTCGTCGTCAGTATGTGTCTCAGCTTTGGGTTGGATGACTTCTGAATAGAATCCGGCAGGTTTTGTCTTCCTCTTGCCCAAAGGGGAAATATAAGGCATTGTGGGGTCGAAAGTGGGCACCACATTGATTTTATCCGCCTCCTGTTTTCTCGCTATCCTGTCTTGTCTGTAAGCTCTATCGTAACATCTGCACAGGATAGTGAGATTTGAGTGACACGAGCATGGTCAGATGCGTACGGTCGACACTGATCTTCTCCGGTACCCTTCTGTTGCTTCCACATTTTTACTCCAGTCGTCTTGCCGCAGGTAATGCAAGGGCCGCGGGAGGCCTGCGATAAAATCGGTGTTTTCCTTTTGAAAGAGCCTACAATCTGTTGCCGGTGGCGCTTCCCTGCCTTTCCTTTTTGTTGCTTCTTCAAGGATGACGTAGAGGCTGGGTCCGATATAGGACCAATTGGATTCGAGTCCGGAAAGATGGGACCAGAGACGCGAGAGCGCTCTCCTTCAGGACTCCCAGAATGTGGCTGGGGCGTGTATTCTGCGCCCTCTTCATCGACAGCAGTGACTGGGAAACGATGAGGAGCAGCCCTACAATGTAACGAGACATAACTTACGAGATACATCTGACTGGGAAACGAAAACAGGTCGGAGCTCGGCCTCCGCCTCATCTTCCGACTGGAACTCAGTTAAAACAGACGAGTAGGCTGACGGGGAGCGGTGCAAGCTGGCGACGCGATCGTTCCTAAGACTGGGGATCGATAGTGCTTCAGTGCGGAGAACGGTTGAGATAGTATGCTCTGTGGGTCCACTGATTTCTGGGGTCGCTCGGGCAGGATTCCAAGGCACCTTGATCTTGATCACCAAACGCGAATGGTCGGCATCGGTTACGAGAGGTGAAGGCTCCGCCAACCTCTCACCCTCGGCATGTTCGCTCTACGAGGTGGGTAAGCGAGGTAGACTGGTCAATCGAACTCCAACTCACCACTACCGGTGCCTCAACTTCGGCATCTTCGTCTTCCATCTTCTGATCCTCTATTGTCTGGGAAGGTGGCACAGAGGATAGCGGGGAAGATACCGTCGATGAATAAGAACAGTCAAACTGAACATCATCCCCGCTAAGGATCTGGGAGACTTGGACAGAATCTTCAGCCATGTTTCCCGGATCCTCCTTGCACTCTGCGCTAGGCTGTAAAATCTCGTCCTGTATCATGCTTCCAATGGCGCTCATTGATGCTGCAGTTTCGCGCCCTTGTGATATGCGCTGTAACTCCCTGGGATGTCTTAGCATGGACAATATTGAGTCCAACATAACAACCCACCCCTCAGAACGAGAGAGGAGACAGCTGGTGGTTGAAGGTGGTTTGGGTGAGAGATCACGTATGTCGATGAATGGTATATCGCACTGTATTGAAGGTCCTGTTTTGTGCGCGAAGGCAGCCTCAGAAGGGCGCCCCCAGTCATGACGGAAGCATCTGGTCAGGGACGGAGGCATCTCTAAACTTTCCCAGGCTTTCTTGATTATCACATCAACAATCAAACAATGGACTAGGGGACCCCTGAGACTGGCAACAATCGCGATGATAAACATGCATATGATCATGCGAATGAGTTCTGAGAAAAAACGTACAAATATCCACTATCCGGCGCATCATATCGTATCATTACCAGAAGGGATGGTACATTTGGGTGAATGAAAAGCACTCTTCTAGATCTGCATCTACACTTGATATCTATATATGTAAGCACAGTCAGTACTCACATGGATGGCATTGGTTCTTGCCCTAGCAGAGTGCTGAGGATACATTTGCAGCTCAATATAATTTCAACACCAAACTATCATGACACACAAAACATCGACCTCCAGACCTAATAGTCTGTCAGGGCACCAGCTCATTGCTTGGTCAAGAGACATGACTAAGCCTTTATGACATGGAAGTAGCTGGTATACCTTGGCATGTGCTGGAACCTGCTGGAAGGATTGGATGGTCAGGTGACCTGCTGTGCATGGCTGTGCATGACCTCATATGACCTCATCCTTGGTCATATGACCTGATCACCTGACTAGGCTGAGTAAGCAAGATGTTCTAGCAGGTTCCACCACAGAGGTATAAATATAAGGCCTACTCTGCCTGGGGACTGTCTCTTCAGACTTGGTCTCTTAGGATCATCCACAGGTACCTATACTGTAGATAGGTCTTAGTCATCAGGTCTACTCCACTTCCTTAGACTCTTGGCACTCTTAGGTGAGCAGACTTAGTCAGCCTGTGTTGCCCTAACATACCCTAACATCACACAGGCACATAGGGCAAAAATTCCCTCTTTTGGAAGTTATGGAGGTAAATTGCCTCCGATGCGTGCATTACTACATGCTACTTACTACCTTTCTTGTCGGAGGTATTTCCTCCAATGCCCCGTTTTCGGAAACAAAATACCTGTTATGCCCCTCCGGATGCATTTTACCCAAATGCCCCATCTTCTTCAAGGGTTCACGGTGTTAGCAGCTGAGAAGCCTAGGAGAAGCCCGCCTAAAATCCCTGAAGTGTGAAAGGTAGCTCAGGGGTCTGATTTATAAGCATGCTCATTTATCTGAGAATTCACTCTGTGAAAAGTCGAAAGAAGTCTTTCTATATGTCTTATTATTTATATCTATTGATCTTGTTCTTTGATTTTCTTTTTTTGGTAATTTTCTAAGTGAATTGAGAACCAACTCTGGTCAAGCAGAGGCCACGACCCCTAGGTAACTTATTTCCCCCTTTGGGGTTTTCAGCACAGCTTCTAAGGTACTAACGCCGTGATCCCTTGAAGAAGAGGACATTGGGGTAAAATGCATCCGGAGGGGCATAACAGGTATTTTGTTTCCGAAAACGGGGCATCGGAGGAAATACACCACATCCCCTATGCCATGCTCAGGGTCTGATTCCAGTGGATGCCAGTTTGCGTCCAACTGGATTCCACGATTCCAAGCTCCCTCTCAGAATGGGTCTGGACTGGGTCTTGGGTCCAGGTCACCTGATGCCTGGGAATCATTTTGCTTGCTGCTCATTTGCTGGTTTCACAATATTGTAGCATTATCAATGATCTATACTACTACATACATATGGAGGAGGAGTACTAACAGCACAGGGGATATACTAATGATGAAGTATCAGCTTGAGTCGAAGGTAGAGATGGGGACGGACACTCACAGTGGTGGTAAGAGAGAGAGAGAGGTGAAACGATGAAGTCCGTGAGCGACTTTGCCTCTTCAGACGCATCGCGACTGGTCACGTGTGACTGATTTTGCCAGGTCTGGCGCGGGTCTGGCAGGTTTTTACCCAGCATCTCGAGACCCCTTGCAGCGCGTTGGAATCAGCACGGACAGTCCTGTAGGATTCCATAGGCCGCATTCCACTTGGAATCCTCACTTTCTCGTCGTCACTCGGTTGGGAGATTGATTACGTAAACTTATGAAACAAGGACCAAAATGACGCACCGGATGCGAGCTAAAAATGGATCGAGGGATCGGCCAAGAACGCAGGCACAGGGCTGATACAGGCACGTTCGCTTCCCATCATTTCGTTGTCAACACGCCGTTTCCATACCTTTTTTTCTTACTTGTTCAACATTGTTCGAAGGACTTCCACTGTTCTATCTCATCTCTCATTCATCTCATCATCAACAGTATGTCTGACGACCGGACCTTGACTCCCTCTCCATCCCAAAGGCCGGCGACAGCTGAGCAATCCGACATACCCTCGAACACCCTTCTCGCACCTCCCAAAGACGATCTGCGTGCTCCGGATCATGCATCAATATTCTCCACTCGATCTCGGCTTCGTTTTCACCCCGCCTCTGTTCGCCAACCTCTGCCGTTCTTCTTTCCCACTGGAGGAAAGTTCGTCGACTCCATCCGCGGGACGACATACAACTGGTCCTCCCGTTCTTCACGTAAGAACCGTTCCCCTCCCGCCAGGCACCGGGTCGAGCCGCACGAGACTGCGCCGGAGCTTGGTCCTACGCCCAGACTAAGCCGGACAGCGAGCATCGAAGCCCGTCTGCATAAATCACCATTCAAGCCACATCTCGAAGCGGACTGCTCTTTCTGGGTAGCGGCGATCTTCACCGCCGGATCAGCAGTCTGGGTCATCAATGGTTTTCTTCTTTTCCTTCCTCTGGTTCAGCCGAGCGTGCCAGTGTACTCTACCGCGGCGGGAGCACTCGCATTTGTTGGAGGGACGCTCTTCGAAGCCGGCGGGTGGCTCATGCTCGTCGAGGCGACCAATACGGGTCACGAGCAGATGTTCGTAGGCCCCCTCAGCTCGTATCTCCGGTGGAGGAGACCTAGCGAGGAAGAGCTACTCGAGTCCCAGGCGCATAGCGGAGATGAGGCGGACGAGAAGCACGGTGCGAGCTCCAAAGCCAAGTTCGTCTGGTTCGCCAAGCCTATGTGGAGGGATATTGGCTACCTCGCTAGTTTCATCCAATTTATCGCCGCTACTATCTTCTGGGTGTCAACGATTGTGGGCCTACCTGGAGTCATACCGACGCTGTTTACAGACCCGCCCGTCGTGATCACGGACATCTTCTTTTGGACCCCACAGGTTCTTGGTGGATTTGGGTTCGTGGTGAGCAGTCTATTGCTGTACGTGCTGGTGTATTCCCGTGATACCTCCATTGAACTTAACCGCAGGATGATCGAAACCCAACGCGCATGGTACCTTCCCAACCCGCTCTCCATCGGCTGGCAAGTCGGTTTCTGGAATCTGGTCGGTGCAGTCGGTTTCTTGCTGTGCGGTGCATGGGGCTACTTAAGCCTTGACGTCCCTTGGGAAAACTTCGAGAGTACATGCGCGACGTTCTGGGGCAGCTGGGCGTTCTTGATTGGCAGCGCAATACAGCTGTACGAGACACTCTGGCGGGAGGAACCGGAGTAGCGGGCCGTGTGGTACACCATACCCTCTTTTGTTCGGATTTGGAAGAGACAGCATTTACGCTAAATCGACTTGGCATATTATTTATCGTACGATCATCATGTATGTTCTACAGACACATTCCCCGCATACACGACAACTTTTTTTTTTTTCATATGTAGCGGTCTGCAGAGGCTGGTCCTAATGTAGATTACTGCACTTTTGCTGCGTTCCCATCTTCAGAATGACGTCTCTGCACCAACATTTCCCCGAGAAATTCCCTTGTGTTTCCCGTCGAACTGCCTGCGTACCAATGAGCAATTGATCATTGAGCTAGATCTGATTCGATTTATCGACAATGCCCCTTGGTGCATGTGGGGCATATGGCCGTTGGGGCAGAAAAAGTAAGTTTGGCGCCCGCAAATCCGCGAACCTTGTGGATGCGGGAGTTATCAGGGTTTTGAGCGCTAGTGGGATCGGGATACTGTTAGAAACATGGTAGGCACTGTACAGGCGAGGATCGGACTGACAATCGTCTTGTGACTCACTACGTGCACTGCGAGAGCAGCTGAGGCGCAGTGTGTTGGTCCGTTCGTTGTGGGATGTTGATGATCCTCGAAAAGCAATGTGTAGCCAGGTACGATCCGAACCCTGCCGTTCAGGGTTCTGTTGAGTGGGGGTGATACCACCAAATGGGAGAGGGGAAGGCGTCCCTTATTCTGGGCAACATCCGCTCGGAACGGAAGCGGATCCCCAATTGGGGCTGCATGGAGGAGGAGGAGAGGGGGAAATTGTCAGCGAGGAGGGCGTTTTGATTCATGTTGCTGTGAGCATTGCATTATGGATTGCATTCGCTCATATGTGTGTGAGACGGAGATGTCATGAGTGACATTTCGGAATATTGGTGTGGTTCGGGAATAGACTGCACAGCTTGTGATTTCGCCACAGGGGAGAGAGAGGCGGCACAGATGGCGCGGGATGGAGACAGGAATTAGACATTCACCACGGTATGAACGGCGTCTATTCTGGGGGGAAGAGGGGAGAGGGTAATATCCTTACTCTTGCTTGTCAACTACTACCATCTACTCTAGATCTGCTCTCTCGTATTACAATTCGACTGTTGTTGTTTATATTCGCCTTATTCATATTCGAAACGTCTAACGCCGCATAACCACCATCCCTTCGCCGTTCTCTGTCATCATCTCTCCAATTTGGCCCTAACCCAAGTCCACAATGATGGACTCTCCGACGGATATATCCGACCTCCCTCCTCCAGCCTATGAACTCTCACAGAAAGAGTTCGACGACAAGCTCCAAGATGCCGTCAGTCGCTCTCTTACCATCACACCTCGCCCTCGACAGGCTCAGCAACAACTGCCTCAGGCGCAAGTACCGAGCGTGGAAGTCACTCCACCTCCAACTGCAGGAATTCAAGGTCCCGACACTGTCGGAAGCCAAGCTCCCGCGAACGTAGGCGGTGCAGAGCAAGACGAGGGTTTTGAGGAGTGGGACGAGGAGATCTTCCAAGCGAACGAGCTGCGAATGCGTGCCCTGTCTCTGGGAGAGGACGGGATTCCAAACGGGAACGGGAAAGAACCAGCCATCGAGCGATCTATCACGCCTACTCCGGTGAAGGCTACCTCTCCTCCGGCAAACAGCGAAAAAGAGCGCCCGTCGTGGTATGACGAAGCGGGGCTATCTAGCACCTCTCCTTCCGCAAGCGCATCCTCTTCCCAACCTACCTCTCCGAGTCCTACGAACTCCTGGGCTCCAAATCCGGCAAAAGCGCCTCGCAGGGCGCCCTCCGGAGCACGAGCTCTCACAGCAACCAGGAGTAGTAGGAACGTCCGGATTCTCCCTAGCATACCTCAAGGCTCTTTGCCCCCATCTGGAGCGACAAGTCCGGTATCGGATCGTGGAGAACCTGGAGATGGAATCCCGCCCGTGCATAACGGAAAGCAGCGGGAGGTGGTTGGCCAAGAGGCAGGAAAGGGGAAGGAAGAACCCAAACAAGAGAAGGAGAGACCGAGCTGGTACCACGAAGCCGGACTTGACAAGCCTGTCGCTGCTACCTCCACCGCTGGGGGTTCGTATTTCCCGCCTCAAGATGACCTCCCGCCGCCGCACGAAGATGCCCCACCTCCGCATGAGTTGGCTACTGCCGACCAGAATGCCCCTGCACCACCCAAGCAAGAGAAAGAACGACCTAGCTGGTACTCCGAAGCTGGGTTGGACAAGCCTGCCGGTGCAAGCGGGAGTGGTCCTCCTCCCGCACCCGCCCCTGCTCCACCCACACCGCAGCCCGTCCTGCCCGATCCGCCTAAAGAGAAGCAAGAAAAGGAGCGCCCGAGTTGGTACTTCGAAGCTGGGCTTGGTGATTCCTCTGCTTCCTCGTCTGCTCCTACGCCCACACGATCAGACACGATCACCACTGTGTCCTCCACCTCTGCGACTTCTCCCAGTGCTGGGCCACCTCCCCTACAGTGGCCCAGTTCTGCTACTACCAGCCCATCGGGCACGCTACCCCCGCTCGGGGAGCTGGGGGAGGACGACGCATATGACGAAGATGCACCGCCAGCTTTCACACCCATGGCTCCGCCCCTTCCTGGGCCAGGCATCCCCAGCTCGCTGCCGCCCGCACACGGAACCGGCAGAGGCAGGCAAGTCCGCCCCCCTCCGAGCATAGGAGCGTACGTCTCCGGTGCTGAGCATGCTAGAGCACAGGTCGGCGCCAATACAAGATCGCTCACTATCCCACCGCAGAGCGCGCCCAGCACACAGCAGGGCTTTGACCATGCGGAAATATCTTCGCCCAACCGATACTCTATGCCTCCTCTCTCTCGAGCAGGGGGGGCGCCTCCCTTCCCAGGGGACGGCGGCAACCCACCTCCACCCGCGATACCGGCGCGAGTAGGCATCCAAAGCACAGGGCAGAGGCATGCATTTGCACCCCATGGATACTCGCGCAGGCTCCAGTTCAACCCTAGTGTAGCGTATGGCGAGGAGGGGCAGGTGGGGACGGTAGGTGCTATGGGTGTCAGCGTCGGCCAGCAGAGTCTATACGGAAACCCATATGCGCTTTACAAGTACGTTGTGTTCTGGATGAAATTTGTGTAGGACTGACGATGGTTTCAAAGCTCCTCCGTGTCCGCGTTTCTGCCCAAGGCGATGCCCGTACATGCCAACCTTCCCACCCCCGCGCAAGCATATGCGGCACAACACACCTCCCCTCCGTCTTCGTCAACAGACAACGCTCGTCTCTCCCCGGTGTCAATGCGCCGCGCCCCATCGACGTCCCCCAACTCCGGACAGGGGGGTGACCCGCCGTCCATCGACCACGTCGGCTCTCCCGCACCAACGTACGCCTCAAACAACAGCTCGAGCCCTCTCCCCTCCCCACCTACGCAGGGTTCGAGGCCGTACGACATCGCCCTGGCCGAATCAGTCATTCCCGTCTCGGAAAGCGTCAAGCAGATGCACCAGCAATTCCAACAGCAAAGCCAGTCGCAGAGCCTCAAACGCTACTCGATGGCTCCTTCCATCGCGCCCTCTGTCGCTTCTGGTCCACCCCCGCCCGTACCGGCATATCCCCTGGGTATGCAATCGTATAACCCGCTAAACGCTTACAACCCACCTGCAACACCCGCGCCGCCACCCATTCAGCAACAACAGCAGTACTCTCCTTCCGTTCCTGGCTACCCACAACAGGGATTGGCGCATTCCCAGTCACTCTACTCACTCCCTACTGGACCGCCTCGCGGGCACGTCCCGCCTGCACCGGGGCAGATGTATCCTCAGCCTGGGTATCCGCAGGGACAGGCGCAGCCCTGGGGCCAACAGGGGGAACAGGGTGGACAGCAGCCTGTGTCGGGGTGGCAGCAGCAAGGCACCTACCGGAGGTGAGGTAACCAACTGGAAGGATGTGAGATCACATTGGGGATTCGATAACAGCTTTTTCGTTTATCTTTTCGTGTTTATGCAAGGACTATCTTTCCTAATTTAAGTGGAAGTGGGAGGGAGGGTTGAGTTGAGGAAGTAGATATCGTCTCGGTTCCGTTGCTGTTTGTATGTCTGTGATAACATGTAATCTGTTGAATCTTGTACCCGGTTATTGTTGATTGTCAAGGGTTAGGAATTCGGTCCCTAATCTTCGGTGCCCTAAGCACCCCCAGACGGGCCGATGACTCAGCATCCGGCCTCCGCAATCATGGAACATCGGGTCCAATACGAAGCGCCCTAGTCTCGCTGGTGATTGGACGGTAGAGTACTGCGACGCAATGAGGTTGTGGCGATAGCATGTTGAGTGGTCGTGCGTTGGCAAAGCTATTTTTAGCCCTAGTCCTATCCACAGTATACCAATCCAACCAAGTTCAACAACCAAGAAACATTTCATATGATTGGTCACCGTTGTTGTGTCGTCCTCATACAATCCCTGAATCCAAGGACGTAAGCAATTAAATCGGGAATCAGAAAACTGCCCAGGGTTGGAGAATATTACCCCAGGTCTTCTGATCCATGATGCAGACATGGGTCATGGGGTTCCGTTTAAAGGGTCGAATATGTGTCATTTTATGATCGATCACTAGGAAACGGACATAAGGTGTGAGCATCGGGGAATGAATCCCTGACATTTTTGAATCTTCGGACAGCGTGACGATTCCTACGATTGACCAGCTGAAAGATCATGAAGTCATTGTCAAAAGGTCAAGAAGGAACGAGAAGAAACAAAATTACCTTACATAGCCACCAACGGAGCCATGTGAGTTGGTCGAGTCAGCTAGTGTCATCCGGTCCCTGAGCGCTTCTTCCTTATGAACCCGCTTAGTCACGGCAAGCGCCGACGCGTCCCGGCATGTGGGGCCGTTGCGGCGGCCGGTTGTCCTGTTGGGACCGCACCACCGGAACATTTCTAGCGCTTCTTGCCTCGAACGAGAGTCCAAAGGGCTGTTCCACGGTTCCGTCATGGTGACACGATACGCCAAGAGGACATTCTCCTAATTTGCCCACCAATCAACTGCTGGCTGGTGTGCTGTGGAGGGCACCGTGAAGCGAGTTGGACTGGCCGAAGGTGCGCCGAGCAAGCTTATACCCACAACGGGTCCACCGACCAAGCTACCCGGTGCTCGTCGGGGGCCGGTGCGCCTTTGTAGGAACTACAGGAAAAATGCTTGCGTCGCGCTACCGGACACCTTAAAAGGGCTGAGGCACAAGGTCACATCTCATCCGTAATCTCCCTTTTCTCCCCACCGTCCCCGCACTCTCGCTTGACTTTTGTCCTTGGCTTCCTTGCTGTGGAACTGTGCGTCACCGCGCACCCAATCACCTTGACTGTCTGCCGCTGCGCTGCGTAGCCTTTTCTGTCCTCGGCGGGAACACGACGTTGAATATATCCTGTTTCTGCATCGACCGGTCTGTCACATCAGTAACATAACAAGCAGCCTAAGGAAGATATGCCCGCCTATCCCTCAACGTCCGGCGACGCAGGCCTTCAACCGCCTTCCGCCACTCAATCCATGCAAGACGAGCGAACTCCGGACCCCGAACCCACGGTGGTCAACACACCCATGGTGTCCACAGCCGATCTGCGCACAACTGGGTTGAGTGAGAAAGCCAAGGCAGCTCACGATGACGAGCCCAGAAAAAGCGAAGATATGGATATCCGGAAAGAAGGCCCAGTTCAGGCAATCAGTGCTTTTGAAATCCCAGACGATAAGCGATATCTTAAGGGATCTCGCCTTTTCTTCGCCTTCTCGTAGGTTTTTCCATGCTTGGAATTGTCGAACAAAACTGACCAGATCCATAGTGCCATGCTGTTGTCGATCTTCTTGGTTGCCCTCGATCAAACAATCACCGCAACCGCTATTCCTCGCATCGCCTCCGATTTCAATTCCCTCGACTCGATCACGTGGATCGCTTCTGGCTACTTCCTTACACAAGCCGGCTTCCTCATGCTTTACGGTCAATTACTCATTATCGCCCCAACAAAGTGGGTGTATATCACCGCGATCACGATCTTTGAGTTGGGTAGTTTGATCTGTGGAGTGGCGCCAAATGTCAATGTTCTTATATTTGGTCGAGCATTTGCGGGTATTGGCGCAGCCGGGTAAGTTATTTTAAGCCCACTGTTTGGAATCCTGCTCTGACTATCCTGGCAGAATTTTCGTTTCTATCCTTTCTATCATCGCTCAGATCACGCGTCTGGAAGACCGCCCCTTACTGTTCGGTTCCTTTGGCGCTGTTTTTGCCGTATCCTCTGTGATCGGTCCTCTGCTGGGAGGCGCCTTCTCCGACCACGTTACATGGCGTTGGTGCTTCTACATCAACCTTCCCATCGGTGCGATCTCGATTGGAGTCATTCTTCTTATCATCGATGCCCGTCCCGCCATTGGTTCAGATGCAACAGATGGCATGACCACGTTCCAGCGCTGGCTGTACATGGATTGGATCGGGGCACTCCTTTCTATCGGCATGGTCGTCACACTCCTGCTCCCCCTTCAATGGGGCGGCAATCTCAAGCCATGGAACGACAAATCCGTCATCGCGCTCTTCTGTGTCTTCGGCGCAGTCCTCATTATGTTCATCGCATGGGAGTGGCACATGGGTCCACGCGCCGTGCTTCCACTTGCTCTGTTCAAGCGCAGCACTCAAATCGGCACCTGCCTCGAGGCATTCTTTGTCATGCTCGGCATGCTTCTGGCCACCTACTACCTTCCCTTGCAGTACCAAGCAAAAGGCCACTCCGCTACCCAGTCTGGTATCGATATTCTTCCCTTCATGCTCTCCGTTGTCGTCGTCGCGGCGATCTCCGGTGCTGTGATAAACTTTACCGGCCGATACTGGCCCTTCCTTTTCTTCGCACCACTTCTCACCTGTATTGGTGCCGGACTGCTCTTTACACTCGAAGCCGACGCGCCGAATGCCAGGATGATCGGTTATCAGATTCTCTTCGGCGCTGGTGTTGGCGGTGCTCTCCAGAACGTCGTCATTGCCATCCAGGCTGAATACCACGATAACGAGCGGATGATTCCACAAGCTACTTCTCTTGTCACCTTCTCCCAGCTCGTTGGTGGTGTCATCGGCATCTGCATTGCAGGAACAATCTTTTCCAACCAACTCTCTAAGGAGCTCGCCATCTACGCCCCGAACCTCCCGGCCGATGTAATCCAAGGCATCAAAGATTCCGTCACCGTTGTGCAGACCCTCCCTGCGGACCAGCAAGGCCCCATCATCCAAGCATACGTCAAAGCACTTGATTATGTCTATCTGATTGGTGTACCGGGAGGCGCGTTCGGATCCCTTTCCGCCCTGCTCACGAAGAACCATAACATTAAGACACTCGGTGTGCAGTTTGGCGCTGGGGGTGCATGAGCCTCCCATGTCCAATTTCCTCACACCAGGAAACTAGATATCCAGGGTTTCGGACTTCCATCGTTCCTTATAGATTTGTCTTGCTTTCTCACTCACTCCTCCCATCCTACCACAATGTACGGGTTACTGTGCTGAAAATTTGTCCGGCATTTAAGGGCTTAGCGTAGATCATGTGTAACAAATAATCGCAATGAATCTTGTTGATTGTCATCGACTTCGTGCGACCACTAAGATGCGAAATTGGCACCCAGCCGTGACGTCCTCAGGCTGGACGCTTTGCAAGTTCAAGAACTTTGCGCTTCTCAAATATCTCCGGCGCTTATGTTTTCCACTTCTTTCGATCGGCCCAATCGGATACTTCGTATCGTCGTGGTTGAGATAAACAACATTCTATCAGGCACCCACTCATGCTTGAGAACCACCTATTTGGATCATATTAGGACAATGTAAGGTGGTTTAAGCACCCCTACTACACACCGAGCAAGTTGAAGTACTTGACCGAGTGTAATTACGAGTAAAAGTAGTTGAGTAGTCATATAGGTAGTTTGCCCATCTCAAACATGTGCGGTGAGATGGCCGAGCGGTCTAAGGCGCGAGACTAAGGCGAAGAAGTCAGATCAGATGATCTGGGAATCGAAGTAATGGTATCTCGTCCGAAAGGGCGTGGGTTCGAATCCCACTCTCATCACAACTTATTTTTGCCCATTCAATCCTCTTTTCTTCTGCCTTGGCCTGACTTCGTTTCAGGGTCTGCGTCTCCTTGGTTATGTTCATGAAACATTAAATGAAGCCTGCACCCGTTATTGTAATCTTTCTATCATAAAACGATAGACTTTGGCCGCCAGGGATTGAGGTCAGCATCTGGTCCACTTACGCAGTCTGGCCAGGGAAAGGCTCGACATCCTCTTCACGTCTTTGGGCTATTTTCGAGCATTAGAGGTTGTAGAGAGTGATGGATTTTATGCAACGCAGATGGAAATTGGTCTATTCGTTTCACTTACTAAGCCATGCACATGCTGCTCTTCGCCTGCAGCTTGCCTGCCCCTGCACCAGCAAATCTAGGCACTCTCATGCCTATGGCACAACCTGAAAAACTTGCTTCCACAACTCCCTCAGCTCTTGTAGGTTTCCGATAACCGCATCCACCCCCTCCACTTTCGGATGTTCGCTCATACTATGGTCCTCCTCCCGCTCCGAATACAGCACACAATGCCCCCAACCGCAACTCTTCGCCGCCCGCACGTTGTTCAGGTTGTCGTCTACAAACAGGCATTTAGAGGGATCGGTGACACCCGCAGTGGAGAGCGCTTGGGCGTAAAAGGACGGTTCGGGTTTGCATGAGAAGTCCGGAGAGGAATAGTCGCAGTAGAAAATTTCTTCGATCAAATCGGATAGGTTCAGGACGCGCAAAACGCGATTAGCGTGCTGTAGCGCACATTAGAAATCCATATCATGTGGGGCCAGAAAAATGGTACGTACTGTGGAATACGCGTTGGTGAGCGCCCACACCTACAATTTCGTGAGGACGGCATGGGTAACTCCTAAACGATGCACATACCCTTGCCTTACTCCGATCGATATCCTCGATCAACTTTCTCACCTTCGGGTCCGGTTTCAATATGTCTTCGAGTGGCAAACTTCCATCACACTTCTTGTCAAAATCCAGGGCATCTTCCTTGCCATCTGTTAGCTCTGAAGCTTGCTGCTCCCGGCTGGGAAGGAAGAATGGTACGCACCAATGTTGTGATGCTTCATCAGTCCCCGCAGGGCAAGACCGTACTGCGTGTAGTACTTGCTGTGCAGCTCGTGCGCATCGTCGTCCGTAAAGCCCATGGATAGGAAGTATGCTGAAGCACACTTGAGCACAGCTCAGGACGAAGTGAGCGGTTTGTAGGCGTACCATGAATACGTTCGATCATAAGCTCAGCAATGCGTGAGCTTCGTGTGTAGAGTGTATTGTCTGATTGTACTGTTAGCAGACGTTGTGAATGCGTGCGACAAGCGTTACCAATGTCAAGCCAAACAATGTAACGGTCATCCGCCATCACTCGTTCAGCTTTTCGTGCTCAGCAATAATACGTAAACGTACTTACTGGCTTTGCCATTGGGTATACCGTTAGGAACCACCATGTTAACTTAATCAGCAGCGACGAAAAAGAGAAATCAGCTCTGATTGAGGCACCCTCGAATGTGCCCGACGTGATTATTCCGTTCCGTTTCATTTGCTTACCTAATATCTCCGCTATGACGTCCATCAGGGTCCGCTCCCTATCTCCGATATTTTTGGGTTCGCGAAGTTCGGCAGCGTTGCGATCCAGCTTGCGACGTTCTTACGCAATAACTGCTCTTCATATGTCTTCTTTATATTTTCGCTTAGATCAATATACTTCTGCCCCGAGCTCATGGTAATGCGTGCAGACGACCACGAGGACCACTTCGAACACGACAAGGGCAGGGAGATCACGCAAGTCCCGTGCAGAATGAGCGATTGATCGGTCTCCAGGTGCCACAGCATGTTCCAGTTTGCACCTTAAACTCCTCCCTTGTTGTTATCTGACGTACATATCTCGATTGTCAGTAACAAACGTCCATGGGATTCCTAGATCGTCTGCGTAAACAACCCCAGTCTGTGTTATCTCCCACACTTGTCGAGGACACCGACGAGAAGTCCGTTCAGCGCAATCCAGAGGATGTCACCGCCGAGGCTGTTCCACAGCGAGACGCTACAGGAGCCCAGGAAGTGGGAGATGCCATCGAAGGCGACGCAGGCTGGACTCCTGGTGGTATCACGTTCGAGGAGGATACTGCCGGAGGGATGGGTCGGCATTTGGGTGTTGTGAGCTGCACGCTGCTGATGTATGATGGTTCCTACATTCCAATGGGACCACGCTGATGAAGTTTTAGTATCGGTCGCATTATCGGGACAGGAATCTTTTCCACACCCTCCTCTATCTTGTCCGGCGTAGGCAGCATTGGTGCCTCTCTTTTTCTTTGGGTACTTGGCTTCCTTATCTCTCTTTGCGGCCTCTTCGTCTGGCTCGAGTTCGGTACAATGTTTCCTCGTTCTGGAGGAGAGAAAGTTTACCTGGAAGCTGTGTACCGCAAGCCTAAGTACCTAGCCACGGTTATCTTTGCCACCAATGCGATCCTGCTAGGATTCACCGCCAGCGGGTGTATCGTATTCGCCAGTAATATCCTGGTTGCGGCAGGCGATCCGAGCCCCAATCCCTGGACCGAGAGAGGCATTGCACTCGGAAGTATGTTCGGCATCTAAAGCTTACATTATGTACTGAAAGCAAAACAGTTATTTTATTCGTAACATTCCTTCATGGTCTTACTCCTCGGTTCGGTGTCTGGTTAATGAACGCTCTCTCCTTCTTCAAAGTCGCTCTTCTCCTGTTTGTCGTTGTCGCAGGCTGGGTCGTTCTAGGTGGACACACCCGTGTACAGAACCCCACTGCCAACTTCCATAACGCGTTTGCGGGCTCTTCCCATTCAAGCAATGACTACGCCACAGCTTTGTTCAAAGTGCTGAACTCATATGCCGGATGGAGTAACGTCAACTATGTCTTGAACAACGTCAAGGATCCGGTGAGGACGCTCAAGATCGCTGGTCCTTTGGTATGTGTTCTCCCTGTTCCTCCACTCTCACCAGCTGATCCAAGCTTTCCAGGGTTTGGGTCTCTGTGCCGCCTTCTATCTATTCGCCAATATCGCCTACTTTGCGGCATCCACACCACAACAGATCCAGTCTTCTGGTGTCGCTGTCGCAGCGCTCTTTTTCGGCAACGTCTTCGGCCCATCTGCCGAAAAGGCACTCGCTGTTCTCGTCGCGCTCAGCGCCCTGGGCAACGTGATCACCATAACCTTTGCCCAGAGCCGTGTGAATCAAGAACTCGCAAAGGAGGGGATCCCTCTGCCTTTTGGCAACAAGTTTTGGGCCAGCAACTGGCCCGTCGGCTCTCCCCTTCCAGGGCTCATCATCCACCTTATCCCCTCCGTGATTATTATAATCGGACCGCCTGCCAACGTCGCTTATCCTTTCATTCTCGATATAGAAGGTTATCCTGGCCAGATCATCAACTTGTTCGTCGTACTTGGACTATTTTGGCTCCGCTATAAAAAACCGAATGCTACGCGACCGTTCAAAGTCTGGTGGCCCTTCGCATTCTTCTTCCTCGCGGCCGCCTGCTTCCTCTTGGTTGCTCCTTTCCTGCGTCCAAGCAATGGCGTTGGTGACACCCCACCCCTGCCGTACTGGCTCTATCCCATCGTGGGTATCGCTATCATGGTTGTCGGCGCGTTGTATTGGGCCATCTGGAGGGTAATTCTGCCTGTTGTCTTTGGTTACGAGCTTGTGCCAAGGAAGGAAAGACTCTCAGATGGGACGGTGGTCACAGTTGTCCGTCGCTAGCATACGTCCGTTTACCCCGAACTGACCTGCCGTTTCTCCTAGTTTTCGACAGGTAAGACTAGCGAGAATTGAGTCTATCTGCCTTCCCCTCCGGTATTGGTGACCACTGACGAGGCCACAGTGGTCCGCTCTCACGGAGAGAGACAGTATAGATATGAGGAAGTGGGGCATGCTGATGGGTTCGAGGATGAAACCGCGGAAATGGAGCTTCACTCTTTGTGCAAGAAGGACCAACATATGCAGGTGGAGTATGTGGAAGCTGGAACCGAAGATAGTCATGAAAACGGTTGACTGGTTCTATTAGCTAGTTTCACATCTTTTTTTTTGGTAATGTACAATACAGTTACAATGTTATCGCCCATTTACGACATCATCCATCATCCTACCAGGCTATCAGTAATCCAAGAAACGTAACAAGGTAGAAACACGCACGATTCTTCAGATCGTCTTGTGTGGGGGAAGTAGGTGGAGAACCCGAAGCTGTTGCCAATAAAGCTGCCTGGATTGAAGACATGACATCCTTCATACGTCTCCTCGTATCGCTCGTACTTGTCAGCAAGAATGAGCTGGCATGGAATATGAGATCTGGGAGCAGCGGTGATAAGATAAACATACCGCAGTAGGGCTAGGATATAATCGCAGCGCATGGTCGAATTCCCACAGAATGGGTTGCACAGTCAGAGGCAGAGGAGACAGATGCTCTTGATCAATGACCATTTGAACCAACTAACAAGTTCGCGTCAGTGATTTCCCAAATAGGGAGAGACAGGCAGCATACATTTCGCTTCAACTCAGTCGCCTCGATCTCCTGTTTGACCCCGACTAGATTCCTCAGTACTCTCGCCATGAGGTCCTCTCGGAAGATGACGATCTCCTGGCCGAAGAACTTGACGCGACACGGGTTGGAGAGAAAGACCGCGCGGGGCAGTCGGGCTTTCAGTCGAGCGACGAAGGGCTCGGGAATTGCTGGTCGGGGGAGGGTGGTGCTGCCCCATGGGTCCAGCGGGCCGGGGACGAAGAGGAAATGGGAAACAGCGGAGATCTCTCTATAGGAGGCGAGCAGGTCGCCAAGGGCAGAGAAGTTGTCTGCAAGAACCTAAGTTTCTTGCTTTGCTCGTTAGGTCCGGGCCTCACCTGTGTACTGCTCGATTCCTGCCCCACCGCTCCCGATCCCCCTGCTGGTGAAGCTTCCACAAAAGACGAACAAGAACGGTGTAAACCCCGTTTCGACACACCTATCCAGCACTGATCGTAATCCAATGAGAGTCTTAGGATGATCGAGCCAGAGATCGGAGATGACGACGAACGAGACGTGTGGGAAGTCTTGTATCCGGCGAGCATATTCCTCCTACACGGATTTGAACAGGTTAGAGCGAGAGAGGAAGGGACCGAAGAAAGACGCACGAACGTCTTCTGCGGGAGTTGTGGCGCCTTTGCCCAAGAAATCTATATGGCCGAATATTGACCTGGGAACATCAACTCCGTGTCGTTTTTTTGCCTCAAGGAAGAGCGCACCTTGAGGCACCTCTTCTCTCGCTCGGTGGATGACCGATCTGCCAAACCTTCAACGTATCCTCATCCGTATACTCTCCCTCCACTAACACGAAACAGCCTTCCGTGATGAGCCCCTGACATGACGCCGCTTGGGACATGTCCAGCAGCACCTTCCCATCCACATCTTCCAGGCAGAGCTTGCCATCAGGTTCGTGGGCAAGCATGCCAAGGAGCATAAACGTCTCCCCCGCGCAACCGAGGAGGTTTTTGGTAGACGTCAGCTGTACTTTAGGTCAGAGATGTTGAGGGAAGAGATAAAAGTAAAGGCACCTTGTTGGTATCTCCTTGACTCAGCCCGGGCACCACGGCAGGGGTGAAATGCTCGTTTCGTAGTACAACCTGTTTGATGACGTGGTACCGGTCTCGCAGGAATGCCGTTCTAGACGCAGGACTACCGGCAATGTTTGGGGGTGTTGATGACCTTGTTCTTTTATTAGATAAATACAACAGCAGAGAATAGTGAAGGCCCACTTCTCGAACGTATGTCGCTCGACGCTGTACATCCATCTAGGCATGTCGAAAGCGTCAACGAATACCAGATGCTGCGATGGGTCCAGCTCGTTCTCCTCTCCTAGGGCATAGGTCCCCGCACCACCAGCACCACCCACTTCGCGCGAATCGACTTGTAGGAGCTCGTATACCCGCTGGATCTGCGGTTTCGTAACGAGGTTGGAATCGTCTGCCAATTCGCTCGCATTAGCAGACTCCGACAAAGGAGGAAGGTACATACATTCCTGTGCCATCCATCCTTTTGCTAGATGTTCGAGCGAATCGCTGACCTCATCCTCCCCTACGCTGTGCTCAGCAAGGATGTCGAGGATGAACTGTGCGGCATCGACTTGCAGCGCCAGCATGTACTTCTTCTGAAACTCCTATTTCGTTACTCGCATCAGCATACATAATACGCACACATTATGGAACGACATGCCTTGACAATACTTGTTAATGTCGGTGGTGCCATATTGATGTACAGTAATAACAAGCTGGAAACAAGGAGTAATGTCCAACCCTGACGCGACGCGTCTCAAGCACGCGCTTTATTTTCCTTCTGTGCCCTATTCTGGTTCTCCCTACTCAGACGGCCACGCGCCCCCTCGGGTGGCCTGGTCATCGCCGACGATAGAGCACATGGTTCACTCGTGGCCTGATCATTAATAAACAGGAGCGTGTCAATTGGTATACGAAAGCGTGGCATTAATAATGTGCCTTAGCATGCGGTAACACGGGGAAGCGAGGAGGGGATTCCCTTTCTCTTCATGTGGCCCGCACGTGCAGCTTCCATTCCAGTTATTTTTTCACGTCCTTGGTCAGGGATCCAGGGCGTCATCTGCATGTAACGTACCATCGTAAACTTTCTGGAACAGAGAATCGAAGAAAACAACGAGCATTGTCATTAGATTGCTCGACTTCTCCGCGTACAACAATTTGTGCACATTTGCAACTATTTCACAGGGGGAAAACAGGGAGAGAAGGAGAGGCACGAAACACAACACAGGTAAAACAGATCATGTGACGTGAATGGGGAGACATTATGGACGTGGCCGTCCAGGGGGGGAGGAAGAGCAGTGGGCCCGCCGCCGAAGCGTCAAAGGGCGTAAAGCGTGAAAGGATACACACGACACGACTGGAGGTAATGGTATCATCTTATCTTCTGCGTTCGGTTCAGTTACAGGTGGACGTTGGCATGGATACATCGTCTTCTACCAGGTCTGCAAGGCCAAATTATCAGGGTGACTGGTCAGACAGAGGTGAGATTCTCCCAAACCTCGACCATTGTTCTATTGGCGCTCTTCTTCGCCTTCTCTCTCTCGCGGCGGTGTCCTGCTCGCATACACGCCTTGTGCACCGACGTTTGGCGGCGGGGCACGGTAGAACGCGTGCGGGGGTGGCATACCCATCAAGTGTGGTGGCGGGGGGCCGCTGTGCATGTGCTGCCCAGGCGGCGGGGGCGCAGGTGCGCCAGGCACTGCAGTTCGCATGAGGTCGACTTCGTGCCGGAGCTGTTCTACTTGGCGTTGCTGATCCTGGATCACTCCTTTCATGCTGACGATATACTCCACGGCTATCAAGTGGTCAGACATTATGCACAGCCATCGAAAATAGATGAATGAAAATTCATACCTTTGCTCAGGATCTCCCATTTGCTCGCTTTCATTCCCCTATCAGCGGGCAACTGATCACGTAGCTCGTCAAATAGGTCCTTCATTTCTTTTCTGCGCTTCCGCTCTGCAAGCTTGTGGCTGACTCTTAATTCTGGTGAACGCGAATATGGGGTGTCTTTCCCAACGATGCTGGGGGCACTCGCGCTGGTTGGTGTCGGGTCCCCCCCATCTTCTCCAGGTCCTGGATTGGTGTGATCTGGTGTCGTGGTCCCAGGCGGCGGTGTGTCATCGTTCGCGCTCATGGAATTATGGCGATCTTTGGCTGGTGCGGACCCACCGGGGAATTGAGCGTTCGGTGGGGGTCCAAAGTACGGCGCGCCGGGGCCGTTATATCCATGTGACGCGGATCCACCGGGTGGGGGCCATACGAAGGCCTGGTAATTATTTCTGTTTGGATCTTCTGAACCGCCGTTCGAGCTGAAAGAAGTAGGTGCGGTCGAGGGTGTGTATCCGGGGCCCCCACTCGCACTGCTTGCCATGCTCGTCGCGCTGAAGATGGACGCGGCAGAATCGCGTCGCTCGTCGGTGATGTGTGCCGGTGGTGGGGCAGGATGCGTGCCGGCAGAACCGGGGGTATACGGACTTGAACCCCAGCGCGGGGGCCCTCCAGGCCAGATATTTGGGGCAGACGCGGCAGGAGAAGAGGGATTTGCGGAGTTATCGTGGTCCGGGAGATTCATTTGAGGTAAGCGTGCGGCATCGATGGCCGAACCACGTCGTTTGTTTGGGTACTGTGATGTTTGGTTTGACCCAGGCTTGCCACTGTCGACGTCCATGGCAGTGCCCACCTGACCGTTTGAAGATGTTTCAACCGCTGAAATATGGTCGTGAGATAGCTTTCTCTTGAGAGCCTGTCGATGTTGAGCTGCCTGTGCTGTGTACTGGTCGTGGTAGGGAGAGAGCAGGTGAGCGGCATTCGACGGGGGACCGGCGCGCGAATTGTGAGTCGAGTGGCTGTGGCCGTTGTGGTGTTGTCCCTGGACAATCTCGCCGCTCGCAATTGAATGTCGACGACCGTCATACCCTCCCACGGCAGCAGGCACGCTCAACCGTTCACCGTCGTGCATATCGATCTCTCCACTTGGGCCTCTACCCGCTGCTGCGCTACTCCCTGGTGGATGCAAGGAGAAAGCCTGCCCCCCTCGGGATCCTGGCGGGGGCGACTGTGACCATGGACGGTTTGGATGGCCGATTTGATCCGTAGTACCGGATGCGGGGTTAATAGACGACTGTTCCTTTGCGGACATGCTGCTTCCTGGAGGAGAAGCGAGCGCGATGCCAGCTGATGGGTCGAGGTTAGAGCTGTCCAAGAAGCTGGTATGTATCTGTGTACCTGATACTAAATGGACAGGGCGTTGGCCGTCCTCGGCGGACGTAGGGCCGTTCGGTGTCGGTTGAAGTGGGTGGTTGATATTTGAGTTGTGAATTTGGACTGTCTGCTCTGCCGGCTCCGTTGTACTCGTGGCTTGGGCGGTAGGTGTGGGAGTAGTAGGGTCCATTAAGGTGTGCGGGGAGAGTGTGAGAGGAGATGTTATGGACAAATCGGAGAAGTAAACGAGGTGTCCGCGGGTTGTTCAAATTGGGGGAATAGTAGAGATGTAAAAATCAATTACAAAGGGGAAGAGTGATAACCGGAATGGGACTTTTCCCTTGTAATCTTTGTGTGGGTATTATTTCTCCTCCATCCCCGGCCATTCCATCCCCCATTCCTCCCTCTCAAGGCACGAGCGAATGGCAAATGCATGGTCCATATCCTGTGGGCAGTCGGATGCAGACCCACGAGTACGTAGCCACGAGTTTTTGCGGGTCCACGAGGCAGACACGAGCTCCCCCTCCTCCTCGACATATTATCGGCACGTTGTCAGCCCTTTGGGAACCGGATTTGCGCCCTTTCAAAGGGAGAGAGAATCATTTGCACAGGTCATCCCCCGCCCCTTCCATTCCTGCCGACTCAAGTCTTCAGCGCTTGATTCACGCGAAGGCGTCCCGGTTGCCAGATGGCCAGAGACGTGGGGACACGTGCGGTGGCAGCACTGATGACGTGCCAGATCCTTTCTTCCAACACGCCACGATGTCTGTCCCTTGCGCCCTCTTCCCAACATCCTCACAACTTCCTTCCGACCCCTCCCCCTGATTCCCACAAAACGCCCCTGTGATAAATAGTACTTAGCAATACCCAGACCACGCCATATCGCTCACCGTATTGTATCGTATCATTCCCAAACTGTCACATCTCACCTCTCCATATCAGTCAAACCAATTTCAAGCTTATTTTGCACCCTCGTTGCAACGCCCAAGAGGCCCACCCCCTCTCAGACCCCTCCAAGAAAGGCACAGCCATCCATTCCGCTCGTCTCCGTATGCATATCAGCGAGACATGCTTCTCACGCTCAAGTCGACCCTGACCCATGCATTCCGAAAAGACCGAACAAAGCGAACTTGAACCGGGTGCCGGAAATGCTTCACACCCAGACAAATCAATGTCCGCACCCACGTGGATCTGCCGTGCTCGATGAATGACTCCCTGGCCGAACGCCCAAAACGCGATGAAACACCGGATAAGGAACATCGTCGACTCGTCGCAACTCGATCTGATGTGCTGCGAATGTTGTACGTTTATGGGATCACGCGTGAAGTATCGTATCCCCGAAAGAACCGCATAGCAATGCCCGGTTACATTAGATTATCAGTGTCAGAACCAAAGTGTCCCTCTTCTCGCCTCCCCCAGCGCCAGTTCATCAAGAGAGATCCAGCGAGGGTATGACAGGCGGGCATTGAATTTCGCAGCCGCCTGTCGCATGGGCCTTCCTGCGCGCGAAAATCGGGCAGCTTCCCGCCCTTCGTGCGCTTCGGCAGCATCGTCATCCGCATGCACCATCGCCCGTACATACGACGCGTAATCGACGATGACAGCAGGGTTGGGAAACAGGTGCGAAGATATGGGAACAAGCGGGGCGAGGTACGTAAGAAGACTTGCCATGTAATTGCCGGCCGCCGGCATGCTTTCTAAACGTGGCCCAAAGTGGCTGAACTGAGATATCGCCGTGGCATCCACTTCATCTGCGAATTGTGCATCGTGGAGATACGCAGCAATGCCAACATCAGTGTCCGCAGGATTCGGTTTCGTCATGGTAACGTGTCCCTGTTCTTCGTCGAGTAATGATTCTGGCTCGTCTGGCTCCAGCGCCTAAGAAGACAACCATTGTTCAGTTCATTGTTCACATTGTTCTCTGATCCACAACAACTCACCTGAGCCTTCCGGCTGTCGGGGCGGCTGAGCTCCGCATCAACAAAACTCCGGTAATCCAGGAACGACCCGTAGCGATCAAGGCTTGTCACGAGCCGCTCGCCTGCTTCTTCAAGATTGCTGTCGAAGGTCAAGGAAGGAGAATGATCCTCGCGGACATTTCTGAAGTCATAGGCTCCCGAACAAGCCCACTGCAGCGCGTTAATCGCCTTTCTGAGATCCGTCCCGCCCTCTGGAATCCCGCGAATAACGCTTCGAGGAATGGCATGACCTTCAGCGGACGTGATACATTGCAAGTACGAAATCAGCAGCTCTGAAGCTGGTGGCTCCAACATGAGGTGTTCCTGCAACGGCAGGTCTTCCATCGGCACAAGGCTCGGATCTATAATTGCGGTAAGCATTGTTCAACAGGGTATATAATTGAACATACCATTGCATGTCATAATCACAGGGCGATGACTGTCCTTTACGAGTGCAACGACGGCTTGCCAGAAGCCGGCATCTTCTCGAAATAACACGTCAACCTCCTCCAGGAGAATGACCGACTGTCTTACTCTGGCAGTTTCTGGGGCTGGTGTGGGAAGTCGTGCCTGCTGCTGCGCAGTAGTTCTATTCGTTCCGCTGGAATCAATGGATTCTATGAATTCAATGCCGTTGTCTGGGGGACTAGACGAGTCGATCGAAATAGGTTGTTGTTGCGTTCCAGATTGAAGAGGGTTTCTGGCCGGGGGACTGCCAGCAAAGGGAAACTTCTCAAAAGCGATCTTGCCGACCGGGGCTTTCCGGACCAAATGGTTTCTGCCTACTTCTCCGACCAATGCCATCAACCCTTGGCCGCTTCTCTTTCCAATACCGGGATACACTTCAAAGACGTCCCAACCAAGTTCTTTGGCGCACGCATACACGGCTGCCGTCTTTCCGCAACCTGACGGACCCGACAACAAGATAGAGTTCGTCAGACGTTGCGCGAAATCATGGGCCGGCAGCTGTCGGGCGGGTCGTGGGGTAGTAAGGAAGGGCGGGGGCCCCGCGGAGGACGCGGTAGATCCAGTATCGGAAACTACACCTTCGTCCGCAGCTGTCGATTCCTCGATGGGGTCCTCGGCCAGTTCAGAGCCAGCCGACTCATCGTCTGAAACAATCCAGTCCTCACCTCTGTGCTTCCGCCTTTTCCGTCGGCTCTTGTCAACTGCACGGATGACAGTTCTTTTCTTGTCAACAATACTCGCACGGGGTGGATTTGGATGGTCAGGCCGCTGGACATTGCCGGTTACTTGTAGTTCAAGGGCACGTAACCAGTCCTTCAGATACTGTGCTTGCGCTTCATTTCCGAGCACCTCAGATGCCCTCAGTGGTCGGTATGTTTCGCACCAGAGGTCTGAGTGTTGAACGTCTGTATGCGCTCCCAGATGTGCTAAGGCGGGATGCCGGAGATGGGCGGAAGGTATTGAATCGTCCGATTGTTCTTGTGTAGGCCCGTTGACATGGGCATGTGGACGGCGCCAATCATCAACATAACCAACAAGACTTCCGTAGTCGAGAGGCTTGATCATATCATTGGTGTGAGGACTGATACGACGACGTTTGAAGGGTCCCCCTTGCGTGGTACTATTTTGAGAGCCTGCATGCAGGGAGCCGTTCACATGCTGGTTCTCCGCGTCTGGCCAAGGAGCAGTTAAAGCGATCTTCACTTTGTGGGATGCTCCATTGGTTGGGGCTGTGGCAAATTCCGCTGTAGCTGGCCGTGGGGCAAAGAAAGGATGGGTTGGTCGAGGCGGACCTTTCTCCACGGCTGGAGAGTCTTCCACATGTATCGTTTCAACGTATGTGCTCTCTTGCTCATCCGGTTCGTCGATAACTATAGGCTCGGACCTTGCGCTGCCTTTGACAGACGATTGAGACGAGGCACGGGACAGTGGTTGTGAGGAGGTGCCAGGGATACGAAGAAATTTCAGCGATGGACCTGAGCGATCCCTCGGCTGCTTCCTTCCTCGGGACGGTCCCTTTATAGGAGCATTGTCATCCTTCGTGCCTTTCGATGGTTGCTGTGAAACGTTCTTCGTAGACTTTACAGGTTGTTTAGTGACCTGCTCGTCTGCCTTCCGTTTTCGTCCCCTACTAGTCTCGATGGTTTTCGGCGCAGAACTTGCGTTTTTGTCAAAAATTGAATATACAGGTCCACTATTGGGCAGTGCGAGAGGGTCGGTTGCCTGAGCTTGCTCGGGGGCCAGACTGAAAGCTGCGAAAAGGGCTTTAGGTCTGACAAGGCTGTATTGTGTCTCTGCATACGCGGATGTGTTCTCTCCTGAATATACCGATCATTCTCTTCCAGCTGTCCGAGCTGCTCGACGTTCTCATCTGTTGTGTTCAGAACTGACGGATCCACAACAGATCCTTGCTCCAAGGAACGCTTGTTGCCTAAGAAAGCGTTCAGATTCGGTTGTTGCTTCGACATCGTACATCGGTCGGGTCAATGATTCAGGTATAATAACATGCAACTTGAGTTTATTGATACAAAATTGCCAGTGAATCAAGGCTGCGCCATGGACGATGCTGAGGGAGGATGAACGCGTTTAGCGTTCAACCGCGACGCGTCGCTGATCATTCAGGGCGCTCTTGGATGGGCTGGGAGGAATTGCCAGTACATCCCGTTTCCGTGACACTTTCGATGCGGCGCGCATAGGCCGCATAGCCTCCCAAAATAGGAACATTTGATTCCGCCTCCGCGTCTGGCATAACCAGGTGTGATGACCCTTGTGGGACTGATACCTGGGCTGGCAGGGAAAGTGAGGCAGGGAAGGATGAGGGCAACGGTGCCGATGGAGGAGCAGAGCAATTGGAGGAGGGGTTTGTGATGGTGGAGGAGGGGTTCCATGGGTTGCAGGGGGTCCTAGAGAGGGTGAGGGAGGTTGCAGAGGGGGAGGAAGAGGTTGTGTGGCAGGTTGTGGGGCTGGAGGAGGATGTGGAAATTGCCCATGGATAGGAGGTGCTGGAGAGGGTGGTAGGACAGACATTCAGGTAGATAAATGTGGTTGCATTGGTCAATGGGATGCCAGCTGTAGTGTAGTCTTTAATCATTATTTTGCTTGCATTGTTGGAGAATGCCAATGCTACCAGACCAGTGGTCATTTATCTAACTACTCATACAATGTCCACTTGAACCTTTACTCTATCTAAGGGGGGAGCTGTGCTCTACCCTTCTGCTGATCAGTGGCCAGCTGCCACAAGTCCAATAGCAACTGTACAATTAGTTAGTTTATATACTAATAAATGGTTAGGGAAACTGTTAGGGCAACACAGGCTGACTAAGTCTGCTCACCTAAGAGTGCCAAGAGTCTA